GTCATATCGAGAAATATAGCGTCATAGAACAAATCTAATAAGGATAGCATGATACGCTGCCGTAAAAGGATCCATCAAAGTGCATTGTTTGGTTATTTAAATCACAAATCTGGTCATCACAAAATATCGTAGTTCTGCCACAGCCGAGCAGCCAACTTCATCAGCTACGTCACTGTCACGAAGGCAATAGAATGGTTTAATACTCGACTCCAGGAAACTGTTCCCAAAGATTTGCCCTTGCATCGTGATAACCGGTCGTCACAGCGCCCGCCACGGCCGAAACTTGTCACGATCTGACGGGACACAAGCAGAAGTGGAACGTTGAAGTCAATTTGCACAAATGGCAGCCGCAGTTTTGCCTTTACCATATTTGATATTTGTTTCATTATTCTTTGTTGGAAATGAAGCCCATCGAATGACTAGTCACTAGTTTCAGTAAGCCGTTTGGTCAGTCTGTTTGTTTGCAGTGGTTACAGGAAGCAAACATTTATTGTCAATGAGGACTTTTATTAGCCCTATCATAGATTCCCATGCCTCGATAAGTACTATAAAGTAGCGTGAGAGCTAATAGGTTAATGACAAAATAGCTCCGTAATAGTTGCGTCGCCACGCGCCCGTATGTTGGGGACAGCGTTCGCCTCTTATGATTTGTTCATAAGGGATGAGTCAACCGCTTGAAATCGTTAACCGGTTGAGGCAGCCGTGCTTTTGTTTGTCTTGAAGTTCTTGCACCAGCATGTCCGATGCTGCTGCTTTAGGTGCAAATAATCATCTTCATACTGAAGATTTAATTGGATGCCTACCTACTAAATTATTATTCATTTGAGGAACATTTGCAACACCGTCTTAGACGTTTAGCTGCTGCCACTTGCCAGTTCAGGAAATTTCCACAATCAACCTATTTACCCTGTCTCGGTCTCGTGCTCTGAGCCGCGATCACATCCCGCAACTCGATCGCCTTTGTCTTTATCCGGTGCACGTGCGCCGGCATTCCACGACGGCACGGGTCGGCACGTGGCTTCCGCGTGCCCGGCCGGTGGGGCCGGCGGCTGCGGCGTCGGCGCCGCTCTGTCGGGCGTCGGTGGCAAGGGTTCGACGCGGCGCCCCTGGGGTGGGGAGAGCTCGGTCGTTCACCCCAGCTCGTCGCCTCAATCGTGCCCCGAAAAAAGGCGCGCCTGGCGGCCGCGCGCGCGCGCCGGAGAGAGAGCGCGCGGGGAGCGGCGAGGGGAGGAGGGAGCCGGGGAGCGAGGGCGCGGGCTGTGGGGACGCCGAGGGACGCCACAGCCCGCAGTCTGCCGACGGAGCGGACGCAGGGCGGTGAAGGACGCTCTGCGGGCTGCCATGGCGGCGCGGCAGAGAGGAGAGTGACGCCAGACGTGGGGGAGTTCTTCCAGTGCGTGTGTGTGATGTGGGAGCGTCTAACGCACTGCCCACGATCCGTCAGCGGAGCCTGTGCGTGAGTGTGAAAAGATCGTGGGAAGCCACCGACTCAGTGCTGGGTTTCTTTGTGAGTTTCCGCTAACGGCGCGGCACAGAGCGAGGAACCTCCGAGGACGCGCCAGTGGAGCTCGAGGGCTCGGAGAGGCGAGACAGAAGCAGCTTGTCGCCGAGCCGGACTGGCGGAGGCTGCCGCCGAGTGGGCCGTCAAACTGTGGCTCTTTGTGTCACCGTGGTGGAGGGCGGACGGTGCCGCGATGGGCGAGGCACGGGCACCGGGCCGACCCAACCCCAGTCCTCGCTGGCCAAATTCGGACACTGGCCCGCCGTCTGCAGCGCCTGCTTGGTGAGCACCTGGGCTCCGAGGGGAGCTCAGAGGGCAGGGTAGTTTTCCAGCTCAGAGGGCAGGGTAGTTTTCCTTTGTCTCCAGTAGTATGGTCAACGTCGGTAGACTTGTTTGGGTCTTTTACAATGAAGGACATGTGTGGTGTGCCCTAGAATGAGGGAACCTGGGATGAGAGCTCGAAAAGCTTATACTTTGTGAAGGAACAGAGCTTGTCCGATATAGAATTTCTTTTGGCGATGCTTGCATTTGCCGGGTGCATTCAATTATTTACTCCGATTTTTGGGCTTCCTTTCAAGATGTTCCAGAGAGGCCGACAATAAAGCCACGTTTCTGTGTCCCTCAAGTGTCAAGCTGGGCCCCCAGCTTCCATAGCCCATAGAGCCGCTCCACATACCATTGCCGCTGATCCGACGGAGCAGGGCGGCCTGGCTGACCTCATCTGCATACACCGCAACGACAAACAGGCCACAGGAAGGCGGCCCTTTGTCGGCCGGCGGCATTCCCGCCGTATTTGTTTGTCGTTCCTTGTGTCAATCACCCAGTCGTCTCGAGAGCTCGGTCGCCCGTCCGCTGATGGCTGCCCGCCCGGCTGTACCCCTCCCCTCGGCGGCACCCCCTCCCTCCCACCTCCCCGGTGCACCCAACCTCCCGGCTCCGCCTACGTGGGTGCGGTTTCTCCCTGGCTCCTCCCCGACTGCCTTCCCTCCCCTCGCTGGCCACTCCCCGACTCCTCCCAGCTGTACTGTGTGGCTCCTCCCTCCCGACTTTCCCCAGCTCTTGCAGCGCCCTGTGGCCGGTGGTTTCCCATCTCCCCTCCCTAGCTACTTTGCTTTGCGACCAGCCCTTGCAGTGCACTGTGGTCGCCGTCGGTGGTTTCCCATCTCCCTTCCCTAGCGGCTTTGCTTTGCTTTCTGATGACCCTTTGCCCTGTTTGGAGCATTGAATGTAGGTATGTGTATCCATGGCAGCATCCGCTCTAAAACACCCAGCTTGCGAGGAATAACACGGCTGTGATTATTCGCGACACCGCACCGTTACAGAGCAGGACAGCACCCTCGCCCTTCACTCTGCACTTGCAGCCTTCACCTTGTCACTCATTTGCAGCGTCCCCCTATCAACCTCGCCTCCGCTGCTTCCCATTCTGACAGCCGTCGCTGCCCTTAGCCTGCTCATAGGCGATAGGTGGGACTGTCCTGTCCACTGGGTTCAATTCGTGTCAGGTCGAGGTCAGGGTCAGATAGGGAGCTGGAGGGAGAAGATATCGCTCAAATGTGCTCACCTGGGCCTTGGGGCATCGTGGAATTTTCGTTTTTTTTTGTACACTGTGTCTGGAGGCGAAGACGTTCTTTCCTGCATTAGGCGTTACCTTTACGAGTCAGACTCGCTAGTTTGATGGTGCACTACTTGTTGAATTAAGACACGAAAACCAGTTATACGGTTAGCAATTAGGGATTGAGCTTTACGTGCACAGTGCACACCTGCCTCCATGGAACGTTTAGTGGTAGCCGATGCCGTGCTGCGTGTTGAATTTCAGTGTTTCAATCCCTGAGACGTTTCTTAGTCATCTCCTTTCTATCTTGCTTCGCTTTTGCATAGACCCACGTTTGGCTAGCAACAATTATTCGCATATTGACAGCGAGCGACTCTGGTTTAGCGCGTGCACCCTATCATCACTCAAATCATTTTCCCCGTCAATGTCATTCACTTTCAAAACGGCATCAGACACACTGTAACACCAGTAGCTGTCTGTCTGCGGTTGACAACGGTGACTTTCCTCCCACCTTCGACTGTTCCGTCTCTGTCTGCTCCGATAGACGGGAAACGGAGACGGTCGGACGGATGGACAGACGGATAGACAGACACGGACATTCAGACGGCGGCGCCCCCGTGCGGGCCCCCGGGGCCGCCACCCTTCCCCGACACGTAATCTGGCGAGCCACTTCCTCGATGTCTGTCTGAACGGGTGGGCGGCGCGGCCGCAGACTAGGATTTCGCCCTGATTAAATGGAGGATTGTAAGCCACACGTCCGTCTGGCCAGTCGGCCGGGTCCGTTTGGTGTGTGCCAACCCCCCCCCCCCGTGCCTAAGTGCCTTGACCGTTTCAGCCTGTCTGATGCTGTTCTTATTTGTGTTTGTAGGTACCTCAGTATGTAGGAATGATCTGTTTTTGGTTTGTCTGTTTGATGGTATTTATGTCTACATGCATGCATGCATGAAATAGGTTTATTCTACCTATCTACTGCCATGATCATTGAACAATGTTCAATGAACATGTAGCCATGGGTTTGTTTTCCGTCTACGCTGTCCGTCGGTCCACTGGTCTAAATTTGATTTGCCGTCTTATTATGTTTCGTAAGCGATAGCCGATTGCCAAAGGCCCAAAGGTCATCCAAACTGAAGTGTGTAAAGAAGACGCCTATTTTGTTTCTTTATTTTATTCCCCGGCGATGAGTGACCTTTCAACTGTCATCGTGGACGTCGTCCGTTATTTGCCGAGTTCTTGGTCCCTCCACTATCGGCTGGCGTGTAGTGAGCTCAGGCAGATCAGGCGGCGTCCCAAAGCGGTTTCCGAACTTTGAGCGATGCGGGCGGGGGCGGCCACGCGCCAGCGACGCCGATGGCGCACTGGTACTTTCCTCGCCGCTGACCCCAACTGTCTGGGTAACTTCTGCTGTTTGGAGAAGGGCATGTGACCCGGACGCAGCCGACGCAATCACGTAACCCTATAGCGACGGAGACGGTGCGTTGCATCAGCTGCTTTGCCTTTGTGATGTCTGGTTGTGCATAGCGTCGCTCGAGAGTATTAGATTAAAATGCGAGCTTCCTTTGTGGAACCTTTCAGTTGTCCGATATATGACCTTGCATGGTCTCGTCCCTCCCGACTAATCCTTCGCTGACCTCTGAAGGGCATGGGTTAAAATGTCAGCGCTGCAACCGCCCTTGAGTTTGACCCTTGACCCTTGCTGACCGCTTTTGGCCTTAGCTAACCCCTGTCCACAGTTAACGAGCCCCGTTGACCTGTGATGATCTTATTGACCTTCATTGACCCCTTTTGAACCTTGCTGACCCTGTTCGGACGCTGTTGATCTCCACTGTTGATCCACTTGACCGCTCTAACTTGACCCCGCAGATCCACTAAACTTTCGTGACCTTGCATGACCTGACCTCTGTCTCTTTGTGCCCTCATGACCTGACCTCTGTCTCTCTGTGTCCCCAGGGCTCGGGCGGGCGGCGCGGCCGGTCCACAATGACCGGGCGTGCCGGCGGCGGCGGCGGCGGCGGCGGCGGCGACACGGGCCCGGCGCGAGCGGCCGCCGGCCTGGCCGAGCATCACCTGCGCGTGCAGTCTGTGGCACGGGATACCGAGCTTGGCCTGCCGCTGACCGTGGCACTGCCGGACGGAGAGGAGTTTCCCGGCTCGGCCAACCACATACATATCCGAACGCCCGATCAGGTACTCATTGCGACAACGGCATTGTTTAGTTTTGTTGGATAATTTATCCTCATTTAGGTATGTTCTTGCTGATGTGCTGGAAGTAAGCACATTTCAATGTGGTTGTTGCATTCATCTTTAGAATTCGTTCTTATCATTTTTGGTGGCTGCGGTCATCCTGTCTCAGTAAACGTGCTAGCTTCAGTCCTGTCCCGTCCCGCGCCGCCAATACCATCCCCTCCTTCAAACACATTCCTTATCCCTTTCGCTGCCGTTCAGAACCGTTCGAACGTTCTCGGCTGCCCAGGCTAGCCGGCCTACTTCTCCCCTCTGCCTGTCTGCTGCTCCCCTGCATTTGAGTGCTTCTCGTCCCTTCCATCTCTCCACTGCCCGTGTCCCGTTCCACCGCTCTCTGCAAGGCGTGACTCATAGAGGCCCAATGGCTGCCCGATGTGTTGCCTCGCGGTCGCCACTGCAGAGGTCCAGCATGGTTACTGTGTAAGTATAATATGCATACCGTCAGACCGTCTACTAAAGGGTCAACAGTCTTATCTATCGGCTCCACTTGGACTTGTGTCCCTCGTAACTTTGCAGTCCCCAGTCCCGCAGACTGTTATTTGAGAACCCTGATGGAAGCCTTATCCGACTTTCGTTTGTCTAGTCCGTCTGACCGTTTTGGTTCTCGTCTGACCCGGTGCCGTCTCTCGTGTTTCTAGTCCGTCTATCAACTGTATGACCCGTCTTACGTGTAACACGCTTGATTCTCGTCTGGCCGGTGCCGCCTGCCGTCTCTGTGACCCGTCTACCGTCTATCTGGCCAGTTTGTCGTCTGTCTGACTCGTCTCGTTCTCGTCAGACCCGGTGCCGTCTTCCATCTGTGTGACCCGTACATACGTGATCCGTCTTTCCACGACTCGTCTCATTTTCGTTTGACTCATCCGCGCCGTCTGCCGTTTGTCTAACCCGTCAGTCCTCTGTCTTATCCGTCTTACGTCTGACCGGTCTGACCCTTCTGATTCTCGTCTGGCCCGGTGCCGTCTGTCGTCTGTCTGACTCGTCTGACCCGTTGCCGTCTGCCGTCAGTGAGACTCGTCTCATTCTCGTCTGATCCGTCTGCCGTCTGTCTGACCGGCTCTGACCGTGCCGTCTGCCGTCTTTTTGTCTCTGACCCGGTGGCCGCCTCTCGTCTCTCTGACCCGTTTGACCTGGCGTCGTCCGGTGGCGGGGTCACGGTCGGGTCGTCGTCCGGCCGCCACTGGACCGCCGAGTCCAGCACCGCGCCGCTGCCGGAGTCATAACAGACCCAGGCAACCCTGCTGGCGCGGCCGTGCCTGGGGTGTGGGGCCTCTCACCGACCGGGAGGAGAGAGGAGGGTGCTAGGTACAGGTGGGAGGAACCGCCCTCTGGTCAGCGTCGGACCAGTCAGAGCGATACCGATGCAGGCTGATTCCATATCGGGGTGTTTATGCCGGCGGTGCCGACCATTTGGCCGTGTGTGGTTGTTTGGGTGACACATCAAAAGTCGGCCGGCCGGCCGGTCCGCCGGGGGCGGATGTTTCCAGATGCGGACCGCTGTCTTGTCTGTCGGCGCGCGTACAAGACGCGGACGCCGTGCGGAGAGGGAGACGGACGATGTCGTGTACCGTTACGTAGGCCATCTGTTCGAGCCGGCCGCTGCAGTCTCTGCATGCGCATCGAAAAGCAAGCCCGCAGCCCGGCGGAGCAGCGCCGGGCCGCGGCGTACTGATGAAGGCCGTCCAGAGGTCACTCGGAGCGCGCTGGAGGAGAGACCGATACACCCGGAGATCTGGCGCCGGGTACGAGCTCCAGGTGATGGGGTACTTCGGAGTTGGCTCGCAGAGAATGGTGCTTTGAGGCTGGTGATCTGTGCAGCTTCTGGTGTGACTCGTTACGGGAACAAGCCGGTACGAGCTGCCAGCCTTCGATGTGGCACAGCTCGTCGGAGCCGGTGGGGCCGCGGCGGCCGCGTCCCAGCTGTCTTGCATTATGACGTGAGCCGCCGCAGCTCGGGAGAGCTGGCAGCCTGCCATAGGCGGATCCAGGCGCCGCTTCGGAGGAGGCTAAATTCCGACCGGCCTGAGTCACCCTCCAATAATGTTTTCTGCTCTTAGCAAGTCGCAAGTATGAGTTAAGTATACATCCTAGAGTCGTCTGAAACAACTGTTTGTCGCCTTTCTATGGGATTACATAAATACGATCTGGAGATTAATTTGTTCTGAATTTCTCAGAAGGTGTGACTGGTTTCGCCATGGACCGTCCGTCCGTCTAGCATGCGGTTTACCTGAATGTGACCTGTAACAATGACGGCGCCTCCGCTGTGATCCCATTTATTGGGGCGGCCCGGGAGAGTCGGCGCCTCCTCTCCTGCGCTCGGGGTCGACCGTCTGCAGTTCCCCGTCGCCCACCTGCCCAGACAGACGCCCGGCCGGCCGGGCAGGCAGGCAGTCTGCAGGGTTTCCCGATGGGCACACTGCGTCAGCCTTCCCCTGGGACGGAGCCGCCGTGATGCAAGGCCGAGCCCGCCGCCGCCTCCCGTGCACCGGCACCGAGGCCGCCGCTCTCCCTCTCCCTCGCTCTCTCCCCTCCAGCCTCGGCCCCTCTCCCTCCACCAACGAATGCCCTCAAGAAGCTTGGCTGTGATCTGTGATCGTTGGTTTCCCTGGTTTATTGATGCTAATTTTGGGGGACCTTGGACCCTCGCAATGTTTTGTGTTTTTTGTCTTGGGTTATTCGCAAGCCCAGCTATTGGTTTCGTTTATATGAGAAGTTCCTTAGCTCGTTATAGTCTATTCGTAGCCTGTTAGGCGCTCCTCCTGACACCTAATCTCCTGTGGGGTGCTATTCTCCATGGAATGGGTTGTGGAAATTTGATCTTTGTACTTTCGGCTCATTCAGTCATTGATTATGGTCATGGATAGGAATGAACGGACCTGGCCATCGATGCTTTCCAGTCTAAACTAGTCCAATAACCCATGTATGTATGTCTATGAACTTTCCGAACTCGGGCGTGAGACTGAGAACGCAGTGTGAACCTTTTGACGCTGTTTGTCTGTTCCCGCCGACCAGACGGCGTCCTCGGCTAACTAGCTGGCCCATACAGAGATAGTTGGGCGGTTGTTATCGATATTGAATCTAGATGAAGTGTGCTTCGGACTGATGTAGTTAGCCGAAGTTGGTTCTCTATCTGTAGTTGAGTTTGCTTTTTGGAACGTTGCCCTCTGACTTGTTACAGCCACAAGGCTGTTGTTCAATGACGTTCCAGCCCAAGATGTCGTAAGCCCTTTGTCTGTCCAATGTGCTGTCCCTTGCGATGCTGTTAACTCTTATGCGATTTGAAAAGTTGTGCAAATTAGTTAGAATACCCCTCTGACCCTACATTCAGTCCCATTGCACCTTGTGAAGAGGCGATGCTCTCAGCTCCAATGTGTTAGCACATGCTCATGTTCTGCAGCTAGCCTGCCGTCCCAGTATACGTCTCCCCACGTGGTGGTTGGTGTTGTCAATGAGTCTGTGACATGTGCAGGGGTCATTGGCCCGGGTGTGCAGCTCTGTCATGTGCCGGCTCTATCAGTGTGCCGACGGGCCGGGGTGGGGCCGGGGGCGGGGCGCCGGGTCGACTGGGTGCCATTCACCCGAGCGCCGGCGGCGGCCGCCGCGTCCTTCACTGACCCTGGCGCCGTCTCCGTTGCAGGAAAAGGAGATAACCGAGGCCTGCATTCGGCCGCCGCCCAACCGCACAGTGAACTCTCGCGAACTGTCGACGGGCTGCGGCCGGCCGGCGCGAGCGCCGCGGCCCGGCCTCGCGCACCGGCTGGACACTCTGGCAGGCCGGCATTGCGTCAAACCGACCCCTGTGATAGCGAGCGCGGCCGCCGCGCCCTGGCCCATGACTGTTGTAGTGCCGCGCCACAGCCGGCCGGCGGCGCACAAGGCGTCGCCGCCGCCGGCCGCGGCAACACCGCCGGTGGCGGCCGCGACACCCTCGCCGGCGTCCTCGGCCGCGTCCGCGCAGCTGTCGCAGTACAGCAATGACTCTGGGACGCGTCTGAGCGGTGTGCAGCTGGTGAGCTGCCGCGCCGGTGCGCCCGTCTCCAGCTGGGAGGAGCCGTCGCTGGCGTCAGGCGCTGGCCGGGCGCGACTGCAGTGACGCGCCGCCGCCGGGCCCGGCCGGCGAGAGGAGGCTGTGCGCCGCCGGCCGGCCCGCACCGACGGGCCGGCCCGGCGGCCAGGCTGCTGGTGATGAGAGTGCTGATGAAGCTGGTGGTGATGCTGGAGGCGATGACGGTGGTGACGCCGGCGGCGCGGAGGCGGCGGTGCTGGCGGTGGCGCTGCCGGCGGCGATGCTGATTGGTGATGATGGTGATGTTGGTGACATGTGTGACGAGCTCAGGAGCGCGGGCGGCCGGCGGCGCGCGGCGCCGGCCGCCGCCGGGCGGGGCGCTGGGCGGTGCTCGGCCGATACTGCGGGCGGGAGGGCGGGGTTCGGGACTCAGGCGTGTGTGCGTGGGTGGGATGCGTGCCTGTGTGTGTGTGCTGCGAGCGTGTCTGAGGCATTGCCAGTGGCAGTAGCGAGTGTGTCGCTCCCCCGTCGGACCTGACCCCAGTCTGGGCGGCCTCGTCCCCGCGGAACTGATGTGGTCCAAGATTTCTGACCGTGATCAGAAATGCCTGCGACCGGAGTTTCCAAGTTCTTTCACGTTTTGTTCTCTCGGATTCCCGATTCCCCGTCAAAATTTGCCCCGCGTATAAAGTGACCAGCGAAAGACAACCTCCCCGATCTCAATCCCCACTGGCACACAGGACCGACTTCAGACACCCTCTGGACCCTTCAAACAACCCTACCAAACCCCGGCTCGACTCCTGTTCCGAAACCTCCCCGAACCGAGCGGGTCCGGGCGGCGCCAGCCGGACCCGGACCCGGACCCAATCCCGTGACCAGATGCACACCAGTCCCCGGGAGGCTGACTGGATCCAGCTCCGTCTTTCATTGGCGCACGTGCGCGTCGTTCTTCCAGGCCCGGGCGGTATGTGATAGGGCGGTCGGGCCCGGCGCGCGCGGACCGGCGCCAGCCGCCCCTCCTGTATCATTGCTGTGCCCCTGCCCCGAGAGACCGGGACGAATCGTGTCCAGTTGCACGCGCTAGGGCGCTCACACTGGCGTTAATATTATATATTTGATAAATACATATATAATACATGTGATAAAGAGATGGCGAGTGTATGTGTGCGTGTCTGCGTGTGTGGTGCGTGTGTGGGGCGCGCGGTGGGGCTACGCTTCGTGCGGTGTCGAGGTGCGAGCGGTGACCCTTCCCTCTGTCTTTCACAACCCTGCGCGTCTGGCGGTGTCGTCCACTGCCTCTTGGTGTTGAGAAATGGTGTATTAAAGCGTAGAACGAGGTACCGGCTGTGTTTCGCGCGGTGGCGGCCGAGCCGAGGGTCGGTGTGGTCGCGCGCGTGAAACACCCACACACCAGGAGCGACGCAGATTGTCACACACAACAGGGGAGGGAGGGGGGGGGGGACTCCATATCAGGCATATTGCATGTTGGTTGCCTCCGTACAGAAAATCCACTGGCCTGACACAGCACGTCTGAAAGTCTCGTTATAAAACTGCTGATTTTTATTATGCTACATAGCATGTTTGTCCCCTGATTTAGACGATTCATGTGCTGGTCTCCTGTAGCAATTCATGAGCGTTATACCGACATACCTGCGTTCTTCTGAATCACGAGTCTTTCGTTAATGGGACACATTATGTCTCCCCGTCTGTTGTCCCGTTTGACGCACCACGACTGCCGCCTGCCGGTCTCCTTTGTCCGTTTCGCTGTCCCCCCGTTATTCGAGACACACTTCCACCAAGCACCGGTTCTCTGCTATACACAACTCGTCTGACCGCATCCCGTTATACACACATACGTTTGCTTATCCCCATAACACGTCTGCTCGTCTACGTCATGCACAACACGTTTGTATATCTCTCATTACACGCAACAAGGCCTGCTGGACTCCGCAGTAAGGACGTAAGGACGTCGCTGTGAGGACGGCCGTACCAGTTCTGGTCGCCAAACCGGTGGTTTCACCCCGTGCGCAGTCAAAACTGTGAACGACCTAACCTATTTTCTATTGTACACGATATGTAAAACGGTCTTATATAACGAGCAGCTACTGCTAGTCGAGACGAATCGATCTCCATATCTCGAACGAAAGATATCGATATAAAAATTAGAGGCTGTGCTTCAGAGCTCACAACACCGAAAGACTTCAATGCGCCTGAAGAGAATTACAGCACGTTTATCACAAAGTGGGCCCTAGAACGTCACTCTAATGGAAGATGGTCTGTCTTGACATGTTCCTGGTGAGCCCCCTGAAATTAATTCTGAACTCCGTTCCTAATTGGCCAGGGTAAAGTTCGCTAAATAATTGTATTATTTAATAACCACGGACATTGTAAAGTAGCTCCATTCGCTTGTAACTAGGTAGGCAGAGAGCTACTCGGATGTGATTTGGGCGCACTGAAACAGGTCAACATTCTAATTTAGTTGATTTCAGAATGGTTGGCTGAGCACTGGGCAGGGTAAACACATAGCTGGTTCGACCAAAGCTCAACGAAACTTTGCAATGCGTTCATATCTGACAAACTAAAAAGAACGGAAGGGAAGGCTGGTTGTGTACCATATTTGGTCCCTTCTGAGGTCATGTCCAACCCATTTGCGGTTGCCAAGTCGTCTGCCATTTTTCTCTGCTCTGGTTTTGTGGGCTGCTTGCTCCGTAACAGAAACCATACACGCTAGCAGCGTTTTCCTCGAAGCCGCTATGTTAGTCTGTAGCAGTCCGAATGTGCTTGCTTGTCTCCACGAGTCCCCTGCAAATGCAAGCACTTTCGGGGCAGAGCAAGTCCAGCGGATGTTTATATTTTCGTCCGGCGCCGTCCATATACGCTGTATTGAGGCGCATCGAATCACCGGGCCCCTGTCATTCGATGAAGGACTCGCTGGGGCATGCCATCGGCTCGAAGGCTACACCATGCTCCCTTGACCGCGGGCCTCGTTCGACGGAAAACCGACACCGTCTCCGTCTCCGAGGCCGCCGCCGGGTCTAACGAGGCTCCCCCGGGGTTTCATGAGTAAAGACTGCGCGGCTAACTGTTTGTTAGTGTCTACCGTCTGGCATGTGGACGAGCTGGTCAGGGCCTAGTGACCGGCTCCTCCTGGTACCCGCCGAGCGCGCGAGGTGCACGTGGATGCTGGCGACAGCGCTCGAGAGAGGGATGCTGTGACGCAGCAGCATCTGAGTGAGAGCTGAGACCAAGACCTTGGTGATCTGCTGAACGAAGGACCGACCACATCCGTGAAGGGTAAACGAACTATTTTAATTCTAATTTAGCTGAATGCCTATTTTAACTACACAACATACGTCCCAGTCATTCTTATAATGTCGGGAGGTCGATCCTTCAAATGAAGTCAAGCTGAAAGCCACCCTAGCCATTCGCATACAGAAACTACGTCGCTCTTATGGCCTACTACATCGCAGTTGCCAGTTATATAATTGTACCGCTATTAGCTACAGGTACCGGGCAAGTGCCTTTTTACCTAGAAAGCAGAGAAAGGATCACGCATTACCGTCAGTCAAATGTGGATTGAAAAAACGTAAAGCACGCGCCAACCTACCAGGCTATATGGGATATGTGGAAATGCCTGATACGATGACCTCATACATAATTCGACAAATTACGCAATATACATAAAGTGCATTCGATTTAAACCGTCTAGACCCTGGCGAGATTGCAAATCGGACCATAATACGGCGACACCGAGCGTTCAAGCGGGGCCACGCATACGGAATAATTCATGAGCGAAGAGCTATATCCGTCGGATCGCCACCTGGCTGAAAAATTTACACCAACCGAGAAGCACAATTCGTCTTCTGAAAGTCGCTTATATGGTGCACCGGGCTAAAAAGGGCACCAGCGTCGGCGTCCTGGCCGGTTCGTCAGTCAAATTCAGCTTCAGCCTATCGCTAGGCGTGGGTGCACACCAAATGAACTTAAACGTTGTCACCGCTAAGAGGAGGCTAAGTATCTATCATAGGTTTATAACTAATAAGCAGCATGACGAAACAGTTAAAAGAAATAATCCTATGGTCGCGTTCAAATGTCTAAAAATGCCTGAAATAATTGGAGCTATTTCGGATGCAATCATAGTCAGATTTAAAACCGGCAGTCCAATCGATTTTATCCTCGAACAAAAACATGATTGCATCCCAAATATGTTCAGATCTAAAGATTACTTTGCGAATGTTCAAACACGAGCATTAAACGTTCTTAGCGCGAGTCGCACGCCGAATTCAGCCCGGCTATCGCATCCACCACATGTCTGCCTGACAAACAGGTCGGGGCGTCTAGACAGCCATCATGTCCCCACCGCCGGGGTAGCAACTGCGGGCTGCGGGGTAGTCGCGAGGCCCACCGGCAGCCCAGCCATCCGTCGGGCGATTGATTCTTCAGCGGCGACTCATCGGTCGTTTGGCCGCCTAATCCCACATGCATGCAGAAGCAGCCAGCCGACAGCTTCTGTGGTCGCACAGCCCGGAGGACAGAAGGCTGGGCGAGCGGAGGCGAACCGGGACAACAGGGTGCTTTAGAAAGAATGGAAAACATGAGGACTTGGAGAAGGATGACAGCATAGACGAGAAATGTAAAGGGGTGAAAACGGTGACGGGGCTTGGGAATGATTAGATAGAGACGGAACTGAAGCAGAATTAGAGAAGGGTAACTACTTTGTGTGATTTGTGGACGTTGATATGAAACAAGGGCCTCGGTATGAAACATGATTTCTTGATAAAGATCTCAGGTGGAAATCGAACATTCCGTTTTCCATATGCCTAACAACCATGAAAACCGGCATGACAGCGCAGATTCGAGCAGTGGTGGAGAGGAGAAATGAAATGTAGGTAGGACAGACGATATAGACCGAAAGAAAGAAAGATCAGGCAGACAGACAAACGGTCAGTCAACCGGATGTGACCATCAGCCTGCCAGCCAGCCAGATCGTCAGTCACACAGGCGCACCGTCAGACATTCAGTCAGTCAGTCAGTCAGTCACACACACCGTCAGACATTCAGACAGACACACAGACAGACCGTCAGTCCCACAGACAGACCGTCTGACATTCAGACAATTAGCCACGTAGGCAGACGGCAACTCAGACATTCAGTCCGTGACACAGACAGACCTTCAGACATTCACACATTCAGACAGTTCGTCAGACATTCAGGTCGTCAGACAGACCATCAGACATCCAGTCCGCCAATCAGTCAGACATTCAGACATTCAGACACTCCGTCAGTCGCCGGCCGGCGGGGTCAGCTGTCTCTGGGCGGCCACCTGATCATCGAGGCACGTGCCGTGACCGTGGCGGCGGCGACGGCGTCTGCACCCCCCTCACCGCCCCCCCCCCCCCCCCTGAGGCGGGACCGGCTCCGGCGGCCGTGCTCGCTCGGCCTTGCCCCCTCCACGGGCGTCGACGCTGGTGGAGATTGCCCGTGGTGGGTGCTCGGAATGGTGGAAAGTGAAGGTGTGACTGATGGAAAGGCAGCTAGACATGCCGTGTGCAGAGTCGCAGACGGTGGTACGCAATACAGCAGTTTGTGATGTAAGGCTAAAGGTCATGAGCCCGGCATCAGTCCAGCTTCAGTGTGGACACTGGACGGGGCTGATCGAGCTCGTACTCTCTGCTCTGACTAAGGCTGGACGAGGGATACGTGATACTGAGTTTACACAATAGTTGGGGGGGGGGGGAGGGGGTAATAACGCGCTTGGTAGATAAGCCATATACAATATTCTATTAGATAAATATAAATATGCTAGCAGGGCATGCAATGCTGAATAATGTGCCCGACTCGTAAAACACCTCTCCCCAAAGACTACGAAGAAAAAGGAAAGAAAATAGAGCCCATCTTCATATAACCACCGCGAAAAGCCCAGTTTGCCAGACGTCAGCCGTGTCGAGCACGACATCCCTCGCGGCGGTTCATCCTTTCAATCTGTCTCCGCTGAGCACGGCATAAGCCCAGTCGCACCGCTGGAATGGGTGTGCTCAGACCAGGGATGCGGAGCCGGAGCCGGAGTCGGAGCCGGAGCCGCCGGAGCCGGCATATTTTGCCCGGAGCCGGAGCCGGAGCCGGAGCCGTGAAACAATATAGCCCGGAGCCGGAGCCGGAGCCGGAGCCGCCAAAAAAGGGGGCGACTCCGGCTCCTTTTTATTTTTTGAAGAGGAAAAAAATAATTGACCTAGTTCGGTTTGACAGTACAAAGCAGTAAAACATACAGTACTATTGGTCTCAAGATAAGGGCCCAGGCGACCTGTAGTTTTGATGCGGTGAATACCCTCACCTGTCGCGGAGGCGCGGAAGGAGAGACGACTGAGCGGGCCGAGACTTGTATTGCAACTGTGGTTCTGATTCTGATTCGCCAGTGCCTGTGCGTTATATGCAGGGTGGTTGCACAATGAAGGACCGGTCCGCCGACCCGCCGGGTCGGTGGACGGTGCCGACACGTGGGGAAAGTGACGGCTATTTCTATGTAACAAAGCTTGAACGTGTACTCTCTTTATCATGATATGGAAGAAGGGAATCGGTCCCACATTATCTTCCCTCCCCCAGGGAAGCGTAGGGAACCGAAGCGATCATAACAAAGAGAGGAAACGTTTAGCTGACGGAGAAAGAAATGTTCATATGAGCGTATCACAAAATGGTATGAACAGATAAGTAAGTTTCGTGACAATTACACCTACTACCGGGCGATCCCTCCGCACTCTTGGCGGGGACCGTCCCTGGGCATCTCCATGGCCCTCGGCATCTCTGGCCGAATATCAATACAATATAATTTCAGTGAATTGACCACGATTAACGTATTTGAATGTTCATACCGTTGAGAGCAGGCTCTTTTTACGTTTACTAGTGTCAAAATGACACGGCAAAGTGCAGGCAAAAATTAAATGCACTTGCAATTTCTCCGTAAATTTTGGGGTGAGCAACCACAATGAAGCACAACAAACGACAGAACACTGACGAAAACGGATAATGAAACAGTACGGTTTTTGAAACACATCGAAGTTAAAACAAATTTCACAGCACAATTTCACTGTCACTTTTTGACGAAAATACAGCAAAAGTTCATAATGGGTGAATTTTCTTGATTTCGGTGCCAATTTGTCTTGAATTTAGCGTTGAAGTTTTTGTTTTATCTTCTCTCCTCCGAGCTTGAGTCCTTCAGCGAGGTGGTGTCCATCACTCGATGATGCTGAGGAGGACGGCGCGGGCTGATGAGCCGTGCGCTGTCGGCGGGCTCCGTAGTAGTCCAGGGTAGCTGATGACCTTGCCGCAGGGCAGATAGTCTTGTTGGGCAGAGCTACTCACTGGAGACGGTGCTGCTGGACGATGACGAGTCCAGGATGGTCAGCTCCCTAGTCGATGACGCGACGTAGGGGCGATACACCGTCACGGAGCACGGACTAACCAGTCTGCGATGTCAATGCAGATGTAGAGGCTGGGGTCCGTGTTGAGGGGCACAAGTCCCCTCGACCGCCGCTGCCACCATTGTCGCGGAGGCGCGGAAGGAGAGACGACTGAGCGGGCCGAGACTTGTATTGCAACTGTGGTTCTGATTCTGATTCGCCAGTGCCTGTGCGTTATATGCAGGGTGGTTGCACAATGAAGGACCGGTCCGCCGACCCGCCGGGTCGGTGGACGGTGCCGACACGTGGGGAAAGTGACGGCTATTTCTATGTAACAAAGCTTGAACGTGTACTCTCTTTATCATGATATGGAAGAAGGGAATCGGTCCCACACACCCTAGCCACAACTCGAGTGGGGGTGGCGCTGGCTGGAAGGAGGGGTGCACTCGGCCCGAGTTGTGGCGAGGGCAATAGTATTCACCGCATCAAAACTACAGGTCGCCTGGGCCCTTATCTTGAGACCAGTAGTACGTCATGGGCCATCAAGTGAATGAAAAAAGCCGAATATCCCCAGTATCCCACAGTACGCAATCAACTTCCTGTCTGCTCCTCCCCCCCCCCCCACGTCTACTGCATCCCCAGAACATGAGGACCGGTCATCAGGTGACGGCCATTGTTTTGAAGCCAGTGCAGTGGACTGCGACTCCCAGCACCGTCTCTTCCCACCCCCACCCCCACCCCCCAATGCAGCCGAGACGGGTGTCAGCTTACGATGGTTCAGTGAACTCCGATTCGCGGCGACTGCGTTTCCAATGTCATCGCTTCCTAGTCCTTTGTTCCTAGTCCTGTTGAGAAAAATAGCCTTAGTGGTTAGTTGTTATGCAAATACAGAAGCAACGTGTACCAATCTAATTTTTCTTCCACCCGTATTTAATTCATGATTGCATAGGGGATGTACTGAGTCGGAGCCGGAGCCGCCGGAGCCGGAGCCGCCGGAGCCGGACCATTTTACTCGGAGCCGGAGCCGGAGCCGGAGCCGCCATAACATTTCACCCGGAGCCGGAGCCGGAGCCGGAGCCGATTTTTTCTCCGGAGCCGGAGCCGGAGCCGGAGCCGTCTGAAATTTCCACGGCTCCGCATCCCTGGCTCAGACACACCATCAGAGCCAGAGCGCCAGACACAGAGACTGTGAGTCTCAATTTCAGTCTCCAGCTGCTGTGACAACGAGAGAGGCGAGAGCTCGTCATTGTGTGTCGGCCAGGAGGAGATAAATAGATGAACTGAATACAGAGCATAAATGAATAGTTAATATTCAAGCCATAAGCAGTGAAACAAATACGCCAGTTCAATATTTGTTCCATGAATTCAGTCTGTCTGTCAGCCAGGGCGAGTCACCAGGCGCTGTCTGTCTGTCTGCCGGGGCGGGTCACCAAACAATGTCTGTATGCCTGTTCAGGTCATCAGACACCGTGCCCCGCCTGTTCAGGTCACCAGACACCGCGCCCTGTCTGGCGTCGGGTCACCAGACAGCGTCATGACGCGGCGGCGGTGACCCAGGCCGCCGCTGTGGCGTTTTTTGTGCGTCTGCCGGCCCGTTTTTCGGACCTGTCTGCGGCCGCCTCCCAAGGTCACCCTGTGTCAGACGGCGGCGCTCTTTTTGTGCCGGCGCGCCTTTTTGTCGGCCGCCGGCACAGCGAGCAAAAACGCGGCAGCCAGGTTATAATTGGACGATTGACTTTTTGGCGTCTGGAGAGCGCTGCCTGAGGCAGCGGGGGCAGACAGCGTCGCCGACGCCCTCGTCTAGACGCTGTGATGGTGCGCAGGAGAAAGCCGACTCCTGCGGCAGGAGGGCCGGCGGCAGGAGGGCCGGCGGCAGGAGTAATCAGTGTCCTGCGGGGCCGGCGCCCACCGCCGCCGCCCCCGGCGACACAGCACAGCCGCTGCACAGCACAGCACAGCCCCCGGCGACACAGCACAGTCCTCGGCGACACAGCACAGCCGCCGGCACAAAGATGAAAGCCGGACAGCAGAAAAAGACGAAAGGGGAAGTCTGGAAGGATGACACTGAAACGCGACCCTGTCTGAAGATGAGGCAATCTTCGATCTGAGAACTAGAGTGTAAGAAACGCTTCATCAGCAACCGCTGCATCTAGCAAGATTGACTAGTGGACTCCAGACTCCAACGCTCATGCTGTGTATATTTATCAAAGAAGATTTCTAATCTGTGCCAATGTTGTCCCATTACATAAGCAATTAAACCAATAACATACTTGCATATGGACTGGGCAGCAACTCATCAGAACAGTGACAACTGTTCAGACACCAAATGTCGACTCTAAATCCCGACTCGCGGTGCCGACTCTGACTCGGCCGACTCGCTCTGACTCCGACTCGGACTCGGCTCGAACCTGGGCCGGTCGATGTCGGCTCGATAACGTCTAGCGACTGGCGAGGAAGTGACGGCCGAGGCGCGGCCAAATGGCAGCTGCCGACTCGAACGACGCTCACCGTCGCCGACCGGCCGCCGGCGTTACCATGGCAACACCAGCCGCCGCAGACACAGACGCCGCCAAAGGGTGGAAGATGTAAAACTGCAGCCGCAACGCTTCAAAGAGCGTATCTGCATTCTGCATATTATAAGCAACATTCAATCTTAGTATCTACTCGATCTACTCCTCATACAGTCCGACTCCGACTATGGTATTATGACCAGTTAGGTACGACGGACATTGGACATGGCATTGCATTGGACAATGAAAAAAGAAACATATTCGTTGATGGGGTTTTTACGTTTCGAGTAGGTAAATATTTGCCACGCACAATCGAGTCCTAGCAGCTTTATTTAAAAGGAAGCGAATGGGCTGGGAAAAAGGAATTTAATTGGCAATCGAATCCTACCTCTAAACGTAAATTCACGCGTCAAAACGGCGCATCAAGATACCAAGCCAAGAGCATACAATCTACCGATGACAAACATATCCTTCCCGGAGTCATTGGGATCATCCGAAGATCAGTAGCTAATAAGTACTATGTGCAAACTTCGTTGTACTGAAATATGCATAAAATGCACATCTTCCTAAATACTCGTCACACAAACATGATGAAAGACAGCTCATTTACATGTGTGCAATACAGTCCCCATTAACTTATACACGCTGGTGCAAGAACTGGGGTCATTTGGTGTATTACTCGAAATAAAGTTATATTTCTGTCGACGGCAGGTCACTGGGTCCAATGACCTGAAGTTTTAAAACCATTATTTGCATTGAAGCTCAAACGACAATGAGACAGACCAGACTTTAATCAACATATTGCATATATTACATAACAGAGTCAACCCAACAGCAGCGTCGCACGGGGATAAGTGGCTGGAGACAATCACGAACCAGCTGGAAATATGCAGACACAATACAATAAGTGCAGTGGTTTTGTGCACCATCTATTTAATCCAACTGGGACACATTCATCAAGGGGGACGTCACCAGAACTATGGATAACGAGAGTCGTGCATGGACTCAAAGAGCGTAGTTTATCAAACTTGTTTTGTCCTAACGGGACCTTCTTTGAGAAATGGCCATAATTTGCGACACAGGGTCAGCTGTAAGATAGCCTGCACCAATTCAGCTTGTGTGGGTCACATGGATGTGGTCCTTGAATATATGTTGATCGTAGAATCGAACAAAAAACCTCCAATTGTATGCTTCCATATCCAGAATAAAACTTATGTCCCATTCTTTTGGTCTGCTGGATATGGTCAATCATACTTGAACGAGATCTAAATCACCAACCGGCGAAAATCATATTTTCGCAATTTAAAGGTCCACGAAAGTCCTGTTCCATGCAGCTGTATGGAGACAATCATATAAGCTGAGGGGACGAACAATAATATTAGAATAATGGAATGAAGACAGCCGAAACATAGACAAAACCAATGCGGAAATATAAAGAACAGCAGCTCGAGTGAAGTGATTTGTAATATCACAATAATTACACAAACAACATACTTGGCAAGATTCAATGAAAACTGCGATAGTGGAAGTAAACGGCTGCCAGCAAACACCGGACAACTTCAGAGTCTGATCAGCCTCTCGGGTAAATATCTGAACTGAGTGCCGTGAATTCTGACCCTGATACGAAACGACTACTTCAGAGAAATGATGGCAAGTAACGGTTACATAACTGATAATAATAATAATAAACGTCTCTGCACCCCTATCTGCATATAGCGACTACAGCCAACAGCTACTGCAGTATCTTCTTTTCTACATTCATTGAGAATTGAGATCACCACGCACTATGTGCCACTACTGAATCCCTTGCCCTCCCACCCCTTTGGACTCGGAACTGCAACCAGCCTCTCACCATCTACATATGTGTCTCGGACGCGAGGCGAGCAACTCTCAACGGCGGACCGTGCTCCCCTCACGTGAACACACCTTAGTCGTTGACGCCACCAAACACGATGCGCTGCTGCTTCTCGTCAATGGGTTCCTCTTTGATGACGGCTCTGAACTGGCGACTGCTGGCCTGTAACCGATCGGTGTCGCTGCGAGCGCTCGCCTGGCGGCGCAGAGGACGGCACGCGCGTCAGAGAGGGGCGCTTCGTGCTGGCGTGGCTGTCACCATTGCATCTGTTTTATTTTGATACGGTCAAAAGGTGGAGGGATGTGGTGACCAAAAGCAGTACCTGAAGCGCTGTTACTGGACATAATAGGTAACAGACCGATCAATAGGTGTTTCATTTTATTATTGTCAAATGTCTGAGCATGTTGACAAAAAAATCACAGTCATGTTGATATATTACAAATGCTATTTCATCTGCAAATGTGTGGTGAGTGTCGGCAGGAATACGCCTACATCTTAACTATGGCTTCTCCCAACCGGTTGTAGCTAGATATAGCAACACCAAGCGACTCAATCTGGCTGAAACAATATAAACGTTTACGCCTGAAAATGGACACCACATTGTGTTCAGTTGACGATGAGGACATCTCACCTCGTGCAGAGAGACGTTGTTGGAAGGTAGTAAGTCCGAGCTGTCGCCTCCCAAAAGGCGCACCTCCGCCATCGACGTCTGTATTACCTGTCACACAAATAGGGTAGAGAATCAAAACTGGAGCATCAGCACAGTGTGACAAAAACCCAGCATTAGGCAACAAAGCACGTGAGAAGTACAATTGCATCGAAAGTCGTATCACCCCACAAAAGCAACGGCTCAACGCTCCTGACGCATCTATGGTCCTTGCAAAGAAGCACAGCCTTTCACCACAACTACACCAGGCTGTGGTTCGGCAACATTTCGTCCACAAAGGCCACCAATCAACCAGTATTTTGCCAGCAATTACCCAGCCGTTGCGCAACAGTTTCTCTCACATTCCATCCACACCACCCTATCTTTCAACAAAGTTCTCAAGTTCCATCTTGTTCAAGTTCTCACAGTCCTACCTTGACGCTGCTGAAGTCGGCCAGCTCGACCATGGTGCTGAGGTAGTCGGCGTGTCCCACCTCCACGACATCACCGACCGGCATCGTCTCCATCACCACCATACCGTCAGAGGTTTCATCGGGGAACACCAGGTCCGGCGAGCCGCCCGCGCACGACTTCAGGGACGAGGCAGAGGACGTGGTGGCTGTGGTGCCCGCCGTGCTGGTGATGGTGGTGATTGGTGCCGACTGGTGGTCCATTGGTGGGTCGTCCGGGCACCAGCGCTGGGAGGGGGTGAAGGGGGTGAGCTAAGAAGTGGATGGGTATAGAGGCCTACAGTCATACTACAGGGAGACGGTCCAAGATCGAACACCGATTGAAGATTGAAACAAATTGAATACCGTCAGCTTTCCAGCAAAGGCAATATCAACACAAAATGAAAATGAGCGAAGCTACACCATAGTCAAAATCAGTAGAAGCTTATGTACTTTGGATAGTGTGATTTGGAAAAAGTCGCCTAGGCTCACAACATTTCAGCCAGGTGTGTAATTACCTTCGCTAGCTGTTGTTTGTTGATGTATTTGCCCATGCCGAGCGGTTTACCGCGCTGTTTTCGCTTCCACATGCTGCGACACTTGGCGTCCAGGTTTTTCTTGATGCGCTGCCACTCCTTCTCTGTGACGTTGTGGTAGGCCACCAAGTGGCAGTAGATGCCGTAAATCTGACAAAACCGAGACAAAACGGGTCATCACTTGCTGGTGAATACACCACATGAATCGCATGATCGAATCCAGCCGCGAGAAGAAAGAGCAAACCCTACACACAAACATGACCGCTGGTGGTTTGGAGTCGCTCCCCATCTTATCCCACCTATCAACATATAGCACGCTTACTGCATGGGTGAGACAGCCTCTTTAGCGCCGTGTGGGTCAGGCCTTATGCAAAAGGTGACATGTCCGGGTCAAGAGACAGAAAAGGATTGGCCAGTGTGGGGGTCGAACCCACGACATTCGCGTTATTAGCACGACGCTCTAACCAACTGAGCTAACCGGCCGAAATCCTGCCGAAACCCGGGATCGAACCGGGGACCTTTAGATCTTCAGTCTAACGCTCTCCCAACTGAGCTATTTCGGCTGTGGGCACCCCGCAGAGGCAATATTTTGGAGAGAAATGGACCCAAGAAGAGCGAAGGTCAACTTCCACCAGTTCAAGCCGTTCTCATCCTCAGAAAACAGACTCGAGCACCAAGCGACCACCATAGGCGGATCTCCACTACACCCTCTGCATTGGCGATCCCACGTCCAGCTCTTCTTCTTTCAACGTAACGAGTCTTCAGAATGGTCCACTTGATATTCGATAATATGTCTCACACAGAGTCCAATCCCCTAGCACTGCATTTACTGTTTACATAGCAGTCATGAAGAATCGTAAATGGCGCGACTATCCATCATTCGAGTAAGGCGTGGACCAGCCTCGCTATATGACAGGCCATTCGACCACACTGGAATCCTTCCAGACTAATCCCTTTTCATGCGGTGGAAGGCGTTAGACGTGAGTTCCACTGGTCCAGTCTCTTCTGGTGGGACGACCAACAGAAGAAACGAAACAGGCTCGAGCTGTCCTCTCTAGCAAAGAACCTAGCCAACAGTCTCCCAGAGTCCCTCCGTTACTGTGGAACCTCTTCACACCGAGTGCAAACATCGCTTCAGGACAGCATTTGGCCAAGCGGCATTGGCAGACCTTGACCTGCGCGCTGCGCGACTTGGCTTCGGCCTAAATGATTAGTGATTAGTGAGCGTCCCAGCGTCCCCCACCGTCACCGACGGCGGCGGAGTGGCATCAGCTGGACGGTCGGGTGACCACCATCGCCGCACAGCCCGGGAAGCCGACAACAACTCCGCAAATGTGCCAGACGAAGTCTCATCCGTCCAGTCTATTTGTTGTGTGTAATGTCCTGGCGACTGTGAAGCCGGGCATTCAGGAACAAGCATGGAACTATCTACTACAGGTAGATAAGAGCCAATCCTAAACGGTGTCAAGGACCCCTTACTTCCGGCATTCTGTTGCAAAAGATTGCTCTTTGGGGCAGAGAAACGATCGCCTCACTACGACCGGCGACGAGCAATCCATATGCGTGACTGATGCCAATTCATGGCACTAACGTACCCTCTTCATACCAAGAGCTGAAGACGCCACCAACATATACATGAGACACGTCTCTCCGGATCCCTCTGTCTCGTCATCATCAGCGTCCACCGCCCACCCATTCGACCAGATAAGGTGGATGGGAAACAGGACTGTTTTCAGACCTGCCCACAGCACTGGCAACAACGTTATCGTCGTTGGCGATGTCTTCTTCATCACCCGAATGGAACTCAGGCTGTGAGGGACCGGACTCGGGACGCAACCGGCGAGAAGATCGGGCTTGACTGGAAAGAGTCGGTTGAGCGACCCTCAACGAGATTCACCAGATCTTCGCTAGCTATCCGTCTGGTGGCCAGTCCGAACCCAGTCACCTGCAATGCGACCTTGGCGAGGTGGTGAGACTGGAGCAACGGCCCAGACCTGGGCACCGGGCAGCGACCACCACCTGAAACTCTTGGAGATCCGGATGAAATGGTCGACGGCCGACGCCCAAGAGTATTCGCGAAACACGATCGTCATAAAAGAGGATCACCTGACTGGTCTTCCAGGACTCGCGCAACACCGCAATCTTGGAGGCGAGTTCGATAACGAGTCCGTCCAGAAACTGGCAGCCCGGTTTCACGAAACCCTTCAGCACTCAGCAGGACAGCGTCGGTCATGCCACCAGCGGTGCCTAAGGGGAAACCAGCGTAAGGGTTCTGGATCCGGAGATGGAAAAGTACATAGCAGACAGGCGTGTGGCGGCGAGAAGCGTCACGCGCAACAGGGGCCCCTCGACCATAGATCGCTGAATCAAGGCCAAGAAACGAGCCAAGTCTTTTGAGCGCCGCGTCTTAGATGCGCACTTCCAGCTGCTCTTCTCCAAAGACTTGAAAATCACAAGCACTTTGGGAGGGTTCACGCAATCCTGAGGTTGTGGGAAAGCGCGTCCGATGGCCTAAAGGGCCCAGAAGGAATGAAATCTCGGAGGACAGGGGATGATTCCTTGTAAAGGACAGCGACAAAGCCAATACATTCAACTGACCATAGGCCATCGTCTCCAACCAGGTGCGCATCGGAGCGACAAACAGCCTCACTCGGGTCAGGGTTCAAAGGATCAAACCGGAGGACTTGCCAAGAAAATTCATGTGGAATGTGCATGCAACCCTCGACCTGAGTGGCTGTTTGGGACTACAGGAAAAGGGTTGGCCAGTGTGGGGGTCGAACCCACGACATTCGCGTTATTAGCACGACGCTCTAACCAACTGAGCTAACCGGCCGAACACATGCCGAAACCCGGGATCGAACCGGGGACCTTTAGATCTTCAGTCTAACGCTCTCCCAACTGAGCTATTTCGGCTGTGGGCACCGGACAGAGGCTACATTTTGGAGCGAAACCTGATCCGCAAAGAGCGAAAGGCATGTGTGAGGTTGCCGCTGCGCTATTGCGTAGCGGCTCCACACAACTACAGCGCTCTGGAGTCTGGAACTACGTTACCACCACAGACATCGGCAGGTCTCAACCTTTGCGCTGCGTATCTCCGTTTTGGTCCAAGTGATTAGCAACGAGGCAGCGTTCGCCACCGTCACCATCCGCGGCGGCGTGGCATCAGCTGGACGGTCGGGTGACTGCCATCACCGGAGAGCCGACAAACGAAGATACTGCCACAACGATGCCGAGAAAAATATCCTCATCCTCGTGATGTGGAGCGCGGTCAAGAAGACCCTTTAGATTGCCCGGCCTTCAGGAAGTCTGCTACAAGTATGGAAGAAGTCATGCAGTGCAAAAGATGCAAAAGAACCAATCCCCCTTAAAGATGTTGAGGATACCAGGCTTCCAGTCCCTTGTCGTGACATTTCACTCTCGAGGACGCTGGACGAAGTGGCGACGCAGCGATCCATGACCGCGATGGACGCCACTTCACAGAACAGGGTGGCCCTTCGAGCCAAAAACGGACGACACCATCGACATGTGTGTGGTACGCCTACTTGGGTCCAAACCTCGGCGTCATCGATGTCTACCGACTACACATCCGACACATAAGGCGGATAAGACCTCTTCGACCAGATCACCTTTCCACTGGTGACAGCGTCAGCGTCGTCGCTGGCCGTGTCAACGCCCATCATCCGCTTGCTTCGTCTCTGGGACTAGGACTGCGAGAGTCTCTAGATGTAGCCAGGTAGGAAATCGCGGTGTTACTGGTAAATTTAAGTTGTCTGGACGACGCCCGTCAGTCCGCCCCGGACGTGGCCTTCTGTTACCCGCCCATGGCAAAAGGGGCTGGGGGCAAAAGTGGCGCACCAGTCCAGACCTGGACGGTGACAGCCACCCGATGTTCCTAGGAATTCGGATAATAGGATGGGCTCCAGGGGTCAGGAACATCCGCGAAACCAGATGTTGACATGGTCTTTCAAGACAGTTGACTGGTTGACATTCCAGAAGGTGCGTTAGGCTGCCTTCGCGGGGCAACTTTGGAACATAAGTCCCTCCAGGAGCTGGCCACCAGGTTCCAAGACAACCTTCAGCAGGCCAGCGCTGGCTATGGCCCTAGCATTGCCTATGCCGAGGCAAAGCCGTAGTTGATGGATCCAGAGGTGGACGAGGGGATACAAGACAGGCGTGTGGCGGCGAAAAAGTGTATGCGCAGCAGGGACCCCTTGACCAAAGAGCGCTGGATCAAGACCAAGGAAAACGCCGCGTCATTCGAACATCGCGACTAACAAAGGCATCCCCAAGAGTTCGCCATGAACATCACTAAAACCGCAAAAAAGTCCCAGTAGTCCTGAAGTTGTGGGAGAGCACGTCCCATGACAAGCCCAGAAGGAATGAGCCATGAAGGATAACAGACCCGTCTTAGCAACGGACATGGACTACGCCAATGTGGGATTTCGGACATACACCACAGTTCCTTAAGACTAAAGCGCCTCAAAAAGATTGATAACCTGACTTAGACCAGGGTCAAGGAAGAGCACAACCAGTGCACCTGCCAAAAAGGTTCCCGCGAAATGTGTCACGCAATCATCACCCTGAGTGACCTACCTGGGTCAAAACGGATGGCCAGTGTGGGGGTCGAACCCACGGCACGACGCTCTAACCAACTGAGCTAACCGGCCGAACACCTGCCGAAACCCGGGATCGAACCGGGGAACTTTATATCTTCAGTCTAACGCTCCCCCAACTGAGCTATTTCGGCGGCGACAACCGCGTGGAGGCTGCAAAATCGACAGAAATTGGAAGCTACAAGAGTGGGCGTAACCAAAACCCACCGGTTAGAGTAGCGGTAGAAATAAGCACACTTCCGCGGCACCACGATAACCTAACGGTTGCCACTTGCCAGTCATCGAAAAAAAACAGCTTTTTGGTGCAACTTCTCCCCTGCTTCTTCTCTAAGAGAAACAGGCTTAACTACTGTGGAATCAGACCCAGACACCGTTGCCGCCTCTAAAGTTCCCACTCGCTTCTTGCCAAAGTCATCATAGAACCATTCATTTCCTCTCCACCACCTTTCCGTTACTTCCATCCTCAGGTCAGTCAAATCCTTCTCCTCCACTCCTCAACCCCCTGTTCCGGGCTGGACGGGGCAACTTTATCCCATGCGGGAATGCCCGAAGAGCACGTCCGTAGCCGGATGCGGTGAGTGCTTACGAGGCTAGTCGGCCTGTTCTCTGGACGGGCTCAGCCCCGGCTACTTACCTACCAGGGTGCCTGCCCAGACCAACGTCTCCCCCTAATTCCTATCATCCTCCCGGCTCTGCAACGGCCTCATACCCTCAATGGACCGAGAAAGCCTAACCCCCCCCCCCCCAAAAAAAAAAACAAAGTTCCCGCTTGCTTCTCGTCAAGGGTCATCATAGCCCGATCCCTTCGCCTCTCATTCAGCTCACTCAGTGCTCAGCCTTTACTCGCTCACTTCCTCAGCTCAATCGGAACTCACCATTAGCGGGTCCAGCTGCTTCTTGCAGTGCTTCCCGCGGCCGGAGATATTGGACTCCGCCAGCGTCTCTCGCGAAAACAGGTGGTCCAGCAGGGTGACGGCCAGTTTCTCGGCAGACAGGCAGTGGCGAGACAGGCGGGTCATCTCGCTGGCCGGCCGGAGGGGAGGAAGCAAGCGGTCAGACAGAGATGCGATCCTTGAGCACAGAAAGACCAGACAGTGTTGAATCTCGACAGTAATAAGTCTGAAGACTGCATTGCTGTTGCTCAAACCAGTGCTGGAAACAATTCATTATTAAGAAGCTGGTATTACTGTTCCTTAATAGTCTACATGTTCATCGTCCTCTGGGTTTAAAGCTTCCATAACAGCACGATATTCCCACTTTTCTCGTGAAATCGGGCACCACACTCAGACTTAACACAATCACAATACCCTCCAACGTTCTCCCAAGCACTCACAGTGGGTGGATCTTGCAGCGGACGCGCATACGCGGGTTGGACGGATCTCCAAGCCAGGATCCGTCGGGGAACTCGGACTCCCGATTGAGTGCGATGACGGGCGGCTCGATGGGGCCAGCGTTCTGTAGCAGTTCCACCGATGGGTCTGCCGAGTCGGTGTCCGGCCTGGCGACACGGGGATGGTGTGTTAGGGACGGTTGGTGAAAGAAGTCAAGTCCAAAGGAAAGAGGCGTTCTTGTGGCACACTCAGACTCTCCATGGTCATAACTGTCACGGAAGACGCCTGGGATCGCGATGCCTGTTTCATCTGATGGTACCTTGGGTGCCTTTCTCAGACGAGAATTCGCAATTAAAGAATGGCGTGTTTAACGCAGATGACTGTTTTACTCATCAAGTGTGCTTAGTTCCTCTCCACAGGCTCCACTCCACCACTTAGCTTTCCTACCGCCTGAACCTATCAATCCGACTACCCTTGCTCCTTCTCCACTATCTGTGGCCCTCCCCGTCCTTCCTAACCATCCCTCCCAGCACCTGGCCGGCTGTCGTGTCTCGGCTACCGGCGGCCGCCTTCCGTGTGACGAGGACACCAGCAGGGAGTCCACCTTCTCCGCCAGTCCGGAGCACAGGTGCATCAGGGTCTCCATCTTCTGCTGAATTTCCGGCAGGCTGGGGGGGGGGGGGCGGGTAGGTCAGTTCACTGAGCATAAGATGTGAGAAAACAGGCAACAAGAGACTTTGATTTAGAGGAGAGCAGGCATTGGTATGGAAAGGGAGAGTATCGTTAGTCGTTACACATCAAAGTGTTCCAGGTTATGGGAAAATGTTATTACGGAGCCCGTGTCACTGTCCATCTCAGGTTCAGTGTCCGCCTCAGTGTGTGTCAGTCTCAGCGTCACTCTAGTCTCGGTGTGTCAGTGTCGGTGTCAATGTTGGTGTCAACTGTCAGTGTCACTGCCAGTGTCCAGTGTCGGTTTCGGTGTCGGTTTTAGCGTCAGTATCCGTTCCGGCGTATCAGTGTCAGTCTTATGTCCGCCCCTCTCACCTGGTCCTTCTCGGCGCCTCGGTGTCTGTATCAGTATCGGTCTCCGCCTCCTGCGCCCCGCTCGGCCCCAGCGCCGCCTCCAGCCTCTCGGCCATACCGGAGCAGAGCTGAGTCAGTCCGTCCACCTTGCTGTCCATCTCCAACATTCTGACACGGCGGGGGACGAGAGACAGAGCGTCAGCGTCAGAAGGAGAAACAACAGCTTCGTAAGGCAGCGATCGGGAAATGCGCAAGAGACTGAAAAATAAAAAGAACGATTCGCTAGCCCGGCGTGTGAATCATGTGAGGTGTAGCTCTTGACTTGACAAGCCTGGTGCGAGGGCACAGCGAGGGCACTAAATTGATATGAAATAAATGGGTAAATATAAAGAGCCTTTTGTGAATGACGCAAATTTGCGAACGGAAAATGCAAGTACAACAGTCAAGTAAAAGCTCAGAGAGGTACTAGCTATGTTGGTTCAACACTGACATCTATGTCGCATTAGAATCCTTGCATTTGTCTAGCGTCGTATCTTACTGTAGTTATCAAATTGAGCTGTAAGTTACAAAACTCGAGCTCACTCACCGTGAGATGTAGCGCGTCTCCATCTCCTGTACCACGCGACTGACGAACATCTCCAGCAGGAGCATCTCGTTCTGACCGATCACCAGACTCTGACCGGACAGCAGCTCATCCCCGGCCTCTGACTCGGCCACCTGGCGGGCCAGGACAGAGTTATGTCAGCGGTGAGTTACATGGGTGGGGTTATGGAGGTATCAGGTAGCAGACATCTCACTGCAGTCACGGGAGAAAAGCTGGAATATAACGTGGGTTACAGCGGCAAAATACCGAGAGGAGAAAATATTAACAGGTTTTGATTAGTGGTGAAATTGCTTTAGCTGATGGGAAAATGGAAGCGAAAATAGTTATTTGAATTCGTTTCACATAAAGATAAATGACGAAAAACAAAATTCAAACAGGAGTGTAACTAAAACTAACCAGATATCATGACAGTTTTTGGCATTGAACGGAAATCACACCAAAACCTCCACAGCCCACAGCCCGAACACAGCACGAAGACACGTCAATCCGAGTCTGCACCCCGTGCCATACCTCGCTGGTCTTGTCTTGGGCGTCCTCAATAACGACGAAACTATCAGCGGGCGGCTCGGCCAGCGACTCCTGCGCGGAGGAGCCCTCGTCAGACCCGACGCGGTCCGACGATAGCTCCTCGGCCGATACCCGGCCTCCGCAGAGACTCGGGGAGTGAGACGACTTGTGACGCTTGCTGTGCAACATGGTGAGCTATGAGGACCTCTGCAATAGAACAGACAAGTGTAAGGACCGCGCACATAATGTTGTCAATGGATAAATGCATTGTCCACTCAGGCCTGAGCCGGATCTGTCTCAGAAGCTCAGTAGAACGTCCGGCTGATGGGCCGACAAGAGGAGATAGTCTGGTTCGAGCCGCCTCGACAGTCGCTGCTTGCTAACAGCGGGAATGGAACGTAATCAGTCACAGTGGTTGAATACAAGCCACATGAGGTACATATATGGACAAGACACAACCGTTGCGGCCGAGGGCATCAGCGCGTTGAATTCAACATTTTGAGGGCATGTTTGATGGCTGGAGCGACACCTGGCTGGATAGCGTTGAATTCTCCCCATTACTTACGGGTAAAATAGCACTATGCGAGGACTCGTGACATGACACCGTGCTCAAGATCAGACGCGTTTTAGCGTTCGCCGGTTGATCGCTGCTAATCTAACGGACGCTGCGGCAAATTATTGTAAAAATGGCGGGTATATTTCCTCGTTGCATCGTTCGACACATCATTCACGAGCACCACTGGTCGTCGACGTCACTACTTGTGCGACAGCCGGCTTCTGACCCACTCATGCCGGCGCTCCTCGCCAAACACTGCTCTGTCTGCCTGGTGCACGACTCTGACCGCCCTTTTGGCACCCTCAGTGTGCACGGGGAAGGCGGCGACCCGCAGTGGCTGACTACAGATGTCCTGCAGCTGAGAGTCTGTGAGATCGGCCGTCAGCGGCGGCTCCGTCACCAGCTCCTTCTCCCAGTCCAGCAGCTCCGTGTAGTGGGTGGCAGCGAAGTTGACGATCGGCAGCTTGAAGGGTCTGACTTCCTCCTGCGGTTGCTGTCGACACCGCTGGATGATGTCCACTGCTCGGGCGCGCACTGCTGTGTCAGGATCGGCCACCATCGCCAGCAGAACGGACTCTGGATGCACCCAGTAGGCGTTCCGCTGCACAATCCTTCTGATGATGTCATGCAGGCCACTCGACAGCTTCCGCAAGAGCTCGATGCTGCGCATGACGTTCGGGGCGCCGCTGGTGCAAGTGCTGTTGGCAGTGATGTGGAACCACATGGGGATGTAGTGACCAATCAGGAACTCGACCAGCTCAGTCAGCTCAGTGGTTGGTGATGGCGTGCCAATGTAGACACGCAGCAGCCGTGCCGCCAGAGTCAAACACCTGTGAGGAACGTGAAAACCAGCGTTAGATATGAAGCAATAAATCGCTCAGCTGACTGGTGAAAACTATGCACAATAATGCATTGGTAAATACGATCATAAAATGCGATAGATCACATCACAAATTGACCAAGTTTTAAACGCAACTAATAACTTTTCGCATCAAATAAAAAAATCGAACGCATTTTGTTTCCAAATATAACTAGGATAATCAATTCAATGATACAACCCCCGTGTCCGTAATTTTCAAAGTTACGTAGGATATGTTTCATTTCTAGAACATGCATATTTATCGGTTAACGTCAGGACACCTCATGCTCACCTGTCATCCTCCACGGGTCCGATTTCGCTATGCGCGTCGCTGTCGTCCAAGAGCTTCCCCGCATGAACTCCCCTGGCCAGCCGATAGAGCAGCTGCTGGTCGGCGCTGAGCTCAGCCACCTGCTGGTCTGAGAGATCCAGCAGGGGTCCCGGGACGGCCCGGAACGCCGCCTCACCCAGCCGGTTCACCTCCCCGGAGGCTGTCTCAAGCAGCGACCCGGAGGAGCCGGCCCCGGTGGGTAAACGGTCCAGGTAATGCAGTACCGCCCGCAGGAGCAGATCGTTTGCGTCCAGCTGGCAGACGAACCAGTGGACGGCGCGCGGCGGCTCCTGGCTGAGCTCGAACAGTCGACACACACCGCTGTGTCGGTCGGTGTTGGCGGCGGTCCCGCTGCAGCCGAGCGCCCGAACGTCGGCGTCGCAATCAGTAGCGATGTTCAACAGCTGTCCTGCCTGGCGGATGGTCTTCCCACTTTCAGGGGTAAAGTAGGTGAGGTACTTTGAGCCGGGTTCGGCTACCACGGCCACGTGTTCTTCTCGTCTTATGGTAGGTTTACCGATGGGTGATTCGTCCTGTCCACCATCGAAATACAGAGCCTGGATAGGCCCATGTTCTTCAGCTACCGAGGCCATCGCATCTCTGACACGTTGTCTTGCGCGGAGTATCTTTGACGAGTCAACCATTCCCTCGTGGTCGGTTTCTGAAATTCGGCCGATGTCTCGCTGAAATCCATTCACTATGGCGCACACCACGTGATAGGGGATGCCGAAACGTTGTGCGGCGAGAGCCGTGTTGACGAATTGGTCTGGGTTTCCGTCAGGGGTCTCGGGCCGAGCGTCGTGCTCTGCGGTGCACTGCATGTCGAGGTCGTCAGTGTCAGCGGCGCCGGTACAGCTGCCGTTCGACGGGCCGTCTGACCGGGGGTTTTGCAGGCCGGAGGGGCCCGGCTCGCTGCTAGGTCGGCTGGCCTGCGGAGACAGTGCTTGCGGTTCACGTTCCTGTTGCTGCCGCTGACGTTTAGGTGTTGCGGTCGCTGGGCCATCGAATATCTTACGAGGTCTCCTTTGATCGAGCAAAAACTTCACTTTCGTTGGCGGCACTCGCTTTTCTGGAGGACATTTGCAAGGGCGTTGGTTTTCGCACCTACAAACCGCAATATCAAACAGTTTTTCAAAGAACTTCACATTCATTTGTCCTTTTTTAGGATCACGCCTCTGTGCCATCGTTTTGTTGAGCATCTGATATTTCTTGTAGCATGTTGCAACTTTGTTGCAAACTGACTGTTCTCGAATTACAGGGATGCTTTCACTGACCCATATAGCGATGATTTCTTTGGCAGCCAACTTAAAAAGTGTCATCGTATTTCCTCGTACTTTTCCAGGACTGGTGTAGATCAGCCTGATGTAGTTGATAACATCTTTGTTGGAGGGCAACTGCCCTTCAGGCAGGTCAGCCGGAGTCCCAAGAACAAAGTGATCTGTTTTTCTAGCATTGGACATTTCAATTTAATGTAATGTTTACCTGCGAAAGGAACAAATAGAGCTGTTAGGTACCTATGTGGGAGGAGGCAGTGGATTCAAGCTGTCACATATAAGACACAGTATGCATGTGCAGTATAGATCTCACAGGTAAGTGATTGCCAAAATCCAGCCAGGGACTGAAATTAAGAACTATGTCATTTAACTATCACATAGCCTATTAAATAAAAGAAATGTGTTCGATGAATCTTTGCATATTTTGGAGTAGAATTGTAAATGTATTTCAAATGTTACTACCTATTTAAGATCATCTACATTCCACACTATTTTTAACCAGAAACTGATGAGAAATGGTACCCGATGGTACTTGCACTCTGCCTACCAAAACCAGAACATACTCATCAATGCATATATCAAAATAACTGTCTCAACCTAGTATTGTTAATTTTACTGACCTGTTACACAGAAGGACTCAGGGAAATGATTTTCCCTCTCACCAGCATAGTCTCCACCTATTCAAAGGAAAAATAAAAGAGCATAGGATGAAAACCCATGATAACATCCATGGGTTCAGTACCTATCAATGAAGGCCATTCTGACCTAGATCAGTAATGCAAACAAACAACTACAACCTGAGCATTACTGCAGATACATCTCACTGAAACTCCTCAGAGAACTCACATCTCACAACTATGTGTAAATTCAGAGATGATTGACTGGAAAGTGGTAGCTTAGCCAATCTTGAGCTATTTGAGCCACAACAATCACTGAAATATTTCCTGTGGTTTTCTGTGACATTTAATATACATGGTTAGGTAAGGTAGGTACTAATTTCCTCCCACACCACATGGCGCCAGCCCATGATAAAAATCACCTTCAGTATAAACTACACCAGGTGACCAGATTCATAATGGAACAAAAACTAAACCAATTGTTCAGGAAGAGGAAAAGAGCTTACCAAATTTCAAAACAAACTTGAACCATTACCACAAGCCTTTAGCTTAGCACCCTCTAAGAACTGCATAAATTCACAGAATAAAAACACAAAAGGGAAGAACAAAACCTTTCAAACTTGAAAAGTGACATGACACGTCAATACTTACATATAATACATTTTTACACTAAGTGACAAAACATTCATAAGTTACACACGTCCACCGCTGAAACCAAAACAGGTGCCTATAGACTAGGCGGCGGAACAATGAGCACAGGGGCACCGGCCCCCCTTTGATTCTGGCATTTTAACATTAGCCCTATGGGCGTTGCATGGAAAGAATGGGACCAAAAGTTGACGGTGCCCCCTTTACTTGAAGGTACCTATTCCGCCGCCACTGCAGACTGGCTATGAAGTATGAATAGGTTGTTAGGCATAGGTGGCGGAACAGGGGGCACCAGGCCCCTCTTTGATTTTGGCATTTCAACATTAGCCCTATCACTATGGGCGTTGCATGGAAAGAATGGGACCAAAGCTCAAAAGTCGACTGTGCCCCCTCCCCCTTAATTGAAGGTGTTCCGCCGTCACTGAATTGTTAATGAATGTTAATGAATGTTAGGTTTCAAATTTCTGACATTTCTGCTTGCAGTAACAGTGTACTTGGTTTTTTAAGTGCAAGTGATCACAGGAGTCATTTTCAAAATAAAAATAGTTTGTGACAAAGTGGTGTAGTTTCTATTTAATTCAAATTTCGAGCCCAGGGCACAAAATGCATTTTTCAACAAACGTTCATACAGCCAATGTTTTAGGAAACGCACCTACCCAAAGTCAACACCAAAATATCGACAGTAGGCCTGAAACACTAATAACTTGCTGTTGGATTATGATTCAGGCGATTGTACCATTCCCATGCCTCAGATTTCCCCCATTCACAAATTCACACAAACAAGACCGTATATAAATACAGGTACGCATCTGTTCTATAGCATCTTTTGCGGTTTTCGCACTATCCACATGCGGACAAATACAGCATTCTATCAAGGTTTTCTTTGTAAGATAGGCTCAAATTCATAAATTGTATAATTATAGGATATAAATAATTGTGCTCATTCGTAGATTTTTGATATTTTTATAAGTTGAAAGGAATAATTTTAAACATGCTGGCAGATGGACCTAATGCATTAGAACAGAGTGCGTCAGAAATGCCGCCGAAAATCCTCAAAGTTATTTTATGCTTCAAATTGGATCAAATACGTCATTACCAAACTCGCTAGTTTTTGAAAAATCATTTCATTTAAGCCACATGTTTTAATATTATTGAAAAGCAATATAAGTGTTAAATTTTGTTGAAAAAAATTTTGGGTCAAACTGGTAAAACCATATATTTAAACCAAATACATTTACTAAAAAAATCGTACCACTTTGACCAGCTCAATTTTCCTATGATGTAATTTGACACTTTAACTTTTAAAACAAAGACCACTCATTTTTTGGCGTTCGAATAGGTGCTGCGGCCGTTTCCGGCGAAAAATGCTGGATAGATGATCATACACCACATCTCTTCTCCATTAAACCGAAACTTTGCCATTTCTACTCTTCCCATCAAAACACAAGGATCAAAGAGAGAGTCCTAGCCAGGCTCCGGCTCGGCCACACACAACTCACCCACAACTACATCCTGGACAGAGCACCTCCACCCATATGTCACCACTGCCGCGACCACCCACGCTACACCATCTCACACTTCCTCCTCCACTGCCCACACCTACACCAACAACGCAGACATATAGTACAATACATTAACACACATGGACTCTCTCTCGACCTTCCGACTCTCCTGGGCGACACTCATCCGGATATCCACGACCTTCTGTTCGTCTTTCTCGCCGACGCTCGGATCATCAAGAGCCTTTAGCGTGTTAGGGCCGCGGCTGCCGCCCCTAAAACGCTAATCAGAGCCCTCGTCTCCCGGCTCACCCCCAAACTCACACATTAATTAATCGCGGTTACAGGGCTTTTTCCCTCGCGCCGTTTTGGCTTAGGTGCGAGGTTTTTGCCCTTTGCGTTAGGCGTCGGGTTTTTTATTATTTAGGACTTTTTCTCCCGACCATTACACCCCACAACAAGGCCCCGCCGGGGGGCTGGAGCCTAGAAGGTCTTATACCTTCTGTCAGTGCGATGAAAGCTTCCCGGCTCCATTACACTGACACCAGCTCACAAGTGTTCATGTCTATTATGTATTGTTAATAAAAGTCATTCCCACTGTTGTGTTTGCGACTCCAGACATCTCGGCTCTTTGGCACACGTAAGTACCTCCCTTAGCTTTGATTCCACATTAAGATAGGATCCCACGTTGTTTTTGCTACCGGGTTCACATAAACCGGTTTAACGTAAGACTTGCTGCCCGGCGAAAATTGCCGGAGTAACTGCCCCCTGCTCGGGTATGGCACTAGGCCGACCGAGCAAAAAAAAAAAAAAAAAAAGATTCAAGGCGGATTCCTCCCGGCGGCTCAGGCTCCCGGCGGTTTGGTTGGTTTCGTACGTTCGTACGTGACGTTGGATTGTGGGGGCGTGGGGCGTAAATTATTGGCAGTTTCTGATTTTACTGTGCTAATAATTTTTTGTTTTGTTTTCAGATATATTCTGCAAGTTCGTGAATACATTCCATCCAATCCAATATGGGTGTCGAAGTTCAAACCATTACTCCAGGTGATGGTAAGTTTTTCATTTGCTGGTTATTTTCCCAGAAATTCAACCATTTAAATGAGCAACACGTTAAGATTATACCAGGGGCGCGAGAACTACTTTCAGACTGGGGGGAGGGGGCACACCATAATAGAGATCAACCTAGGGTACCCCCAAATCTGGTTTTCTCACTGGTTTCAGGCCACTTATTTCTGATCCCTTGGCTTTTTCAACAACAAAAAAAAATCATTTGCAAAGAAGTGCGGTATTCTGTCTCGAAGTTGTGGGGCTACTGCCCCCACTGCCCCAGATTTGGGGGGGGGGGGCAAGCTGCCCCCACTGCCCCCCCGGTTCCCGCGCCCATGGATTATACTAGCATATATTTCAAGCTCTTTGTATTGTTGGCAGTAAAAAAAAGGTGAATCAATGATTAGGTAGGTACCTCATAGGTACTTACCTGCTGGTGAATACCTACCTACCTACTGGTCCTGAACAGTTTCATTAATAGGTTTGTGGTAAATAGGCTCAAGAGTTGTCTTAATTGTTAATATTTCAGCCTCAGTTTTTTCTGTGTGAAGTGAAGTGTGTTAAATCAAAGTGAAACTGTGTGCATGCCTCATAACAATTGATGCCATCCTGCCTGTTCCCAGGCCAGACCTTTCCGAAGACAGGTCAGAAGGTGTTTGTACATTACACTGGTGAGTTGTTCAGAAATCATCTGTATTTTAGTGCAAAATGCTAGACTTACAGACAGCTGTTGGTTGATGACATCGATATTGTGTGAAAAACATCAGTATTCAGATACTTATGTACCTACCCTACCCACTCAAGCTTGTATATTGAAGCTTTGTGTAAAAAGGCACTGATTTTAGTTTCATTTTATTCCTTCTTATGTTCTTAATAGAAAGCTTCAATGATCTCACTGCATTCATTGTATTGACTAGTATTGGTTTTAAATTGTTTATTAGCCATCCCATGGGTTTGTAGCTGTTGATTCTCAGTGGGCAGAACCAGAGTTTTTTTGCAAGTTAACAAATGAATGTGTGCAATACATTTCACAAGCTGTACTTGCTTGTAAGTAAAGGCTTTGTATGTGGCCCTAGATTCAGGAAGATTTACTGTTTACAATATACATATTAGGTACTTACCTATGTAAACATTCTATGAAATGTTAGGTAGGTGATGTGTTTTGGATGATGAATGTCAGTTGTATTTCTTGACAAGGTAGCTGATAATAATGAGGAGCATTTTGTGTTCCAGGCTCATTATAACTATGGCCATAGGGAGAAGCTGGAGTGGGATATGATAAATCAGATGGCCTGTGCTTGTTATGTTAAAAAAATCATCAGCTGCCGTCATACTCACGGGGGCTACACCCTACCGGCTCCCTCCGGAGCTTGTAACAGCGCCTCGCCAAAATCTCGCATTTTTCCGCGATTGCGCATGTTTAGAATCGATGCCGCACCGTCTTTACCTTTGATCATGACGCGGTAAATGATAAATTCACCTGTAGCTACGCAAAAAATAGTGCATGGTATCGGGGTAAGTTTGCACGGAAGTGACGCGTGTTTAAGTATTTCCTCTTCACGAGTTATTGTCAATATTGTTGGTTCAATCTTGAAGTAGCAGTTAGCACCACTGCTGTTGATGAAAAACAATGTCGCTATATTGACCAGTGGACAGTGGTCAATTGACCATTGGTCAATGCAACTTCATTTAATGATGGTTCATCGTGACAGTGTTTACCTCGAGAGCCACAAACTGTTATTTGCAGTAGCATTACTTCGGTCTAGATGGTACTGGGAGTGCGAACTATGAATATCAATTAGGTGTTACCGGGGCGGACGGGACATGTCCTCATGCATACACATCGTTCGATGTTCACAATGACCTACATGATTTAATTTAAGACAATAGAGCGACGCCGTGCCCGTCTGTACCAGCCGAGCTATGACGTGTGCCCGTGAATGACCGTGAATGACGTGTCGACTCAACCGGCTGCGCAGTTGTGGGGTGTAATGTATGACAACAAACGGGTTATCGGGTCTAAACTGTCGCCTCAAAGCGATAAAGTCGTAAGTTGTTGTTTAGTCTGATTGTTACTATTAGATGTTAATCATAGTAACGTGTTGTTGTTGTACCGTCTGACGTTTGGCACCCCGTTGAGAGTACGTTTTCTATCAGCGTTTTTCAGTAGGTAACCTTACTGCATTTTACAGTATACGAGTACGTTATCGGCTGGATTACAGCGATATCATCATTTCCGTTCCGGTAAATATTGCTCAGTCCAAGGTCAGCCTGATCCTTGCGTACGGACGCGATTACGTCGTCCGATACCTCGCGTTTCTTGCTGCAGATCTTGTGCCTGTAACACGTCACGAAACTTTTCTATTTCTGATCCTATTCCGCCACCAAAACTTTTTTCATACACTGTGTGTATCATGAGAAGTGATCACTGGCCCCTCATTTTAACTTCTACTTTCATTGTTATTCACTATAGCCCCGCCCTCGACGCCCTCTCTCCCTCCCCTCCCCCCGGGCCCCCATACCGGCCGTGTAATCTGACCTTCGCCCCCGGCCGGTCGCCACAGGCACACTGACGGACGGCTCCAAGTTTGACTCATCCCGGGACCGCGGCCGGCCGTTCACCTTCAACATCGGCCAGAAGCAAGTGATCCGCGGCTGGGACGAAGGTGTGGCGCAGGTCAGTGAGCGGGGAGAGGAGAGGGGGGGGGGGCTGAGAGGAGGGGTCAGTTACAGGGGAGAGGGGAATGAGGAGACAGTGACGTGTGTTTGAATAAGCTTTGGACGGGCTGAAACGGTAGCTGTCATGGGGAACTGCTCTGGAATGGGGTGGGGGCAGAACGATTGGAAAGACGTACATTTTTTAGCTTTGTAGGAGACTTGGTGCTTTATCGGGATGTGGCGCTGCTGGGTTACATTTGCCAGTATGTTCTATCGGAAACGTTGCGAGATCGTTTATTTATTTTGGTAAAAAGCCAGACTCAAGAGAGTACAGCAGGCCAAAAGCCCAGCTACGATATCCTGTACACGAAACTGTATTCAAGCAGTTAAACTGTGGTTTGCATGCAATAATGCACTAGCTGGAAATGTCGTTGATGCAATATTTTCAGGGAGAAGCGACATTGGGAGGTTCTTTCTGAGCAAAATGGAGTTGAGCTTATCGTGACAGGAAGAAGGTACATTTTAACTTTTCTTCCTAGCCAGCGCAGCGTTATATGGCGGTCACCAGCTCAACCTTTTCGTGTCTGATCTTTCGAGAACTTTATCAAAAGCTCAAGTATGGGAGGAGTGGAATAATTTAGCTAAGATCGGAGCATGGAAACCGCTAAAAACTTAGGAAAAACGTAATACTCGCGATATCGCCCGACCTTATATCGTTACCGCTATTGCGTAGTAATAAACGATACTATCGGCGAGTGGCGTGAAACATCTGGTCGCTATCGGGCCTAGTTTCAAGGTCACCCGGTCACGTGACTTCCTCCGGTGCGGTACTTGGTGTTAGACATTGATCTGATCTCTCACCAGACCGACCCCGACCCCTGACACTCATCACACCGTGTTCCAGATGTCCAAGGGCCAGCGGGCGAAGCTGATCTGCTCGCCTGATTACGCATACGGCGCGCGCGGCCACCCGGGCATCATCCCGCCCAACGCCACGCTGCACTTTGATGTGGAGCTGATCGACATTCAGTGAACGGCTGGATCCCGCTCACCGGCCGGCCGCCGATGGCCCGCGTCGATAACCCGCCGGTTTGTGGAACGGAGTCGGCCGGCAGCTCTGGTACTAACGGTCTGTCAGCCGCGGACACGCCCCCCAGCGGCGGCGGAACCGCTGGGCATCGGCCGAGCGACGCCAGACACCGGGAGACCGCCACTGAAGGCAGTGCGCGAGCGACGCGAGTGGCGCAAGTGGTCCGTACACTAGTGTCGCCTCTGGACCGTGATCCAGCTTGGTTTCGACTGGAGAGTACTGCCGTGAACCGTGCGCCGTCATCTAACAGCGAATCGTGTCCGCGAGATCTGCAGCAAGCTATGTCCCATCACCCCACCCCGGCGTGTCTTTGTCTCTGTCTGTCTGTCCGCGGGCCGTATCGTGCCCCGTCTTACTAGTACCCCGCTCCCGTGTCCGCGTGTCCTCTGTGTGTCCTGCCGTGTCCGCTGTCTACCCTGACCGGTCGGCCGTCCGCGTCCTCCAATACACGACTGCTCACAGCCGATATAGCCGAGTTTGAATGGGGCAATTCTAGCGTCGATAACCCACGACGGGGATGAGGAGCCGTAGGCGAATTCGGTTTCAGGTAACCAGGTTATCACCAAACGGTGGGAAGAATCTAGAGAAGTTTGTCACTGTGGGAACTGCTGTTTGTCTGGTTCGGTTAGCTTCGAGCGTGCGGCAAGGTATTTGCCGCTTCAGTGGTAATTAAAAACAATGGTGGGTAGCGGGAACGTTTTCTTCTCTCTGTTCCGTGCAGGGGGACTGCCGGTAGTCTTTTTGTCCCATCCCCTCAGCAGCAAACGATGAGGGTCCGGTTGACAGATGAAGATGTTTTGATGTCTGCAGATGAATGTTTTACACGTGACACAGATCGACTCACCCACGACGAACTTGAGGCAAAGGGTATCACATGTAGGAAAGGGACCCATATTATTATTTACTTGTTTTCACGGCGTCTCGACAGGTGCGTCGTTTACTGGCAGGTTGAATGCGCATCGGCATGGTAATTAACCTGGCAGGCGGTCCCTGGCATGCCTGTGATCAGAGCGCTGGTATCGGTACACGAGATCGTAAGCATTCTCCGCCGGCAGCACGGATTCACTAGCGGCGACGTGACTGTCCTGTGCGTAGCAGAAGCACAAAGACATTCTCAAAACTCAGGTCGAGTCGGGATGATCCCTGGTAAAAGGAAAGTAATCTTGGGTAAAAGGTGCCAGACTGGCGGTCTTTGGTAGTGATCATCTGGGCCACTATGGTGATGGTCGTCATTACTGTCGTCGAGCGAAGACCGCTAGTTAGCGTTTACAATGGGATACCTCAGATAGAACAAAGAACGTGATAGGCAGTCATTTCGATTTTCGAGGTCGGACTCTTCACCTTTTATGACAAATTTGATCACCAGCGTCCAGCGGCAAGCCCTACGAAACCGACGTTCTGCACGTTGCGCTCAAATAAGAAAACAAAGGTCTTGCGGAGTTCTGGGGTTTCATCAGCTTAGTTCATTCACCCAACGGACCGAACAATACCCTTCATTAGTTGGCGCGACAGCCGTCCTTACAAACACGTTTCTACTGTTCTGCGTGGGAGATATATGTATTTTCTTATAAACACTCGGACATGTAACTTAGCACACAAAGTCGTTCCCAACCTTCCATAGTGTATGTATTCAATAAATTAGAGTCGCCAGTTTCCGACCGACCGTCACTGCATCCGTTGAGGGCGCGGCCCCGGTGCGGGGCTCGCGCCTCGGTTCGACCAGCCGAGCAGGTACGCCGGCACCAGAATCATTCCGTCTCGGACCGGGTCTCACCAGTCACCGCGTCATTCATCCCGATAGTACCATCTACGTCGCGCCTGTTACTCCACTCTTTGTACTAGGTCGAAAACAGTAAAACAAGCCTGGCCGTCGCTGGCCCGTCGCTCGCTGAAAACGGTGCAAAGTCCGTGTCGTCTGAAGACGACCGGTTAACAACGTTCATCGGTTCATTCGCTAAACAGCGTCCGCCCACCCGGGACCAATTTATCCATCGCTCGCCACACAGTCCACGTTAGGTGAGGGTGGCGCCGGCCGTGCGCCCTACCCCGCCGGGACCCCGGCGGGACCCCGGCGGGACCCCGGCGGGACCCCGCCCCGCCGGGACCCCGGCGCGGGCCCGCCGCCCCCGACCGACGTCTGTCCCCACGACAGGCGCCGGTCGGGGCACGGCCGCGGCCGGCGCACCCTCGCTATACCTAGGCACCCACACACACACAGACTGTGATAGAAGATAGCGAGAGAAACGCGCCGTCGGCCGCCGAGCGGTTCGGCGGCGGCCGATCAGATTGCACGCAGCGGTCGGAGACGGCCACCCCGCCGCCGCCGCCCGCTCTGGGCGGGGGCGGGGGCGGCCGCCGCCCGACCGATAGCTGGGCCGCCGCGGCTCGGGCGGCGCCGCGAGAGGACGGCGAGGCGCGCAGTCACGCACACTACGGCCCGCGCCGGGCCCGCTACAACACTGAGGATTTGCCGGCGGCACGAACCCGCCTGCCCGTCCGTGCGTCGCTACAGAGGTTACCTAGGACACCGCCGCGTACCGGACTGCCACGACGGCTATATACAGGGTGGGCCAAAAAAAGTGTGTCACTTTTCAGCAGCTATTTCTCGAAAGTGGTAAGAGATACCAAAACGAAACTTTCACAATTAAATGAAAATCGTTTGACAAATTATATGATACCCATTTTATGAAAAAGTCTCAGTCGAACTGATGTTGCCATCACCATTTCAAAAATGGGATATGTGCGTCTTTTATGTTTGGGCATGTGCTCGAAGTGGGCACCGCCAAGCTGAAGGGCCATCTGAACGCGCTCCAGGAAGCTGACGCCCACCTCTCCGCGGTGTCTGCTGGCACAACACGCACGTACTGATCGACGCTGACACGCAGCTCCTCCAGGCTACCGGGCTTGTTGTGGCAGACGCTGTCCTTGCAGGCTCCCCAAAACCAGTAGTCCAGCGGGTTGAGGTCAGGACTGTGAGGAACCCACTGCTTTTCGCTTCCATTGGTGATCACGCTACAAGCTCTGTTCATGCAAGATGTAGCGCCACCGCACACGGCCCGAGAGACACTGCAGCTGCTCCAAGAGCTCTTCGGTTGCCGCGTGATCTCCAAGGGAAGCGAAAAGCAGTGGGTTCCTCACAGTCCTGACCTCAACCCGCTGGACTACTGGTTTTGGGGAGCCTGCAAGGACAGCGGCACCACAACAAGCCCGGTGGCCTGGAGGAGCTGCGTGTCAGCGTCGAGCAGTACGTGCGTGTTGTGCCAGCAGACACCGCGGAGAGGGTGGGCGCCAGCTTCCTGGAGCGCGTTCAGATGTGCCTTCAGCGTGGGGGTGCCCACTTCGAGCACATGCGCAAATAAAGAGACGCACAGATCCCGTTTTTTAAATCGATGATGGCAACGTCAGTTCGATTGAAACTTTTCCACAAAATTGGTATCATATAATTTGTCAAACGATTTTCTTTAAGATGTGAAAGTTTCTTTTTCGTATCTCTTACCACTTTCGAGAAATTACTGCTGAAAAGTGACACACTTTTTTTGGCCCACCCTGTAGTGTATCATGTTGGGGGCGGCCGGCCACCCTGCCCTGCCGGTGAGAGTACCTACCGGCCCCGGGCGCCGCCGCCGCCCGGCTACAGAGTGGTAGCGGGCGCGCCCCTCGTCCCATACCATACTGCACACCAGTAACAATAACAAAAGCCACAGGTTAACACCGGGCGCCGCGACCCTCGCGTGCCCTCGCTCGGTCTGCCTCGCACTCGCTCGTACTCTGCGCGCGCTCTATCGGTTGCTCTTTTTCTCTCTCTCTTCCCTCCTGCCTCATTCGCTCTGAGCGCCATCCCTCGCCGATCGTCACCTAGACATCGTAGGTGGGATTACGGTTATAGGCGGCGCCGGTTGGCTTCTGGTCAGAGCGCTGAGGCCAGCCAGCTCCGGCGCCCGGCGGCTGACTACCGGGCGGCTGCGGCATACCGGCATCACCTCCGGCGCCGGCGCCCTGGTTCATCCAGTTGAGGAAGCTGCCGCCGGCCGGTCCGCCGCCCGCCTGGCTGCTGGGCGCCATTGACGGCGGTCCCTGAGCAGCCTGGCTGGCCGGCGCCGGCCCCGCCTGGCTGTAGGCCATCGGTGTGTCGGGCGACTGGCCGGGCAGATTGCTGAGCAGGCCCCAGCCGGCCTGGTTGAGCGCCGCCGCCACCGCCAGCGGGTTCAGGCCGAGGTTCAGCGCACCGACCCCCATCTGGGCCGGGTTGGGGCCCTGGCCGCCAGCCATTCCCTGGTGGCCGCCCTGGCCCATGCTGCCGCCGATACCCAGCGAGGTGCCGAGCGCCGCCAGGTTGGGCATCTCGGTGCCGCGACCGCTCTGGTGCTGGCCGCCCCAGCCGCCGTTCATGCCCTGGCTGCCGTAGCCGTGCTGTGCCGGGCCGTATCCACCCATCCCCGGACGGCCGGCGTCACGCAGGTGGCCGCGTCCGAACCCGTGACGTGCCGCGTGGTCCGTCTTCGGCGCCGCGTTACTGACAAGCACCGACGTGTTCTTGATGATGTGATCCTCTCCGCACAAACTCTGAGCAACGTCAGGGTTCAGGAAAGTGACGAACGCGAATGCGCGGAACGGTTTGGGGATGAAGACGTCTGTGACCTCACCGAACTGTCCGAAGTAGTCGCGCAGGTCGTCCGGGGTGATATCGTCAGAGCATCGTCCGACGAACACCTTACAGGGCACCTGGTGCTGCTGTCCCTCCTGGGGAACACAGGGGTGGAGGGGGGGGGGGGGGAGTGTCAGACGGCCGCAGGGGACGCACAGCTGGCTTATATAGCATTGTGAACGTCGTACAATGACACTCCGAGCAGGGCAACTCGATAATATACAGCTATTTAGCCCTGGCAAATCGAGAAAATACCTTCACAAAGTCACTGTAACTGGGCAACACAAACGCTCAGGATGAGTGTGATTGCACCATAGCGACTTATGTCGGCGATCCACTATCATTCAGCAGTCAAAGTTCCAGAATATTGCATCCCCAGCTGACTCCCACCCCATTCATTCCTAGCGACAGCCCGGCGCACCGTGCGCTCCGGCAGCAATAAAACAATGGAACGGAGGCCGTTGATAGAATCGCGTCACCGCCGCTGAGCTGTCGGCAGGCTGCAATGGTGAGAATGCAGAGACGAGGGGGGAGGGAGGGAGGGAGAGAGAGAGAGGGGGGGACCACCACTGCAGCAGTTGAGGAGGGCATACCGTGATAACATGTCCTGAAACATCAATCAGACATTGGCCTCTGTACGTAGAGGTCTGTGCAATAAATGTATCCACCCGTGTCATATCTAATTCAACTCCAACACGCTACAGCTCCACCGCACCCTCCCACACCCGATTACTTTAATGACGTCACATGATGATGATGTCGGCGAAAATGGCGAACTGATGACATAATGGCTTACTCAGAGACCGCAACCGACAACAGAGTCAACAGCGGACACGTAGATCACGCGGGGTGTGGGCAGGACAGGACCGTGCTGTTATCCTCTACTCGCGAATGGCTAGATAGCGAGAAACTGAAGCGATGGTGATTGGTGGGCGTCATGAATGCGTTATAAATACTTGCAAGTCGTAATGGTCACCATAGAACAGGAAGCAGCATCCAGGAAGGTCCAAGACATTGTATTACTGCTACAGATTCGACTTTTTCCTCGCCAAAGCAATACAGACAGCATGTTGTAGGTACCGTTAGCTACAGCCAATGACGCATTAGGGGATTCACCGTGCAATTTCTAGGGTTACTTACGACATTTCTAACGGACTAGTCGACATAACCACAACAGCTCATTACTCGCAATCAAGTAACGACTTCCTGCCCTGCCCTCACAACAAAGCGTCCCCTTCCTACACACTAACACTGAGGCCTGTCCCTAGCCATGCAACCGGCCTCCCTACCCTTATTTTGTCCCCAACGATAGGTCTGCATTCTGTTACCTCTCCTTCTTTACTTTTCGTCGCCAGTCATGGACCTGTTACCTCCCCTCGCTCCAACTGTCCCGTCTCTAACCACCGAGTTGACATCCCAACTGTCCCATTTCTTACCAAAGAGCGTCCCCTGCCTCCTTTTTTAACAAAGAGCGTATCACACAGCTGCCCTTTTTACAGTGGAGTGTGTCCCCCACAGGTGCGCCGTTTCTTACCATGGAGCGAGAGTTGGGGATCTTGACGTCGCACCAGCGTCCGTCGATCATATGCCGCTGGCTCAGAACGCGCATCTGAGACTCAAACGAGCCGAAACGGATGAAACCGAAGCCCTTGCTCTGTCCTGACTTGGGGTCCTTCTTCACCTGTGAACAGAACGTAGACGTGGGTCATATGATAACGTCTATGTGGCACAGGACGGGTTACATGTGCCGGCATTCTCAGTGATTCAATAATAAGCGCTCGACGGAAACTTGCAGTCATCTGCTTCGTGATTTTTTTCCGTGAGGCAATGTTTAGATCAAAACATTAGATAAGCCCGATACCTCATAGACATACTGACCATTTCATCACACACAAACACCAAAACATCCCCATATTGAGCCATCACAACACGCGCTATTTTTACCCTTCCATCTATTCTAGTCTACCCTCCCTTCGTTCCCGTTCGTGATCAGCCCTCGCGAGACATCCCGTTTCGGAGAATGTCCTGTCCCGCGGCTCGGCCGGTCGCGTCTCCGTCTGATCGATAGGTCCGAGTCGGTCGGCCGGGCCGGGACGCCAGACGGCTCGGCGCCGCCCATCGGAGCTCAGAGACGCTCCACTGCACAGAGGTGCAGCTGGGTCGACACACAGCTGGGACTCAGGTGATGTGAGTCAGGCGGGAGGTCAGCTGACGGCAGCGTCACTCATAGGCCGTACAATTGTAAATCAGCTGACGAGCGTCACTCATACGATCTACATCAGCCGACGTGAGCGTCACTCTGCGGCGCACATCAGCTGACGTCTCTCGGTCATGGTTTGGTGAGCTTTGCGAGTCACTTAAGGTCGGCCGTAGTTACACATCAATCATTATTACCACCAACAACAGTCACGGCCGGCTTAGGTGAAAGTCAGGCAATGTTGATACAGCTCGATGCATCAGCTGACGCCAAACAGGCACCCGAAGGACATCAGATGATACCAGTGGTCACAACATAGCAAGCCGACCGAAGCCGAACAGACACAGCTGCTCGTTTACAGCTTTTAAAGGTAGTGTGCCAGCTTTCTTGGACCGTATGGAGTTAATGGCCCAGATAAGGAGAACCGGATTTTTAGAACTTATCCATACCTTCAAAACTCATGGAAACGTCTTAAATTCTTCAAATTTTGAGTACCCCAGTGCGAAATTCGCCCCGACGGGTTGTCGGTCGTACCCCAACCACATTTCACACCACTATGAACAATAAATGCACACACTGAAATCGCTATTACCGATATGCTCATCCAATCAAGTTTCGATAAACCCGTTCATCATCAGCTCCTGCGGTTTCGAACACGCCTGTTAGTTGGCTTCTGATGCTCGTCGAGGTCGGAATTTCCAAATACGCGTGGTGCGTCGGGCCGCGCGCTCTGAATTCGGCCAAGAAAAATGCGTCAGCTGATCATTGTCATTTCTGCCACTTGCGTGTGGTGTAATGGGGTCATAACTTAAGAGACGGCTGTTTCATATCAATTATTTTACATAAAATCATATTTCAAACCACAACTTAATGTTCGACAGCCAAATTTAAGAAACAATACCAATACAGGCTTACAGTTTAAGGCTCGACATTGTGTTGTCTACGATTAGACAGCTGATAACTCATTCCCGTACGTCGTATGGTCGTAACACTATAATGACCTTTGCTTATTGTCACAAGTGCGCCGCATTCGCGATTGTTGCCCGACGCCTGTTTGCAGGTGAGCCCACTACAGTTGTTATACATATTTAAAAACCGATAAACTTTTAGGCGAAAAAGGCACTATTCCAGGCTCATTTTTGATTTTTTTTTTGCGATATTAGGTAAAAACAGAAGCTTCTTATCCTAGGAAAAATAAAATGGGAAATCTTTCAAAGGTGGCACACTACCTTTAATGCTGTTCAGATCATCATAAGATATATCAGTGACCAAAAGAGGGTTGCGTCTCAGGTCAGAGAAGCAAGGACGTTTGATTTCAAGCCGGATAAGATCAATCTGACAGCATGGGCTGGCATTGGAGTCTTCCTCAGCTCATCAAACCAGCTAATAAGCAAAAGCGTCAGCGGCGCATCAGCACCTCACAGATCAATAGTAGCAACTCTACTGCGACTCCTTCAGTCACATCAGTTACAACTTACAAACGATGTGTCAGCAACTTTATATCAGAGACGTCCTTTCGTTTCGTGATATTGCCACTATGACACTGACCTTGGATGATCGGAAAACTCACGAAGTGAGCTACGGACGTCAATACAGCCAGGTGACGATTGCGGGTTGAACTGAGTAATCAAAGTAATCGAACCAGTTGCGACCAAAGTCAATGCCATCGCTCGATGGAAGGCATCATCCAGTCTCTGACATGAAATGAAATCGCTGGCAATAGAGTTTTTAGTTTCCGAAAACCCAACGATCGGAAGAGTTCGAACCCATTCACCGATGGGGCCCAACGTTGAAAACATTATCCGGTTAGTGCCATGAGAGCCGAGACTACGCTTCACCTAATCCCACCTACAATTACCTGCTCCCAAGGCCCATTACATCCACCCACCATCCACAAAGCTCATCAATGCGGGACGATATCCCGCGGAACGCAATGGGCCGTCTAGTAGGTATCCGCCATAGGAACTATGCAGGCATTCCCATCTAAAGTTCTTCCGGAACTTCGCGTCAAGGCTCTCCCACATACAGCCCCTAACAAACGGCCGCAGCGGGCGGCAGTGGCGGGAGCGCGGGCGGGGGCGGGGGCGGCGGCAGTGGCGGCGCCGCGGGCGGGGGCGGGGCGGCGGTCAATACGGCTCCGGGCACCGGCAAAACACACCGCCGCCGCCGGCCCCATCGCCCGCGGTCGTACTGTTCACACCGGGCCTGGCAACTGACGGTGAAACTGGCGGCACGCTACAGACCGGCCCTAGACACCGGCCACCGGTCACTCGCCGGTCCGCCCGGTCCTCACCGCCCCTGGTTGGTGGGGCTGAATAACCCGGGAGCGGGGTGTCAGGAGAGCACACAACACATCATCCCCGCGATCAGATGTTCCTTCATGTCCTTTGCCGCCGATACTAAAAAAATTAGGTAACCGATTTTCAAAACCCCGAGACAGTAATCCCGTTTAAAATGAGAGGATTGCCAAATGTAACAATATCAAGTACCAGTTACCACGCCCCCTCCAACTTCCAACTGGCAGGCGAAACGCGCTATTCTGCACTGTCATCTCGTTGTCTCAGAAAACATATACCTTGATAAGATAGCCCACAAATCGCCATGTCTCCGGGACCGGCGGATCTGTCATTCACCCATCGTGCCACGTGGAGAAGACGTACCATCGTCTACTAGACGACTCGTCACTTCTAGTTGAGAGTGAGACCCATCTTCAGTTTCCGGGAGCGGCGAAAGTCAAATATACAGTTAACAACGCCACGGGCGGTCTCGTAAGTCGGTAACCGTCCCATCCCTGAGAGGAAAACCTTCCGAACAAAGACTGCTCAACTTTTACTTCCGACCTAAGGACAGCTTCACACTCAGAAATCCGTCGTTGATGTTGCAAGCCACTCGCACACTGAGTGCTCCCGTCATATCACGAAGTGATCGTTCACTGTGGTCTGGAGCGTCACCTACGGTGGCCACTCGCGGACGAGCGGACAACAGTCGGAGAAGGTTCTTTCAGAGCTCTGCATTGCAAGGCGATCACGGGGCCATTGTCTCTGCTTTCAGTCGCGCCCGGGACATTCAACAATAAAAACACGTTTTTTATTTTCCGAAGATAGCAAATGTCGCGTCTGTGCCCAGCAGTCTTGCTACGCTCACTACAATCTAAAACCCTCCCCTGCCTCTACCCCCCCCCCCCCCCCATGTGTGCCTCGCACCCTCACCTGGGCCATAAGGACCTCGCCGAAAGGCTCGAAGTACTCGCGCAGCTCCTGTTCGGTGGTTTTCCATGGCAGGCCGAGCACGATCAGGTCCGAACACTTTTGTTTCAGCTCCAGACGCTTGGTCTTGGCCAGGCCAGACTCGAGCAGTTCGTCATTTTTGCGTTTGTTTTCTGAGGGGGAGGGGGCCGATAAATGGGTGGTGGGAGAATACCTCAACAACAATGAGGAATGGGACATCAACTTATCATGGATAGCTAGGAAGTTTATGAGTTTAGGTATCTCATATTTACAAATGGGATGATACCCAAACAAAATAAGTTTAAAAAATGACAAATTCATGTGGGATTTTCCTTTCATTAATAAGCTGCAACAGTTTGAAATACAATGGTTAGGTTCTGTATTCAATTTCATACAAGGGCTTATTGAGGATGACACAAAAAGGAACTGCTTAACAATAACCAAACCTCTTTTATATAAAAGCATAGGTAAATAAATACAACAATCAAAAGAGCAAAGCTGATAAATTATTTCTACACAATCAATATGCAGGTACACATAACACAAGAGCATATCCCTTCATGGCTTAACAACTTTCAGCTGGACTCAACAGACTTTGATTCAAAACAGTCATTCAGAGTTCTCAATAAACATACAAACCCCTGACACACTAACAATTTTGTTCAATATTTTATTGCTAAGTTGCAGCTACTTTTGCTATTTTAGTAAACCCTTTTCCCTGCCGATTATGCTGAACTTCCTGTGCTGTAACTTACCTTCAGGATTTTCTGAAACAGAGGAAATCCGAAATACTGTCAGCATCAAGGCACAATAGCAAAGACAAGCATGTTCACAATATCTGAGGAGAATAGTGATCTTAAATTATGAAGGATCAACACCTTTCCAGCTTTATTTTACATGAACAATCACTTATTGCATAATGACCATGTAGTTAACACAATTGAATCTAATGACAGTTAAATTACAACTGGAAAATGTTTTTCAGGGAATTAAAACAGCTTCAAAATGACAGTTGTTGAACTTTCTTACTATCATAAAATAGGATGAGTGCCAAGGACTGATATGCATGTGGAGACAAAAGTGAGAAGTAGGAACTAGGTATGACCCTTCTTCCCTTCTTAGTCAAATTCCTTATTGTTACATTATATGACTGATGATTAGATTAGCTATAAGAATGGAGAAGAGCCAGAACAACTTCTGGCAAATATAAAACATTCATGATTCAATGCACAGTCAAGATGACCAACCTTGACTCTTGATAAATATCAACACATTTCAATATTCAATCCAAATACCATGTTTCATTCATATTGACCTGAACTAGGAAACCACCAAGAACACCACAAGAACAAGTTCAAGCAAGAATAAGTTGTTTGTAGACCTCAACAGCTCATTGATTCTGAGTGGTGCATCTGAGCCCCAGCTCAGTAGGCGGAACTATGGTCAAGCGTACCCATTTTCGGGAACGCATTTTCGTTCCCATCTTTGGGAACGATAAACCCAAATATGGGAACGCCATGTAGGCATTATTTAAAACAAGAAAAAGAACCGTTAAATGACGTCCAAAAAATATAAAACGATCGTGAACCGCCTGATATTTGTCTCAATATTGTTGGGAAAGAGTTTGATATTGTAAGGCCCATCGTAGTTTCAAATCGTTCCCCTATTTCTAAAGCAGTCCATCATACGGGCCGCGAGCCCAAATTTGGGAACGCTCTCGTACACTGGCGCTGCAAGCGTTCCTTATTATGGGAACGGCGTACCCAAAATTGGGAACGATTTCACCGACGGCTTTCAGGGGCTCTTTTCATTAACAAGCATCACGTCCAACGCCGCAAATTATTGTTAACGCAACAATCATCAGATGACCTTTCCGGCAAGACCGTCGCATGTTCCGCCCGGTCTTCTGCGCTTTTATTCCCGTCGATCTCGCAACGGGCACGCCCCCCTCTGCAGGATTACGTAATTCACAACGCTCAGCGATGTTCAACAAGGTCTTCCATACCTATATACACCGTCCGCGCCGAGGGTGGAGGCATGTAAAACACCTGTCTGTTTAACACTGATAGTTGATGAGCACAAGTAAGTATCCAAAAATGGGAACGCTGAAATGTTTCACTCTCAAAACACCTAGTACCAATATAAATCTACTTTTTTCCTTTCTTAATGAGTGTAAGTGGCAAAAAGCCTGGTAGGATGGGCACGAGAAATGATCAAAATCAGCATAAAAATTATAAATAAGCCACACAGGGCGACCTGCATAAAAGAAATTCCCCCAAAACGATCGTGCTTAAAAATACCGAAGACAAAAGCCACGCTCATGACGCTCCTTAAAAGCAATGCTTAACAGCTAGCATCCAAATAAAATATGTCTTTCAAGGTTGATAAAATACAGCTGGATAATTTTCAACCGCTTAAACTGAGTTTACAACAGTAGTTCGGTAAATTCACTCACGTTCCACGCGGTCGTCCGCCCCGACACCAAAAGTCAACAATATTACCTCGGGACCGTCCGCGTCTTCGCTTGCATTTGTCAGCATCTGGTGTCGATAGTATGAAAGTTCATAACCAGGCGAAAATTATTATACTTAACCTCAAACTAAAAAATGCTTCATTTTCCTTAAAATTGCATGTTAAACTCACCTGTTAAACTCACCTGTTAGGTTTCCACAACCTCGGCTCGTAAAGGAAGGAGTGGAAACCTATTGCGTGCAGAGACGCGCCAATTCCTTGGGTGGGCAGATGGCTGGACCTCAGGCAAGGAATTGGAATGGTGCGTCTGCATTTGGTAAAACACTGAAAAAAGAAAACTGGTGCGTGTTTTAAGTGCCAGAATCCTAGACCTAGACAAGATGATCAATTATGTAAATGAGAAAAGAGGGTACCGAAATGTGATACGTTCTCGGAAGGAAAGGTCAGGATAGGTAACCTAGGTTAGTCCACCCGGTCCAGCTCGAGAAGGGCGGGCAGCAGCTACCTAGGGGGTAAGGGCGGAATATGATAGGTAGCCCAGGCGCGTATAACCCCGCCCCAACTTGGGAAGGGTGGGGCGCTTACCTGGGGGGGGGGGGGGGGGGGTGAAGGATGAGATGTGGATCGTTTGCCTTCACTTATCCTGTGTGTTCGTACAATCTACTGCCCAGTGCGGCTTTCAGTCCCTTTTTAAACTGCACCAGGGACTCCTCGTTCACCAGCCAATCTGGGAGGGCATTCCAATCGCGCACGACTCTGTGGGTGAAAAACCGTGACCTTGCATCTATAAGACTCCGACACGTTTTTATCTTTCTACTATGCCCGCGCGTTCTGTTGTCGGCCTCCAGATCCCAGAGGATCTCCGGGGATATCTTACTGTGGCCGTGAAAAATCTTCCAACATTTGATAATATCGGCTCGAAGGAGGCGTCCCTTCACAGAGAATAGGTCAAGTTCCTTTAGGCGATCACCATATTCCATATTGCGGAGCCCAATCACATTGCGAGTCCAGAGCCTTTGAACAGACTCTAATCTTTTGAGATCCTGTACATAGCCACTGTTCCAGATCGGTGACGCGTACTCGAGAATGGGGCGAATGTGAGATTTCAGTATATGAGTCATAAAGTCAGGCGAGCGACACCTGGTCGATTTCAAGAAATTGTGAGCAACTCCTCCAGCCTTCGCTGCTATGCTGGCACAGTGTTCATGGAATTTCATCTCGTTGTCGATGATAACACCCAGGTCACTACATGACGTAACGCAGGGAATTGTGTCACCAGCCAGTGTGTATGCACGGGGCTCGAAGTCATGGAATCGTCGCCTAAATCGTATGACGGCGCACTTCCTGAGGTTCATGCTGAGACCCCAAGACTCTGCCGTAGAGTGGAGCAAGTCTATATCCTTTTGTAGCGCCTCTTCACTGGTGTTGTGTTTATCGTTGTCTAGTTTGATAAATACTTTAAGATCGTCAGCAAAGATCTTATAACTGCACGACAAACTGGACGCAACGTGGTTGATGTAAACCAGAAAGAGAATGGGTCCTAAAACCGATCCCTGAGGAACGCCACTCCGAACCTCCGCAGCTGAACTCGTGGTGCCCTTAACAAGAACCTGCATCGTACGCCCCACCAAGAAATCTGTCAGCCATGTGATAAGTCGCCCTTGGACACCGACTAACCTGAGTTTTTCTAGAAGAATAGTATGGCGCACCACATCAAAAGCCTTTGAAAAGTCGAACAGAACTAGATCAACGGGATGACCCAGATCTAAGGCTACAGTTACCTCATCGTAGGTCAGGAGTAGCTGGTCTTCCGTGGATCGTCCTGGACGAAAGCCGAACTGTTCGTCACTGAGGATCTGATTTGCAATGAAGAATGCGTAGAGCTCTTTGGAAATTATCCTTTCAAGACTTTTGCAAGATACAGACGTGAGCGATACTGGTCTGTAGTTCATTGGGTCGTTACGAGAACCCTTCTTAAATATCGGTACGACGAGCGAGGATTTCCACGCCGAGGGCAGCGCTCCCTCCAGAAGAGACTGCCTGTAAATCATGAGAAGTGGTGTGCATAAAGTTGCAGCACATGCCTTAAGCAGGGCTGGGTGCAAGGCGTCCTGGCCCATTGCTGAGTTCGGATCAAGGTTACTGAGCGTAGAATGTACGTCAATTAGGCTAATGTCAATGTCAGCCATGACAGTATCACTTCGCTGGTGAGCAGCTGGTTTATCTGGAATCGTCGTAGCGTGTATGCCAGTAAACACATGCAAAAAGCAGTCAGCCATCTCCTTGGGGTCGTCAGATATGGTATCAGGGTCGAGACGAAGAGGACCAACTGAAGAGCGAAGCTGCTTCTTGTGTCTAATGTAAGAGTGTAGCAGCTTGGGATTATCTCTAGACCTTGCTATGAGTGATTTCTCGTACTCAATTTGCGATGATGCGGCAAATGATCTAAGTTGCGAGTTGGCCTGCTGAAAACCTTCCAGCGCCAGGGTGGTCAGATGCGACTTCCTACCATGTTCTGACCTAAGGCTTTTGTATTTTTCCCAAGCCTCCTTTCGCAGACGTTTCAGCGACGATGGGGGATTCGCCTTCCAGGGGATCTTCCGCTGCCCACCACCCTGACCGGCTCGCGGAATGAACTGGTCAACGAGGGGCTCTAAGATAGACAGCAGCTTAACAAAAGCGTCTTGCGCGGAGATATGTCTGAGCTCAAAGTCCCAGTCAACAGTGCTGAGAGATGCATTGATAGCACTATACTGTCCTCGATGCCACTGGTGTCTCAGGAGTTGTTGCGAGTGTAACTGAATGTCCATGTCAAATACATACTCACAGTGAATACTACAGTGATCGCATCCGGGTGGGGGAGGCTGCACTTGTACTGTAGTTATCCTGTCCTGCTCGGAGGTTAGAATAAGATCTAGAACGTTGCCAGACCTCGGGAACGTGGTCTCATGTATCCACTGCGTAAGTCCGAGGGCAATGAACATGTCAACAAATGTCCGATCAGCTGCTGAGAATTGCCCACAGGGTTTATGGTCAATCCAGGCAACCGAGGGGAGGTTAAAATCTCCGAGAATGACTACTTCCTTCCCAGTGCAACTAGTCAAAAGAAAATCAGTTAAAGCCTGGTTCTCGCAAGAAGAGTATGAAGGGGGTCGATACACCACGTAAATGTGAACGTTCATCTTTCTCAGTCTAAATGACAGGCAGTTAGGGTGTGTTGTATCTACTTCATCAAATCTCAAGGCCTCTTCCACAAAAGCGCAAACGCCATGCTTAGATGTGGCACCAGAGTCGTTTCGCAGTAGCTCATAGCCAGGGATGGAGACAGTTGCATTAGACACAGAAGGAGTAAGATGGGACTCTGTGATCAATAGAATGCCAGGTCTAAACGAGTTTACCAGAGATTCACGAATGATTGAAAGCTTGCTACAAATGCCGTTTACATTGCAATGCACTAGTTGTAGGCGGAACGTCCGTGGAGTACCTCTGCCTCGTATCAGTTTCCCTCCCCGGGCCCCTGAGGAGAGCTGGGGACGTGCTGGCCGTCTCCCCTCCCCCCAGCGCTGTCAGCCGGAGGGTGAGCATCCGGGGCTGTCACAACACGAGGAGACTGAGCGGACTCCAGTGTCGGGTTAGGAGCAGGTACCACCTGCTTGGGAACAGTTTCATGGTAAGATGCCACCTGCTTAGGAACAGTTTCATGATAAGAGTGGGAAGTGTCTGCCTCGGGTGTGTGTCGTGTTTGGCCAATCTGCCAGTGAGAAGTTGCATTCTGAGACCTGGACTGTACCCAGACGTGTGGCCTAGAGCTCTGGCGTTCCCTGAGCTCCTCTCGTTGCTGGAACGTGAGGTCACGACGAATGAAGACATGCGAGTTCGAAGACTCACGAAGATGTTTTGCATTATCCAAAATGAGCTTCCGAATTCTGCCGTCGTGAACATTGCCCCTATACAGGTCACCATCGCTTTTGATCCGGCAAACTTCTGTGAACTCAACCTGTTCCCCCATCAGAGCGGAGGCGATTTCTGTAAACCTAGTCACTGCCTCTCTAGCTGTGCCCGCTCTCAGTCCCCGTACAACGAGGGAGGAAACTCTTTTCCTCCTCTCCTCCATTTCACGCAGTTCTGCCCTGACAATATGTCTGTAGTCGTTGCTTGTGGATGTGTATTGAGGCTTTCCGGCCCTAGTGTTGACCCCAGCAAGGACAGCCTGGTGATGGTCTCCATGGACCTGAGGGCGCACCTCAGGTGGAGACCTGACTGCTTCAGCATAGGTTCCGCGCTGTACGGGGTGAGACACATGCTGCTGTCGCTGCTGTCCCTGGAGCATCATGTCAATAGATTTCTTTGACTCTCCTACCAGTTTAGTCAGTTCTTTGATAGAAGACTCGAGCACATGGATCCTTTCCTGAAGGCTAGAAACAGAGTCAGGAACCTTGGTTTGACGCTCATGTGAGGCGTTTGCATCGTCACGTGTCTGTTTCGGTGTGTCGTCCTGATGCTCAAGCTTATCTGGGAAGACCTGTACTGAAGCATCAGTTGTGACTGGTTTTGCCTGGATGTCACTTAAGTTTGGACGCTGTCGGCAAACATCACAAATGAATGCCAGAGATGAGTGTCTCGAGAGAGCATTATATGCTGCCTTGGAAATTCGCTGACAGGCTGCATGGGACCAGGCACCACATATGTCGCACTCAACCCCCTGCTGGCCATCACGCACCTCCAAGCCACAAGTTGCACCGCCCGGCCCCCCACTACAGATTGCCTTGTTCCTCACAATTCCCTGGGCTAGTCTGGTAACAGTCGGGGACACAGCTGTACCAGCGTCAAGTGGGAGGGAGCTGATTGCAGCCGCTACAGCTCCCTGTGTCTGTTGTTCAGGGGCTGCTTCAAGTGGATCCAGTACCAAAGCTCCTGGGGGAGAGCGTGTGAGTGGCATGATGGAAGATTGCAGAGAATTCTGAGTCCAATCAGAATCACCACCAACTCAAACCAAGCCCCACCTATACACAATAATAAAAAAAAACACAGTGTGCAAGAAGAGAAAAATCACAGAAGCATATCAGGCAGCAAACAGTTTGTGCGGTCAGCAAGCGGGACCAATGCAGCACAGAAAAAACAGGTGCGGTCAGCAAAAGGGACCAAGGTACCACAGACAGCTTGCGCGGTCAGCAAGAGGGACCAACAGTCCGCACAGTCAGCAAGTGGGACGAATGCACCAGATGGGCCGCGCAGTCAGCAGGCGGGACCAATGCACCAGACGGTCTGCGCGGCCAGCAAGTGGGACCAATGTACCACAGACAGCTTGCGCGGTCAGCAAGAGGGACCAACAGTCCGCACAGTCAGCAAGCGGGACGAATGCACCAGACGGGCCGCGCGGTCAGCAGGCGGGACCAATGCACCAGACGGTCCGTGCGGTCAGCAAGTGGGACCAATGTTCCACAGACAGCTTGAGTGGTCAGCAAGAGGAACCAAAGCAGCTTTGTGTTTGTGTCATGCCACACAGACAGTAAGTAAAGCACCAGTACAGCAAGGGCAAGGAGTGCAAGTAGGCAGTGCAGGAAGTAGGACCAACTTTGAGCCGCCAGTTGCTTACTCCCAAACAGGTGATGCAGGCAAGCGGGGTGCAGCAGCTTGCACCTGGTGAAGCAGCGTGCAGCTCCTCAGCCTCCTCGTTGATGCAGCATGCAGCGTGCAGACGTGCAGGAAGTAGTAGCAGCGGAACACTATACCACTTTTGAAGTTCCAAGGCCCTGAGTGAGACTATAATATGATAAATGGCCTGATAATGGCCTAATTCATCACACATTCACAAAAAAAAACATCCAATATACGGCCTTGCTCCCTCCAATTATTTATAGGATTTATCAATATTTGGATTTATATCAATATCCCTCTGCTCTTCCCCGCCTTAAATGTCGTATAACCCATATTTTCAACATTTTGTCATTTTTAAAAAATCATTAAAAATATCATTCCACGGTCAATTTCCTTGTTCCACGGTCAGATTAAAGATAACTTTATGGAGATTTAGTAGATACTTCAATCAGCGTGCACTTTTTTGAGACGTGATGCACTTTTGAGTTTTAGTGGGCGAACGGCCGAAAAATTGCCTTCCGTTCTCATAAATGGGAACGCCCGTTCCCATATTTGGGAACTCCGTTCCCAAAAACGGGAACGTTCCTATATTTGGGTACTCATGACCATAGTTCCGCCTACTGAGCTGACAGTCTCACCTCTGGTGAAAGCTGACTCCGCCCAACTTTGTCGTCAGATTCTTACCTTTAGGAAAGACGCACAGGTACACGACATTTCCCCAGCCACCGTCTGGCGGTTGAAATTTGCCATCCACAAGACGCACACCACGCAAACTTCTGGACTCTGTACGATATTTTAGGCCACATACACCCGGGAACTGCGCCGCCAGTGTAGTCAACAACAGACCCATATCCTCTTCGCACGGTATTTCCATTGGTTCCTCATTTTCTTCCTCTGCTACTTTGATGTAGCAACTCATCCTGACAGAAAATGAAGAAAAACAACCAAATTCCACTCAAACACACATTCACACAGACCACTGGCACTACCCCATCCACCCGGAAGGGCTCTCTCTATCGCCTGGATAAAAATAGGCCCCGCCCATCCCAATCAGCTGCTGCATGACGAGTTGATGACGACAACCACTACTTACCAGCAACCAATCTAGGGATAGCGTACGTGACAGTAATGGTGCAGCGGTTGCAAAATATTACATTGTTATTCAAACGTTTTGCTTTTAGGGCCTTGTTAGATGAGGATGAGGTTAGATTAGATGAGGTGTTGATGAAGGCAGGTATTTTTTTAAAATATTTTTTTTGACAATTTTTTGCCCTTGTTTTACTTAATAGCTGAACCCGGGACCACCTGAAGTCTAAACCTTATTTTATATAACATGTCAATGCTGATGCTGTCTTGAAATGTGAAATTTAGACAATGGTAATAGGAATAATGAATAGCAATTTCACCAACAACATTTTAATCTCTAGGAAGTGCAATTAAAATTAAAATCACTGTCTGCCACACTGCTCCATCCTGGTCATGCAACCAACGTTCATGGGTGGTGTTTCACGGCAGAGCACGCACTGCAGTGCTCAGCACTGCAGTGCGCTGCGTGTGTCAGAGCATTGGGTTTCCATGGCAGTGTCAACAAACTTCACTGTGACGCTAAGCTATGACAGCATCCCAGAACGCTAGCACGCTGCGGTACCAGCACCAGCAGCATGCTAGCAGTATTTGAACTCAAACCTCTGTTCTTGGTACGGTTTTTCAGAACCTCTCACTCTGTTCCAAACGCGATTGATCATAAACTAAGAGATCACATGCAACGTCATTTGAGTGATGCTATGGTATGCCGTAGCTACCAGTGCACAGTGTCTGGATGGTGAAACAGGGCCATTATTAATCACATTTGCTTTGCTTTGTTTCAGCAGAAACCTGTCTGCACATGGGAGGAGCGCAACAAAAGCCCATCAAGTTCATGCATGGCAGTGGATCTCAACAGGAGAAAACCAGAAAGAACATGGATGCTTGTAGATTGCAGTTGTACACTGCTGTTATCACCTGATGTGCGTGGCTGGCATTGCTCCTGGCAAGAACCACCTGCAAGTGATGAGATGGTGCCTCAGTCGTTGAGTGTGCTGCAGTGTGAGAGGCGCCCTGATCTCTACTTTGTGATGGGTTTCCATTGGAGGTTCAACTGAGAAGTGAGAACTGACTGTGACCATGCTTGAGCATGCCAGTGGAGCTTTACATGCTTAGGGCAGCTTTTGAACAGATGCTGACCATGGCATGTCCCATCCAGTTATCACGTGCACAGAATGGTGGGGGAGGGCAACTCTGGGCTCTTGAGTCAGCCCTACTGCACAGGGGGTACAGATGGCCGCTTACGTTTGGTGTGTCCTGCACTGCATTATCAAGCCCAGTCTGCGCCACAGGCAATGGGTCGGGCTGCACTATATTAAAGGCAGACTATCTAGCAAAGGAGGCTGGCATCCTCTCCCATAATGACACACCAATTGGCAATCATCGCTGCGATGATCACGAGGGTGTCCGCTTATCTAACATGGTGAGGTGGAGAGCCAGTTCAAGCTGGCCTGAGGGATGGTTTTACTTCATCTGAGGCCCCCTTTCCCCGCCTGCCAGGTCCGGTCAAACGACCGCTTCACAGTGAACGACTTGCAGTGGATGCCGTCCCACAGCGCAACGAGCTCGCCGACCAGAGGCGGCGGCCAAGAGGCGGCCGCGCTCCCCCAGTCGACGGTCCCGGTGGACGTCGGCAACGCCCACCGCGCGACCATCAGATCGGCTCGCGACAGCGCCGTCGCCGACTGACCGCATGACTGGTATCTGTTCTTGATGTGGGACCGACTGCCACCGCCGGTCGCGGAAGGGCATCGCTCATCGGCCATCGACGTCCGCCAGCTTCGCGTGGGTCACTGTTCGGGCTGTCACCAATACACCGAATCGGATGGAACCCTGTCGGCGAATGCCGGCGGTGCCCCGACATCGACTGCGCGGTGGCCAGTGCATCGCGTGCCGGGAGGAGGCTGGCACCCCCGATCGGTCATTGGTCACAAACCGTGTCCCAGCTCATGACTGCATCCAGCGCAGCTCTGTGAGATGTTCTGCAGCTGCTGCAGTCTGCCGCGTGTGTTGAAAGAAGAATGAACATGAGAAAACCTCAAAACTTTATGCCTATTCGTAATTGACCAGTATTGGAATAAGTTTGGATTTTGAGAATTTGTGTCCCTTCCCTGTGCTTGTGCCTGTGTGGAAAGGCATGCTTTACGGTGTACCATCTCAATGTCAAATCCCGGCTGCGCTGTGCGGATTTGTGCGGCTGCTGACAGGCCACCTGGGTGCCAACGTATGTGCGAATCCGCGAATACGTTGTTTCGTCAGTCAGTATCGTTCTGAAAATATTGACTGCAATAGGCTATATAGCGTATGACGGTTCAGCCCAGCAGTAATAACTGACCATTGATTGGGCGAATTTTGTGTGGTGGTTCGCTAATACATAACCTAAAGAGTGTTTTGCCGGAATCGTTTAGTAGCAGAACTGACCAGTGACCGGAATATAAGTAGAATGCAACGGTTTGAATCGTTAATTTGTTGAAACGATTGTTCTCTGAGACCACTGTGTAACTTTTGACCTGAGAATCACCAATTATAACGACAATGGGGAAGCAGTAGGCACTGTAGAGTGAAGGCAACACTATATAGTTGGCACACTTACGGAAGCACACGACTTACGCAGTGGACATCTGCATCATGCATGTTAAGGTTTACTGGGAAGAGTGAGAAATTAGTCAGAATATAACTGACTAAGGAAAATAGGCGATATTTCCTATTGAGCTGGGGCGGAGAGGGGGAGGGGACGTGTGGTCAGCTATGCCAATAATTCATTCTCTTTATGCAGCTGTGTAAAAGGGCGTCCGTTTTTGGGTGAGACCTTCCCCATCGGCCATTTCCAAGTTAAATCGTGGTGGAGAGTCTGGAGACCTCAGCCTCGGTAGTCGGTACCCTGCGCGCTGCGCCACCTTGCGAAACATAAAGCAGCAGTCCTGACATCTACAGGCGTGACTTTTCATGAAAGCGCGGATGTGTTCGCGCTTATGCGAAGAAAATTCTTCCGAGTATGGTTGATAATGAGATTAATTGTTGTCATTTATTTATTAATTCATTGGCAAAAGTACTCTAATAAATCGGTAAAGTAGCTTGAACTGTATCGTATTTCCCTGGGAAAAAAATGACGAACTCATCCTAAGACATCCAGATTATTGGATGCGTTCGTCAGTTGTAAGTAGTTCAAGTTTTTGGGAAAACTTGCTTGTGGAAAATCATAATATTTCAAAGATATGCCTATTTTCGAATAATTAATGCATTTATCTGCATTGAAAAATGATTATAAAGCAAAAGTGCAAAAGATTATTGTCAACTTATTTTCTCAAATCACGATTTACGAACGCACAAAACTCCAGCTTTTAATCTAGTGCGTGTGCGAATTGCGGTCAAGAAAAAATATTTAAACTGTCTATATTCCTCTTAAAACAATGAAGGATGAATGAGGAAAACGCTGTTTTGAACAATTGTATATTTATGTTTTCTTAATTAAGCAAAAGAACAAAATTTTCAACTATTATTACATTTGCTCTCACAAAACCCATCACTTTTTAGCATGACGTCATGTCAGCCAAATTTACTAGCGCCATCTCTGGAGAGCATCTTTCGAAACCTCCAGACGATAGAGAGAGCCCCCGGAAGTGTCTCAAAACTGTTTTCACGACAATCAGGGGAGAAGCAATAAAATTGGAGCATTTACATTAGCACGGTTACATTACGTCACTAGACTCGCAACTAATAACGATCACCCAGTGCCATTGATATGTTGCATATTTTTGTGTTACCACTTGCCAATCTTGTGTTTCAGTGGCGCGGGAACTTCTTCCAGACTGGGGGGGCTGAACCATAATAGAAATCAACCTAGGGTACCCCCAAATCTAGTTTTCTCACCGGTTTTAGGCCACTTATTTTTCAGACCTTGGCCTTTTCAACAACAACAAAAAAAAAACGAAAATATTTTCAAAAAGTGAGGTATTCCGTCTCAGCTGAGCTGAGTGAAGAAACTACTGTTTTGGCAACCTGGAGTAAAGGTTTTAATCTGCCAAATGAGTTGCCGAGCCAGTGAAATAGGTGGATTTTTCACTTACATGCTTTCTTCCTTTGTGACCCACAACCCCTAATTTGGGGAGGACAAGCTGCCCAACGGTTCCTGGCCTCATGAAACGTTGTGGGGCACCGCCCCCACGGCCGCAGAGTTGTGGGGGCAAGCTTCCCCCACTGCCCCCTCCCCCGGTTCCCACGCCTATGTATGAATCTATGAAATTATGTTGGTAGATTTCCGATTTCGATTCCTCCAGCTGGGGGGGGGGGCTCAAATACATTACGAGCCCCCCCCAGCCGAAAAGCTGGGGGGGCTCAGCCCCCCCTAGCCCCCCCGGTTCCCGCGCCACTGTTGTGTTTAGAAGACAAACGGTCATATAAATCGTAAATATGCATTATAACGTGGAACATTATAGAAGTAACTCCCAGAAGCCGCATGACTTTTCGGATTCTTACGACAAGCCTCCTCTGAAAATTTCGGCAGATAACAGCTAAATCGCAACAGCAGACATCACTATCTACTGAAGCAGGCAAATGGGAATTTCGATATTTTGTTCGAAATAGAAATGCAAATCACAGAAACGGTTAGATGAATCATTCAGAGCCTGTATTAGATTCCTGAGTGCTCAAAATCATTCATGCCTTTTCCAAAGCCAATGACGTCATAAGAACAGCTAAGAAGGAATTTTAAAGACATAACCTTAATTCAATAAATTGGCAACCAATGTGGCGCAACTAAGTTCAAATGAGACGTTTGCTGGCGCTATAAGCCGCTTGTATTGTAATCCAAATTTCAGTTGGGCGGTGTTACCAGGCCCATGTCGTCCCCTATCTCTCTGCGTGTCCACTAACACGAATGACGTCACGCATGTGGGCGGAGCTATGGGCGGAGCCTAACGCACGCGGCAGTTCAAGCCGCCATATTTGAATTTATATTTTAATAGAATCTTGCCGATATTTTGGGTGAAGTCAATTTATATGGATAGCTTGGTGACAGTTTAGCTATACGAATAATAATTTATTATGGATGTGCGTATATTCAGCTTGGAATTGCAATTAAAGTTCCGCACCGCATAGATTCGAACTCGGGACCTTTGGAATACTGCGCGGGCACGCTAACCACTACACTACCGCGACCGCGCGGCGGTCGGCGGCAGGGAGGCTGCGGAGACATGGGGGGACATTTTACGCTTTTGTGAAAAAAGCAAAAGATTTAGCGAAAAACACGTAATAGATAACTTGCAGAAAATTGTCTGCTCTTTCAGATAAGATACTTAGGTTTGATATATCTTGTGCAGACTTCATTCTACAGTGCTTCGAAAATCGCTCATTTACATGGGGATTGAACGGGGCTTCGAGACTTGACTCCAAATGACGTCACGAGCAGACGTCACGAAAAGGTAGAATCGCCGGACGACCCTACCTGGTATATAGGGCCTTGGGTGTTACACGCTGTGGTGGTGTCGGAAATAAGAGAGGTGACTAGCGTGGAATTGCTGCAAATGTTTGTGTTCATGGTTCTGTGCAGTCTGTAGCTGTTCGTTTTTATTTCATATGGTTGCCCTCTAAAGCAATGTTTAGTACCTATAGGATTCAGCTCCACCGGTAACAGTAAATGTGTGGTTGATGTAATGCTTATCTTTAGGTACCTCAACCTACATAGTGTTAAGATAACTAAGGCACTATATTTCCTGGGCCCTGTTTCAGTGCATGACGTTACCTGAATCCACCAGGTATTGATGCTTGGTTTCCTCTAAACATAAACAGGATTGCCAATTCTTGCTTATGTTTCTGTAGGAACTGGGTTCAGCACCTATTGATAGCATGAGCCGACAGGTAGTGTCATGTGCTGAAGTAGGGCCCTGCTTAAAAATATTCTATAGTCCATCTAACCTTACAAAGAACGGATTTAAAGGGGAACTGCTGTTCATGCATGTGTCTTTTGTCTCAGTTATATCCAAGAAAATTTCTCTCATGGGTTTTACACAAATTATATCAGAACTATACATTTCCAGGAAGCAAAACACGTGGAAATTGAGTGTAGCACTTAAATTCCATTCTTTCTTAAGTTTGTTTGTTTCTTTGACTATAGCTTATGATCATAGTTTCAAGAGTTAAGGCTGTTGAAATATTAAGAATCAACTATCAAGATTCAAGAATGCCTCTGCTGCCAAAGTTTGCAAAGTCTAAGCCAGTCTGGTCTTTGCCCAGCAGCCTTGGTTTCAGCCTTTATGCTACACAGCACATGTTAAGTCTTTTTGAAGTCAATTTCAACTCCAACAAGGTTGAAACATGTGCTGTGTAGCATGAAGGCAGAAACCAAGACTGCTGAGACAACTGACTTTGCAAAGCTTGGCAGCAGAAGCAATGAGCAATGGCAGGATATTTATTAACACCAGTCCCTACCAACTGGACATGAAATCCAAAACAGCCTATATCTATCAAACAAAGCTCAAAAATAAGATAAAGCTGTTGCCTGTTGGACATATCTCTTTTTACTAGACTGCAAAGTACTTAGTGTGGCAGAGGAGTTCACAAGTCATTTCATCTGTAAGGAAAGGTTTGTTTCGACCCACACTTTAAAAGGCCTGTTGCCTAGGCCTCTTAGCATCCTCTAAACAAAGCTGTGATTTATAATCAAGCCAAGTGGTGATGCACCAGCAATAGTAGCTCAGCAGGTCACCCATATCCATAGGGCCAATGTAATTTGGGTCAAACATCATATCCAGCACGTCAAGTGCTCACAGAAGTTCTCATGCTGTTTTAAAAGGCCATTGGCCAAGGACTAAGCAGTGAAAAAGGATGTGTGCCTTGCCCGGTAATCGAGCCCAGATGGCTAAATCTCGAAGGTACACCGACACTGTACCTACCCCTTTACTAGGTGGCATCCCCAGTTGAAGGGCCGAATATAATGTTTGTGAATGAGTGCAATCAAAAGAAGCGTTTTCCTTCATTATTTGGAATGAAATTAGATGTTACTATTGCTACCACCACACACTTCCTCTTCTCATACTGGATTGATTGCTCTACAGTTGTACCTAGACTCAAACCATCACATATTTCATAACACCTATTTTAACCCTCGCCGGCGCAGGGGGAGGTTGATGCAACCCCCCTGAGGTTTTTCGCGAATAACTCGCGTAAAAAACGACCGATCGCGACGAAACTTTCATTAGGTACCCTCGCGTTGATCAATTTTACACCTGCCCTGAAAATTTCATAACCCCGACCCAAATGACCTTTGACCTGTGACCTGTTTTCCGAGACCATGTTTGGCCGGAATCGCGGTTCGGCGTATGGCGGCTCGCATTAGTCGCGCGTTTGCAGTCTTTTCGTGGTTTCAAGCGTTCAAATATGTGTTTTGATGTTGCTCCCATGCATTAGGGTGGATGTCAAGGTCACATGAAGGTCAGGTCAGGTCATTGACCTTTGATGAACTCTATCCACTTTTTCGACTTTCACCTGTTTCTAGGTTAGTTTTTGGAGCTAAATTCGAATTTAGCAACCATCTGAACATATACTAAGTAGTATTGGTGCCTTCGTAACATGTTACGAAGCTGTCAGAGGCGGTTTACACTTAACACGTAGGCGATTACCCGGCAGAACCCCTAGGTACTGGTTGACCTGACCTGACCCGACATGGCCTAAATGCATAAAGACATCATCTGTGATCAAAACTAGTATGACATTCGTGATCAGCACCCTGAGAAGCCCCGTAGCAGCCACACTTTATGATTTTCTAACAGGTCCCGATTTTCCCGATTTTTGGGGTACCTATTGACCTGACCTGGAAGGTCAACCGATGACCGAGGACCTTAAAATCGGGTATCATCGGCTTCCTCTCGTCACGGGCATTACGCTCGTGTTTTCCGCGAAGCTCTAGCTCGATCAGGGGTCAAACGCGAGCGGGATCGTACCCCCCCCCCCTTTTGCCGTCGAAGGACGCAAAATGGCCTGTGCCGCGAGGGTTAAAAATTAAATATACCCTTAAAAAAAGACCTGTACCTTCACTTTTCATTATTGAACTCTCAGCCTCCTCTGACACATCTCTCGTTTCCAGCATAGCGTCATGGCCGACTCTCCCATCCACGAATGGATTCAAGAATGGCAGAGCATCAAGCCGCTCGATGTCAAGTCGTACGCGGCCAACCTGATGGCCGACCATGAGACCACAGCGGCACTTCTGCGGGTGTTTGAGGACCCCAACCTCCATCACGTACGTAGTAACGCGCCTCGTGCACCCCTGAAAATAGAGTTGAAGCAATGACGTTGCTCATTATAGTATCTGTGGCTCAGTTAGGCTTTCCATGGCGAGAGCCAGGGCTCGAGCTGCTCCAACGCTGTTTTACGAATGCGAGACTTCCAATGGACTTGGCCTGCCGCTAGTGAGAGTAACTGATCATTTGAGGTGGGTAAGTGAACTGTGACGTGTCAAAGCGTTCGTCTACGTGGTCGATAATCCTTTGACGTTCAAATTTTTCCCGTCACTACGATAATGTTAGGGCCTTTCGGTAGGGGTTTTGGCCTGTACGTGTACTGCAAGACGTCCTGAATCAGGACGTCTTGAATCAGGACTCCTGATAGTATATTACATATGCTAGGCACAGTTCCTGACTTTGCCAATATACCGATTCAAAACGTTGTAGCCTCACTTACAACCATGAACACACCAGTGACTGGGTTTGCTGGCCTTGAATTCTTGTTCAACGTCGCCGTCGCTAGAAACCTGTGGACGACGGAATTCATAACATGTGATTTGGACCATTACTCGGCTGAAATTCTAATCTCTCGGCCGGCTGGCTTGCCAAGTGGTTCACCTGCCAACTCTGAGCGATTCGTTACGCTTCGCCAGCGTGCTCAAGCGGTCTCTCGTAGCATCGGCCATGGCTGGGGCTGTAACCGTTGACTGACCCCGTTGCCGGGGCAGAAATTTCAAGGTGACCCGTTGCTATATGATTGTTCGTGCGCAAATCACAATCTGATTCTTATTTCTAGTCTCTAAATATGTTTTTATGTTTTATGTAACTGAATGAAACTACTGAGCTTCCGGAATATTTGCATATCGTAGCTTCCTAGACATTTCACTTGTGATACCCATCAAGACGCAAAACCGCGGTTAAATTGCATGCATTATTAATTGTTATGTGGTGTTTATCGCCAAAGCCTTACGTCATTGCATTATGCAGTAATAATCCTCTGCAGTCTAATTCGGCTGCTATCAGCAGTTGTTGACGCTATTCCGTCCCCGGTCGTTTTATCGATCATACCGTAGTATGTGTTGAGTTTCAACTGTTTCATTCATCGGGCGTTGTGTATTGTAATGTCTATGGTATGTCGTGAATGCTGGGACGTCCCATGCATCACATGCTGATCGACAAATGATCGTTATAGATGTTGCATTTGGCACACTTCTTTCGGTGTGCTGCGCACAGATGTTCCCAACCATCTTACCGGCCTGAGTTTCTACCAACTGCACTGAAGTCGTTTGTTTGTTTCTCGCCGTTTGCAGCTACTGGACGACGTATGTGGCCAGCTGTTGACGTTTTACCGGTCCCGGGAGCCGAACCTAGTCCACTTCAGTCTACAGTGCCTGCCACCACTGATGCACGCCTACCTGAACGCAGTGGCCACGCGGAATCAGAAGGTACGCGTGTATATGGGTGCGGGGGGGGGGAACTGAGGTATGGTTGTGAAATAACGTTGGAGTAAAGAAGGCTTCGTTGACAGCGAAACTAAACATGTTTTTATGCAACGTTTTGTGAATGAAGGAATGATTTTCGCTGGTTGTTTCATTCTGTTACTATTTATTTTTGTTACCGAGGGGCGAGGTTAGGTATGTCACCTTTCGTTCTCTTCGTTTTTCATTCATATCTCGGTGGCAACTGGCGTGCTTTCACTTGTCGATGCGTCAGTCTCATCATGAACCACCGTCTTATTACGCTACCGGCTACACCATTGCATCGCAATTTTTATTGCCATCCTGGGTTTCGGCACCAACTGACCCCGAGAACCACGCCCACCGCTGCAGACGAGTAAGCCGACCGAGACGCTCCTGCTGGGGATGTACAACCTGGAGGTAGTCGACGAGCGGGGTCAGCCGCGCGTCGTCTCCTTCCGCATGCCCACGCTCATCAAGCAGTCCGTCTACCACATGGTGAGCGACTAGCGACAGTTGTAGCCGAGCTCCTTGGATAACGCAGTGGGCGTGCTGCAGCTTGATTTGAGTGTGATAATGGTGGCGATCTAGTATGTCTTATTGGTATTCGCTGTGCAATATGATGCGATCTTGTATTCAGATGTAAGCGATGATGCCGATATTCTGATTAATGACAACGAGCTGTAAATTTGAGAAATGGACTGCTGCTCGGTATGCATTAGGCCCTCAAAGGTATGCATCCTGTTGAATGTTAAGCCCATCGATAAACTGAACTCGCTGACTCGGGCTCGAGTTTGAGTGCCGTAATGGACACCGCTGTGTTACAGCCTCTCCATATGGCGCCCTCGAGTCTGACGGAACACTCGCTGTCCCGACTGGAGCTCGGAGACGCCTTCTCCGTCGAGTGGGGACCCCTGCCGCAGGTCAGTTCAGTGGAGAGTACGGGAGTCCTCTGGCTCGTAGGTCAGCGGAGTGGGGATCTCAGCCCTGGTCAGTGGAGAGTGGGGAGTGGGGACCCCTGCCACAGATCAGTGGAGTAGGGAGTGGGCCTCTGCCACAGCTCAGTCATGGAGTGGGAACCCTTGCTGCAGATCATTGGGTACCTGACTCAGTACCCTGTCGTGACGCACGGGCTAGACCCACCATTATCTTATCAATATATAAGCATGTCATGAGTTAATATAGCATTAGTAATAAGCGTGTCTTGTAATTGTAAAAGACTTCACTTGCCATCTGTGTTATTGTATGCCTTAGCAATCCGTCGCGGCATTTTTTCCGAGATGCATAAGTGTTTCCATTACATCGCGATGCAGTTATTCGTGCAAAGTAAGTTGAAAGTTGAAAGTCGGGATGCTTTGAAGTGAGCTATCATACCAGTCCATAGAACAGGCGTGTTCATCAATAGATTATTCCAGCTAAATCCATACCGTCAACAGTGCGATAATGTAACACTGCACGCGAGCCGCCGTTGCATCACGTATTACACCCCGTGAACCCGACGTCCCCTCCGACCGGTCGGAGGGTCGCGACCCTGGCCAGTGGCCCGTGACCTTTTAGTAGGTAGTGCCAGCGGATGATTACCTCCCCGTGACTTAGTACCCGTGGCGTTCCCCCAGGCTCAGCGAATACGGGCGTCCAACCGACAGCAGGTTCTGTCGGCGCTGATGACCGTCTACAACCGCTACCTGAGTCAGATGTCGGAGCCCGCTCTGCAGGCCGCCTGTCGGGCCATCATTAGGTCGGTTTGGCTTCCACGGATCAGAGGGGCATAGCTATTTTTGGGTTATTCATTTTGACACAGGCCAGGGGTCAGTGGGTCTGGAGGGGGGGGGGGCATATACGGATTTACATGTATTCGAGCTGGGACTAGGGATACTGGATGTCTAATTACTGCTGTAGGCGCTGGCTGTAAATTCTGCTTTTGAGTTTCCTTTTCTAAGTAGCTTACTGAGTCGCCCCAGGCATTTTAAGATTCAGCAGCTAAGGAATGTCTACGAGCTGGGTCGAGATGCTAGTCCAACCGTCCGGTCAGGCGTCGCCCTGTGCAGCACTGGCTAATCGGGGTCAAGGGGGCTGGGCGACGGGTATGCGGGGGGTTGCCGCCGGGTGCAGGGGCCGCCTGATTCCTTCAGCGCGGGGCTTAGCGCCACCGTATCCATGTCCGCGCGCGGGATCAGGTCCGGTCCCGCGCCGCATGGCTCTGCGGCGGCCGCGGCTCACGCGGCCCCGTACCCGGCGGCTTCGTCTTGCTGCTTTTGGCGTCCCGGCCCCCGTATAGTCCTGCAGTACTCCTGGCGGACCACCACCCTACGGGGGAGTGTGGCCGTCCCCCAGTTGGGCTCCGAGGTGGGTGGGAGGCTGCGGGACCGAAACAATTACACTTTCCATGGATTCTCACTTGGCACCCCCACGGACCACAGCCTCGGCTGAACCCCTTGCACCTAGTGCAGTCGGTGGAGCACGACCAAAAGTTCTTATATTCACATCCGACGAACGAAAACTCGCGTCGCTGTCTCCCTTTCAGAGACGAGAGGGCTGTGACAGATTTGGTAAGATTGCGAGGTGTGAAAAACTTAGAGACGGAGGCATCGAAGTAGAGTTTGTTGACGATAGAGAGGCGGAAAGGGCCCTGAAAGCTACTCACTTCACATACACAGTTAAGGATCAGCAGGGCAGGAAGGAAGTAAACCTTTCGGTCAGCGTTTCGCCGCATCGCACGAAAAATTCCAGCCGAGGGGTCATTTTTTGCGACGATCTGGAGGGCATGCAAAACGACGAGATCGCCGAAGGCCTGTCACAGTTTGGGGTCTCCGCCGCCCGCCGCATCTACACCAAGAGAAGTGGCGCTCTCGCACCCACGCACAGTATCATTTTGACTTTCAACTCGCTGGAACTGCCGAGGGAGGTGATGATAGGATATCTGTCCGTGAAAGTTCGACCATATGTCCCGAGTCCCATGCGTTGTTTTCAGTGTCTCCGATTCGGTCACACTCGAGACAGCTGTCGGAACAGACCAGCATGCGGGAGCTGTGCGGCAAATGACCATAGCAGTGCCGAATGTTCGTCGTCCGAGTTGAGATGCGTCAATTGTGACGACTCTCAGACTCCACATTCCTCGTTTGATGGGCGATGCCCGGCCCTCCAGAGAGAAAAAGAAATAATGTCCCTGAAGGTCACCGAAAGGCTGTCATTTCGTCAGGCCCGAGACCGCTTTGCTGCCCTCCATCCCAAGCGGTCTTATGCTAGTGTGGCCAACGGTTCTAGACAGCGCTGCCCCACTGAAACTGATACCAACAACAGCATCGGTCAGTTAATAGCGATTCTGAAGTCATTCGGCTTCTGCTTTGTCCCAGATGCCAACAGTCACAGCAACTCATCAGTTCAACAGGAGCCCCCTAAAGCGTTGTCGTGCTCCGCCACGCAGACGTCGCCAAGCAGGAGGCGAGGAGTCTCGTCCCCCTCCTGTGGGGGAGGAAGAGAGGATGAGACTGGGGCGGGGGTGGAGGCTTCAGCCGCCCCCGAGGATACGGCCACGCCGCGGGGTGGTGAGTGGACCCTCGCCCGGGGTCGTCGCCGGGGCCCGCCCCCACCGCCGCGCTCTGTCGAACGGACCCCGTTCACGTCTCCGGAGATCCGTCGACCCCCGCCCAGGGAGACTGCAGTCATGGCGGCTCTGCGCCGCGGTCGGGAGGAGCGGCTTGAGCAGGACGCCAGACTAGGGCGGAGGATGGCCCAGGCTCTTGAGGAGCGTCGAGCGTCCTCTGTCCGTGGAGGTCCTGGTGGGCCGGGGGCGGCCCCGTCACCTCTGATGGGACCTCCCCCTACCCCTCCACCCCCTCCTCCACCTCCGCCCCCTCCACCTCCTCCGCCCCCTCCACCTTCTCCCCCACCCCCGCTCCCACCGCCACCACCACCCCCTCCACCCCCTCCACTTCCTCCACTCCCTCCACCCCATTCACAGCGTCCTTCTGGTGCCCCTCCGGTGCCCGCCTCGGGCGAGGGGTCGGGACCCCGACCCCCGCCATGCACACCACCATCGGAGCCGAGACCGGCGGGGCCGCCGCCTGCCCCGGGCCGCCCCACGAAGCGCACACTTCCGTGGGAGTTATCTCCGTCAAACGATGGTAGCCCCCGCTCGCGGCTGAAGTTTCAACCGGGAGCTACGGGCCGGCCTAGGTCGGCCGATGGACGGCTCCGCGAGGGCCATCCAAAGGTAGCCTTTGGCGGTGGCCCGGGCCCCGGTGGCGAGGAGCATTTTTAAGTCCCCGCCTTTTTTTTAACTCAAGTCAAAGTCGCCAGTTTTAGACACCTTTCGCTTACCCCAAGCGCTCAAAACTACAGCAATAACACGTTTTATCCTGCAGTGGAACTGCAGAGGCTTGCGTTCTAGCACTCCAGAACTGCAAGCACTAATCCGCTCTCAGCGACCTTTGGTTGCTTGCATCCAAGAAACCAAACTCAGATCTGAGTCCAGGTTCCCCATGAAAGGATTTTCGGTTTTTCGCAGGGACCTTGCTACTGAAACCGTCGCGCACGGAGGTGTTCTGGTTCTGGTCCATAACGCCGTGCCTGCGAGATGTATTGATTTAAGCTCGCCCCTTCAGGCGGTAGCGGTCCGCATTCATCTAGGCCAGCGTGACATCACTGTGTGCTCACTTTACTGTCCCCCTGGCGCAGCTCTTCCTCTTCTGGAACTACGCCGGCTAATTGCCGAGCTCCCTCCACCTGTGATGCTTCTGGGTGATTTTAACTCTCACCACTCTGCATGGGGATGTGATTCTGTGTGTACACGCGGTCGACTTTTAGCGTCCTTGATAGACGAGGAGGGCCTTTGTGTTTTAAACACTGGTGCTGCTACCCATTTCACCATGCCGTCGGGACATTCATCAGTTCTAGATCTCAGCCTTGTCAGTCCACACCTTGTGCCGCTTTTTACGTGGCGAGTGGACGCGGACTCTTTTGGTAGTGACCATTTCCCCATATGGCTTGAACTGCGTGAGCGGCCCTCGGTTGGCTGCCGGCCACCGAGATGGAACCTGCGGAGGGCAGACTGGGAGAAATTTCAAACGTGCTTGGAGGATGCTCTCTCATCTGACCCTACAGATGATCTGTCAGTAACCGATTTCACCTCCTTACTCATTGAAGCAGCCAAGGCATCCATTCCTCGTACATCGGGGGCGCCTTCTCGCCGGCCGGTCCCATGGTGGTCCGATGCGTGTCGAGACGCCATCAGAGCGCGGAAACGAGCGCTGCGCGCTTTCAGGCATAACTGCACCACCGCAAACATGATCGCGTTTAGAAAAGCCAGAGCGTTCGCTAGGTGGACGGTCAAGAAAGCTAAACACGAATCCTGGGTGGAATACATCAGCCAGCTTAACAGATTCACGCCAATCTCCGAGGTTTGGTCCCGTATAAAACGTATATCAGGTCGTTTCTCCTCATCCCCTCTTCCTGTTCTGAGTGTGTTTGGCAGAAATGTGTCGAACCCAGCTGATGTAGCGTACGAAATAGGCCGTGCGTTACATGACCGCTGTGTCGGTGACTGTTCTGACCCCGACTTCGCCCGCCATCGTGCTCGGTGCGAATCGACTGGCGTCAATTTTAACACATCACAACATTTTAGCTACAATGATCCCTTTACTATGGAAGAGTTAAAGTCCGCTATAGGTGGCCTGAAGTGTGTCGCAGAAGGCCCTGATCTTGTACACAATGAGATGCTTCGGCGTCTCCCGTCACCGGGACTTGAAGCATTGCTCCATCTTTTCAATGCGCTCTGGGAAAGAGGGCTGTACCCCGAAACATGGCGGACGGCCATCATTATCCCGGTGCTGAAGGCTGGTAAAAGCGGGCTTGATCCGCTTCACTACCGCCCTATTGCGTTGACATCTGCCCTGGGCAAGCTGCTTGAGCGAGTTGTAAACGCGCGTCTCGTCTGGTTTCTGGAGGAACAAGGTGTTTTATCTAACTCGCAGTGCGGTTTCAGAAAGTATCGGAGCACAGTAGACCACATTTTAGCCCTTGATACCGAGGTTCGTTGCGCATTTAGGCGGAAGCGACACATTGGTGCATTGTTTTTCGACATTGAGGCTGCGTATGATACCACTTGGCGTTTCGGTATTTTACAAAAGCTTTTCAAGTACGGTATACGCGGTACAATGGGCCATTTCCTCGCCAGCTTTTTATCTAACCGGTCTTTCAGAGTCCGTGTCGGTGGCAACCTCTCAGAGCAGTTCCCCCAGGTCAACGGTGTCCCCCAAGGAGGAGTCCTAAGTGTTGTGCTGTTCGGGGTAATGATTAACGATATTGCCGATCACCTGCCCCCTTCCATTGGCCGTGCCCTTTTTGTGGATGACTTCTCTATCTGGGCCAGTGGTGCAACCACACGTATAGTAGAGAGACAGCTCCAGTTGGCAATTAAAAGATTAGAAAACTGGAGTGCTGTTAACGGACTACGATTCTCGACAGCCAAAACTGTAGGTGTCCACTTTTGCCGTTTTCGCCGTAATTGCCCTGACTTCTCTGTCAGGCTAAGGGGTGCAGTGATCCCTGTGAAGTCGGAGGTGAAGTTTCTTGGGATGGTAATAGACAGCCGTCTTACCTACCGCACTCACCTGAAAGAGCTCCGCGACCGATGTTTTCGAGCTATGAATGTTTTGAAATGTGTTGCGCGTACCTGCTATGGGGCGGATCGTAAGACACTGCTCTTGCTTTATCGTGCTCTTGTCCGTTCTAGACTAGACTACGGCTGTTTTATATACGATAACGCCACGGAGACCTCGAAACGTATTCTGGACTCTGTGCACCATACTGCTCTTCGTATTGCCACTGGTGCGTTCCGGACCACCCCAGTAGCCAGCCTCCTTGTAGAGGCCCACGAGCCACCTCTTGCCTTGCGTCGCCAGCTACTGGGCATGAGATATACCATAAAACTCCGCCAGTTGCCTTCCCACCCTGCCTATGATGCAGTTTTCTCACGTGCCAACCTGGCGCTTTTCAGAACCGGAGAAGGTGCACGTACTGTCCGCTACCCCCCTTTCTGCTCTCGTATGCAATCGCTGCTCTCGGAAGCTCAAATTAAACTTCGGGGGGTCATGCGTAAGGAGTGGCCATCTGTCCCACCGTGGAGACAAGTCCCGCCAAAGGTGGACCTTTCCCTCACCGATGTGAGAAAAGGCGACATCCCTCCAGCTGTTTTAAAGGCTCGTGCGCTGGAACATATTTCAAGGTACTCTGACTACATAGCCTGTTATACTGACGGCTCAAAGACTGATGACGGTGCCGGGTGTGCTTTCGTCTGCGGCGACGCTGTGCGGTGTTTTACCTTACCTAAACATGCATCCGTTTTTTCCTGCGAATTGGTCGCTATCCTCAAACTCCTGTGTTTTATCGAGATTAATCCCGCTCGGTCATATGTTATTCTTTCTGACTCATTGAGTGGTCTCCAGTCCTTGTCACAATTCTATCCTTCTGACCCCCTCGCACAGGAGATTCTTCTTCGTGTGACAGCCCTCGACCGAGAGGGTACGTCGGTGTCTTTTTGCTGGATCCCTAGCCACGTCGGTATTCACGGCAACGAACGGGCGGACCGAGCTGCGAACCATGCTGCGCAGTATCCGTGCTCCCGCCGATTCCCTCTACCCGCCAGGGACTTTGTACCGGCGGTGGGCTCTTTCCTCCTCGGAAAGTGGCAGGAGGCCTGGAGCCAATCCCACGGTAACAAACTTTTACGTATCAAGCCAGGTTTAGCTACCTGGTTGTCGGCCTCACGCAGATCGCGACGCGAGGAGGTGGTCCTCTGCCGGCTTCGTACCGGGCACACTTATGGCACCCATGGGTTCCTTATCGGCGTTGGCTCCAGGCCTATTTGTACCAGATGTGGTGACCGACTTTCGGTCCGACACGTCTTGGTCGAGTGCCCGAGACTGGACGCTGAGCGATTGCGGTTTTTTGGATTGCGTGGCCCCCAGCTCTCTTTGAGAACACTTCTCCGCGACGACTCCCCTTTTCTCGATTCCTTTCGCCTCTTTTCGTTCATCACGGCCTCCGGGCTTCAGGTGATTTTTAACCCCCGACTTTGAGGAAGATTGGTTAGATATGGGCGCCATATAGCCTCGTTGCTGGTGCGCCCTAAAACACCAAATCATCATCATAGTCCAACCGTCTGTGGGAGCGGCATGCCCGCCTGATCTTTCGCGACGATATTTCGCCTGACTGAATCTGAAATTGAAAAACTGTTCGCAGCCGACAGGATTCGAACCTGTGCGGGGAGACCCCATCAGATTTCGAGTCTGACGCCTTAACCACTCGGCCACGACTGCTACGGGTTCGTCGGTCGTCTAAAGTTGATCGGATGCCAGGTGGACCGCATTCATTTTTTTGTCATCCCCTGTCCCACGGAAAGTCTTGACTGAGTTCTGCTTGTTCCACAGAATATGTGGCCAGGGGTTCACGATGACGGCCCCTCCACTGGACCCGCGACTGACGGTTTCTTCAGACCTCCAGCTGGAGTTTCTGCATGCAATATACTTCATCATGTAAGTCTGACCATTCAGGGAATGGCAGCTGGCTAATTTTGGGACAGCGGTCGCTCATCGCTATTCATATTCTGGGAAACCAACAGGTCAATCTAAGTTTGCTTCTGCTGAGCGCTGGATCGAACTTCCCCTCGGTAAACATAGAGCGACAGCTAGCTAGTCCACTCAAGAGCTACGAACATAGTACGAGCTCGTACGAATAAGCTCGTATCGCTTCCGCGGTGTGTGTCCCTTCTTCCCGAGTCGTCACAGCCCGAAGCGCACGGTAAGTGTAAGGGCCCTGGCGTGGCAGACGAGTTTGTGCCCGCTGGCCGCCCCTCCCGGCTCGCCCTCGGCGTCGGTGGTCACCCGGCGTGGCCTATGCACGCGGTCGGGGCCGGCCACTATCCCGTGTTGTTCAGACCGCGGGTGTTAACTGTTGGGTGAGGAGCATGGTCTACTCACCGCAACGCTCGAACAAAAAAATCGCCAGAGTTTTCTAAAGTCGGTCTGGCCGACGTATCCCCACATTTTTAAAGTAGGTACGAACCTGGGTTTGCCCCAAGGGATTTTATGCGCGAGTTACGGTAGCTATTTGACCTGAGCGTGCATGCATGCTTTGTGCGGACTCGAGGACTGAATGTTGCAATGACGAACTATGCGTACGTAGATGTGTTGTTGCCAGATTGCATTAACGCCTGCAGTGTGTTTGTCAGCTGTGTCGAGGTTGTCGGCCGATCGCAACGATGTCTGTTCCTGTGTCTAGTGTGGCCAGTGCGTTTATGTGTCGGTTTAGTGAACTGTGGATGTTCAGGGTGTGGACTGGACTGTGGAAATGTGGATGCCTGGCTGTGAGCTGTGGAATGAGGATGTGGCTGCCGGCTGGTTACTGTAAGGATGTTTGCAGCCAAGTGCGAGACCTGGATGATCGTGTAGCCATTTCGTGTTTCTCTGGAAACTCTGTTAGCTTGTATCTGCGAACCGTGCAGTGTGCTATCTGTCGTGCTCTATGCATTTCTGTGTTGCTGTGTGATAACAGGCCACACCCTAAGAATTTGATTGTGTGTCCAGAATTGATTATAACACGGCCTATGCGTCTCTGCTTGTTGTCGAAGCAGAAGACCCATATGTGACGTCTATGCTGTGTGTGACGTCAGTCGTACTAGATGTGACGTCATAGTGGTGCATCTCGGCCTGCCGTGACGTCAGCCGGAGCTGCAGAGCTCCTCCCTGTGACGTCATGAGCTCGCGCATGCGCAGTGTAATGCCGCAGAGTCGGGCATGCTGCATTTGTGTGTCGCCTGCTGCTCAGCTAACAGCATGCCTCGCCCGCCCCGCCCCCGCCCCCGCCCCCGCCCCCGCCATGTCGGTCCTCCTTCCTTCCACGCCCCCAATTCTATCATCACGATACCTATTCTTCACCGCCGTACCCTCTGCCTCTTTCAATACCGTTTTCCTGAATCCGTCCGTGACCCTGGCTTTATCAACGCCTTTGAATTGGCTTCCCTGCATTCGGCTTTGCTTCCTGCTTTGCCTAATCCGATGTCCTTTCCGATGTCCAACCGTGGTCTTCCTTCGTTTCTTCGTCTACAACCATTGAATATCTTCTACCACCTCATGTAACCGCCATTTATTCACTACGCCAACCATTACCTAATAATCGCTCCCATTACCATATCCCTGATACCGTTACCTTTGTCTGCTTTCTCATCTCCTTCCCCTGCCATCGTGACATCCCACCTGCCCTCTGTCCCCTCTCTTTCCCTGCCATCTCGCTCCTCTGCCCCCTCCCTGTCGTTCCGCGTTGTCCGCCGGCCAGCACGCCGTCCCTGCACCTGGACCCAGGCGATCCCACCTACACCTGCTGCAGGTACGAGACGGTCACAGCGGCCGCCACGCAGGCGCTCGAGGCGGTCACCTTCCGGGGGCAGTACGATGTCAGCGCCAAGGTCACCGTGGCCGCCAACGCCATGAGGAACTCGCTCAACATATCGCCGGCAGGTGAGCAGGACGATCGTTAGGAGGGAGGAGGAAGATGGTTTGGAGGGGAGACTTGAGGGCTTCGAACGTGTGGGATTCGTGTATTTCTGTCATGTGATACAAATAATAGTGTGCTTTTAGGGACGGCGAAACGCAGGATTATTTCGAGGGAATGACCAAACATGCTGAAAAAGCTATGTGCTAGGCTCCGGTGTTTGTTTCGTAGCGTTCATTAGTGTGGCTAATTTTCCTCATCGTAATTTACATTGTTAACGGTTTCCGTTAACGCGAGAGACGTCCAGTCTTGTTCCGAACAGCTGCCCAAACGTCCCTCTCCTCCCTTTGTCAGGTCTAACGGACAGCCAGCTGAACCTGACCGAGCTGCCTTCTGTGACGTCACTGCCGACACTGACCAACCCCCTCTCCTTACCAGGTCTAACAGATAGCCAGCTGAACCTGACCGAGCTGCCTTCTGTGACGTCACTGCCGGCCGCAGTCAACAAGTTTATCATCACCAACGCCTCGTTCCGCACCAAAAAACTGCCAGGTGAGTTAAGCGATACTGGGAGAGGGTTGTTTGGTGGGGATTGCGGGAGGTCTGCGCTGTGGATGTTGTAAATTGTAATATTAAATATTTCTCCATCTTTTTGAACTTTTCTCAATAGAAATTTCTCACGATATTTCTCAATACGATTATGAGTATCCTTTATTGTTCTCCTTGCCTCAACCCCACCCACCCGTCCTCATCCTGTTCCTCTCTCGCCATCCCGTCCTCTCTGTTCCTCAGACGACATTGATCCTCCTCCGGAGGACACCACCGACTCGTCAGGACCGGCCAGTGTGGCCCACACGCCCTCACCTGCCGCCACGGCCACCAGCAAACTGCGAAAGGGTATCCGCAGCATCAAACGACGCATCCGGCGCAGTCGCGGCCGGCACGACCACGCGTCCGACCAGGATCCGGGAGTGGATCTGGATCCGAACAGGGATCCGGCACTGCTGGAGGGAAGCAGTAGTAGTGGGGAGGATCATCCAGAGGCGCGTGGATCCGTGTCGACGGATAGTTTCCACTGGATCCTGACGAGAGAGGAGGCAGAGCAGCGCGGCACGTGGCAAACAGAGCTGGGTGACTGGCGGCGGCTCGGTGTGTTCAAAGGCGGCTGGTGGGATGACCCGTGGACGGGCCGGTCGGCGTCCGAGCCTTCCTCGTCAGGAGTTCCGTACAGGAACTCCGCACGGCCGTCGGTGCATTTCTCCGACAGCACGCGCGGAGGAGCCTCCAGCAGCTGGAGGACAGCTTCCTCCACTTGGCTGTCGGAGGAATCCCCCGATGAACCTCCAGATGCTGATATAACAGCCAACCCCGCGAGTGACGCCTCAGTGAGACCTTCAGCGCCTCCCGCTCCCGACGAGTATGTAGTCGGAGACCTGGAGCCTCCCTCACCAGACGGAGGCGGGTGCAGTGCGGCAGAGGCCAGCCCGAGCGGCTCAGGAGACGGACGAACCTGCTCAGCTGGAGAGCAACCGTCACCAGCGGCCCTGTCACCGACCATGGTGGCGCTGGAGCTACCCAACTCGCCCCGCTCATCACAGACAACCTCGCTGTACAGCGCGTCAGATGGCGAGGCGTCCTCGGACGATACAGACAAGTTCCACACATCCTCACCCTGATCCTGTGTTCTTCTGTGATCCTGGCCTACCGAGGTGGGTGCCGCAGCCCGCAGAGTGAGGCGGAATCGAGGCGAGGGAAGCTTCAATTGTGACCATCGATTGTGTGTTTGTATGGTGCCTTGCACTTCTCTCTGATGCGTAGCTTTTCTCACGTAAAGTGAATTGAACCTAACTTCTGTGGACATTTTGGCTAAGTGCCTTGCGATGCCTTTTCGACCGTTTGTTGTTAGTTGTTGACCGCAATGGCCACTCGGGTGACCATTTCCCACTCTCCGTTTCAGACGACATTCCTATCCAGCCGGGCGCGGCGCACGACGGCGAGCCCCTGTCGGTAATCTCCGAACAGACCGAGGACGACCAGACGGCCGACGCGCCCGCCGCAAAGAGTCGCCTCAAGGAACGCAAACACCGGCCCGCCGAGCGTGAGCGCAGTGGACCCGACAAGCACGTGACGGCCATGCTGGCGGCGCTGCCGGGTCTCGTCAAAAAGCGCGGAGCTGAGGAGAAGAAACGACTGGACAGCGGCGGCGATCGGGCAGCTGATGGTGTTGTCAGTTCTGGTACCGGCGCCGGCAGCGGAGCGGCCGGAGCTGGCGGCGCCGGCGAGAAGAGCAAGAAGAAGGGCGACTCAAAACGCTCCGGCCGGCGCACAGGCTCCGGCGGGGGCAGCAGCGCGCCCAATGGCACTCCATCTAGCGCGCGCAACTCTCTGGCCCTGAACGGTGACGAAGAGTGGCCGCCGGGCCCTCCGCTGGCGCGTCTAGAGCCCGGGGAGCTGCGAGTGGTGAGCTCTGGCTCGGAGAGCGCCACGCCGCGCCGCGAACGTCGCGAGACGGACAGCTCGTCTGTGACCAGCACGGCCTCGGACGAGGCGGTGGGACACGGTCGATCGGAGCCCGCGGTCGTGTACTCTGTGAGGAGGGAGTCACTGGCGGTGACGGCCAACGCGCGCACCACTGATGTGTAGGAAGAGATGAGAGGCAGGGCAGGTGTGTAGGCCAGTGCTAGGTGGGTAGACTGGTAGCTAGCAGTCAGGTACCGAGTCTGAATGGGTCGTTAGTGAATTTGCGTAATCGGTGTGATTTGTTGATTTTTGGGGCGTGTGCTGGGCAGCGCTAACGTACACGGTCGGATGTGCCATCCGGGCAGCACCAGTGCCTCGGCTCGGTGGTCTAGGAGGAGGTTCACATTCCTGCCTTTGCGTGTGTCACTCGCGAGCGTCACGTTATGTGACGTCACTGTTACGTCAGCGTCACGTTACGCCCGCCGCGCAGGTTCGCGTCGCGTCACAAGCGTGCTGATACGTTGGGTGTTGTTGGCACCCAGGCTGATCGTTGACCGTATGGATCCCATACCCGAGCTATGCAGTGAGACACCCAGATAAGTCAGTGTTGGTTAGATGTGGTTAGTTGTTGCTCACCCGTCGGTATGCCCTTCAGTACGGCGCTATTCGACGCTGTGCCAGGGACGGGTGCCGTTGTGAGTTTGACTGGTGATATTAGGCCACGTTCTGTTATCGACGGAATTGTTTGCGGTGGTGCTCAGAAGTAGATAGCCAAAGATAGCGTGGGGTGCCGGGGGACGCGCGACAACACTGACAATAATCAATGGGACCTTAGTGCACCTGTACCACTGCTAGAACAAGTCCGAACGGTCACAGCTGGGGTCGCTAATCGTTTGCCTTCCGCTAGACCGCTGAACAAACTGTCAGTTCCGACCGTAACTCGACACTCCAACACAGGCGCCGTGAGGCGTCTGCCGTTTTCCGTTATTACCTTTACCTACCCGCTGTTGATATTCGTTGTTATCACGTGTGCATGCGAATCGCGTTATGCAGGGAATCACGTGTGAGTGCCTGCGCGTGTAAGCATATATCCTTCCAGTTGTGCAGTATGCAGTGCCGAACCGTTAATGGGTCACAGTCGCGAGGCAACCGGCGCTGGGGGAGCGCCCGTCCCGCGACTCGCGCCACCCGACCGTGCATTATCTACATCGGCGTTTTGCGTGTGTATCTCTGTGTACTCGTTGTGTCCCCAATCTTCCAGAGGCGGGTCGCGGCGGCTGGCCGCTGTCGCCCCCCACCGGCTGGAGACAGACTGACGCGTCCGGTCAGGGTTCAGGGGGCAGAGGGCGACCGTCCCAGAGAGGCGGTGATGCACTTTGGTCAGCGACATCAGCAATATGAGAGCAGCGAGCGGAGTTTGTCGATGATCGATCGTTTTCAGTTATATGATTATTCTGATTGGTTTGCGCTTGTTATGCACTGATTTGTGTGATAATTTGCCTATCTGCCCCGGCAGTATAAAGTGGTGATATGTCGACCATGCTTGGTACCTTTCCTTGATCACTATATTTTATTATTTGCCATATCTTTCCACTCTCTGTGAGCGGATTTAGCCATCATTTGTGTGATTTAGTTGCAGCGGGGTAATCAGGGGCCGGTGCCGGTCTGCCATTCTCGGCTTCTGGTCGCGGTAGCGCGGTGCGGCGGTCGCTTGGGTCGGGTCTTCAGCAGCAGCTGCAGTGCTCTCGTCGTGTAGCCGAGTTACACACATCGTGTTTAGCCTCCGGCGCGCGGCAGCCGGCTCAGAAATAATGCCTCCCAGCCGTGACTTCATCTATATGTTGCCAATGGGTGCCGATAATACACCCTACTGTATCCAGATGTGCGATGTTTGATTTGTTGACCCGATGGGTGATGGGTCTGAGATGAGATTCATCATTCAAGTGAAGCGTGAGCCACACGTAATGGCGGGCGAGGACGGACAAGCCTGGCCTTGGACTAGCAGGATACGGGAAGACATCGTCGGCCTTGACGTGATCAAATATCCTGAATCACGAAAGGGAAATCCAATCGTGACGTACTTCATGACGTAGTTGATGACGTAGCTCAGGTCGTGACGTCAAATGATTCACGAGCATCAAGATTGACTTCTTCTCTTGTCTATTTGTTTGAAAAGATTTAACAATGACGTCATAAGTCCAAAATCGCTGCATACAAAACACGCCTTTATCAACGTAGTTACCAAAATAAAGTGCATTTATTAGATAAATTACAAATGAAGCGATCTAAGATAATTTTCCAGATGGCTATTTGTTCATATTTTGACAGGATTATTTACAAATGAAGACCTGACAATAATTTTCCTCACCTTTCATTCGCCAATATTACGCCTACGTCATCGAATCTAATACACTTTAGCACCTGGGTATTTGTGTGTTTAGAATGTGTGAGCGAGTGAAGTCCTTTGTGTTGTGCAAGGATAGGTGACTGTGCGCAGTTATTTTTGTGCCTGGTGCTGACAAGTCGAAGGAGTTGTTGGTTGAAGAATACTTTTTACTCAAATCAGTAACACTTCTTGGGTGAGTAGTTATCTTTTTGTGGCATATTTGACCAGAATTTGCTTGTAAATTGAAATGCATGACTTCACTCTTGAATTGATTCAGATTTCCTGTCTCGAGCTTGTACTTTAGGCCTATTAATTTTGTTAAACTGATGTTAAATATTTGTTTCAGGTGCCAAGATGTCTCAGTTGTATCCATCTCTGGAGGACATGAAGGTGGACCAGATGGTTCGGGTAAGTATTAAATGTTTATTTGTGACGGCATCCTGATTTTTCAGGTCCATGCCAATGCAGCAACAATCTGTGCTGCATGGACTTAACCCTAGGTAGGAACACAGCCACCCAATCCCAGCCAGCCCACAGAGCTGAACACCACAGTAGGTATATCCTTTCCAAGGCAGGAATCAGAATGTGGTGCGGAAACACTGGTGCCTGCTGGTCTGGTGCTAGAAATTGGGTTAATATTCCACATGGTTTGTTATGATATGCCACTGACAAATGGAAGGGGTAATGCTCATAAAGAGCATAGGAGATTCTCTCACAAGGAAAAATGAATGATCTCTGGGATGTATGCTTCTTTCATTACTCCTGGTTTTTATGCTGCAGGGGCTGCAACACTGTGAGACATGACATTTTTCCTTGATTATTCATAAAGATGTGCAGGGTTAGTCATTTTATCAACCTTTATTGTAAATGCATGCTTCCGAGCGCAGGCAGGATGCTTCATTTGGACTGTGTTGCTGGACAGCTCCATGCATGACATTGACAGCTAAGTGAGGCAAGGCAAGCTGATGCATTATATTTATAGGAGATGCATATTAGATAAGGAATGGACTATTCTCCAATCTCTAGACCATTAATTTGCAGTTCTCTTGACCCCTGGGGACTTTGCCCATTTTTGCTACCCATTTTATAAAAAGTGATTCAGATTGAGTCTACATTTTCAGAATTAGTATTCTTGTTTTGTGGTACAATATGCACAATGCTCATTAGGTATGCTTTCCCTCTTCTAGTTTCTCTCTCCTGTTTCTTCATTCATATCACTTTCAGAGAGCAAGAAATAAAAGTTTGTAGACATTTATTCCTTTTACACTATATTTTCAACTGAGGTTGGTCTGAGGCTGGTCTGCATAGTGCATGCATTGGGAGCATATATGCTTTTGAATGCTATTTACAGGCTATAAATGCAACAAAGGGGCAGGGAAATGTGTAAGCTGTATGAAAATTTCTTGTGATTTTTCATTCTTTTAGCACTCTGAAATCTGAATTTACATCTTATGTGAATGTGAAACATTTCCCTAGCAGGGGTGATACAGCTGGACCCAATAAATCAACCATTTGAAGACCACAGGTTCTTGGTCAATTGTACTCAGTGGTTACCCTAGTTTCTTAGCAATTCAATTCCAATGTTTTGAATGGATGGATCAATGAAGCTAAATCTCTACCTAAGCAGTGCTTGGCGAGCAGGCTCTTATCAGCATATGATGGGGAAATTACCTCAAGCGCCGTTTTCCGCACAATCGGGAGTCCAGCGCTTTACCAGCTGAGATGCAGGACAGAGTTTCGAGTTACGTTATGGACGATCGGCCAGTCATTCTCGCTGCTCTGTTGACGGTTAGGGCCGGGGTTTAATGTTTATCCTCGCCGCTGTTGCTGGCTGTCTATGACCATTCATTCTCCTTCCTCTCTCTTAACCCTCGCCCTGGCAGGGCATTTTTCATAACACGGCCTGGCAGGGGGGGGGGGGGGTCGAATTCAGAATTCAGAATTCAGAATTCAGATTTATTCAAAAGAAGTCCACTCACCATGGCTTTCACTCTTTCACGTCAGTTACAAGTACAAAAAGGACGAATTTAGGCCACATTCACGTTCCACACGCATACCACTCATACATCAATTCACTCCGATCATCACTGAGGATCGACAGATCCGACGACCGCTCTGACAGCACTACGGAACCCGGGCTCACAGGGATCTGCCCCTATACCGTTGAGCAGTGTCACGCCACGGTAACACATTCTCCGCCTACCGGATTCAGTGCGTATGTTGGGGCGGCTGAATAGATCGGCTTGTCTCGTTCTGTAGGTGTGCCTTTGGCTCGATCTCGGTCCAATAGTTCCACATAGGTACTCAGGCTGCTGGGTCACGATAACACTCGCCAGCGCACACACGGTGTGGTAGTCGATCAGCTGCTCTACCTTGAGCCAACGGAGCCGCTGTATCTCACCGCTAATATGGTCGAAACGGCGCTTCCCTGTCACTACACGGGCACAGAAGTTGACAATCTTCTGTACACGGTCGCGCTGGGTGACTCCGCATGAGCCGTAGACGGATAGGCAGTATCGAACCACGGACAGGACGAGTGCCTCAACAAGCACCTTCAGCGTCTGTTTTGGCATGACATGGCGCGCATGAGATTACCCTATCAATATGCCTGTACACTTCCTTGTGATGTATGTCACATGTGTCTCAAAGCTGAGGTGGCGATCAATGAACACACCGAGGTTTTTAACCTCTCTCGAGTCGGCTATAACATTGCCACAGAAGCGGACAACAACAGGCGGCAGCGTACGGAGCATCGCGGGTGTTCCCAGCACAACCATCTGTGTCTTCTTGGTGTTCAACTTCATCCCGTTGTGACAGAACCAGTTGTACACATAGCTGAGTGCGTGTTCCATGCTGCTGATGATTCTCTGGATGTCACGCTTGCTGCCGGATACTAATAGCTGCGTATCGTCGGCATATTGAACAGTAGTGACGTCACTCGGCAGTCCAAGGCTCGATGCGACCCCCCCCCCCCTCGCGATTGGCTCCTATGGCACCTAGAAACACCAAATTTGATAGGTAGGTGGGCCCCCTGGAGTTCTCGCCCCTGTGCAAATTTGGTTGCTCTAGGTCAATATTTAGGGGGGTTTTGGGGGGTATAAATGTAAATATTTCGCTAAAAACAGGTCAAAAGTTTTTCGCTTATAACTTTTGACCTAATTAAGATAGAGCAAAAAGAAAAGTACCAGTGAACTCAGCACGTCAAGGCGCGTCGAATGATATACTTTTTAGCTTGCTTAAGTGTACTTAAAGTTTTTCTTAAATTTTAAGTAAACTTAAATTTATAAATTAAGTTCAAGTTAACCAAATTGCATCATATTGCATATCATTCGATTCGGCTGATCACCAGGAACACAATGATACCATTTTTTAAGCTCTAGCGTCATTATGTGCCAAGTTATTGGCAAAAACGTCATTTGACCTCAGTTGACCTCATTTGACCTGACCCATGGATAAGTACACCAAACAAAGAAGCACCAAGTGACCTGCTGTTAAGTACTGTGGTTTCAAAGCGCAAAAGTGATGGAACGAAGCGGATATCTCCAGTATTTTCCTAATTTAGTATTTTCCCATAGGCTTAACATTACGACGTAATGACCTCTAACTGACCTCAGGTCAGTGACCTCAAAAAAACCCGAACTATATGTTATACAACTCGGTGAACTTAGCACATCCTGAAAGTTTAAAGGAAATCAGTCAAAAACTGTGAGTTGGACAGGTGCAAAAAGAAAATTGAAATTTGACCATGACCTTGTACCGGTTTTTCTGACCTGGTGACCTGACCCTAGGTCACTCGGACCTGAAATTTTCAGGTCATATGTAAAAAGGTTGCCCCATAGGCTGTGCCAAATTTGGCGGCGCTGCGCGCCGCCGTTTTTACGCTATCTTCGAAAAACCTTAGGGGGGGGTCGCATCGACCCCCCCCCTGCCAGGGCGAGGGTTAACACTGTCCGTCGACAGCCGCTCATTCCCGCCGTTTTTACTGACAGATGACCATGTACTGTTGCTGTTATCGCTGGCTGCCGACGGCCTTCATTCTCGCAGCCTGTCGACTGTCGTTAATCCCCACTGTCCTCCCTCTCCGCTGACGCCACACCGCCCTCTCACAGGCAGAGCAGGCGGCGGCCGGCGCACCGCCCGCCCCGGAGGGCCTGCCGTACCCGGTGAGGCCTCTGATGCCGGTGGCGCCCGGCCAGGAGCAGTTTGCCCACCTGTACCCGTCGCTGACCGACTACATGGGCCTCGAGCTGACGCCCGAGCTGGTGGCGCAGCTGGAGGAACAGGAGAAACAGCTCGTCCAGCAGCAGGTCAGCAATGGAGAGTCGTTATTGGCATTTTATTGCATGATTCTCATCACCTACCGCAAGGTTTCTTAGCCACTAATCTTTCGCTCATGCGTGACAAACGTTGGTGGGTGAGTCGATGAGTGTGCTTTACAGGAATATCAATTACTTACTTGAAATCCATGAGCAGAAGAAGTACTTGTTAATAGCAAAGTTTAGACTAATGCCCAATGCGAATTCCGTTTATAATGCGTGTTTTATTACCCGTGGCCGTGTATCTAGTATGATGCGTGTCTGGCTCTGATTGGACAGCAATGACGGGGAGAGCTATGTCGATTGTTCACTATTATTGAAAGATGCTATATGAATCACTGCGGGTTATCTGAATTGACCTTTTCTGTTCCGTTCTGTGTACAGTCGAGTGTGGTGCCGTCGGCCTCGTCCTCGGGCGGGTACCAGCTGGTGGCCCCTATCTCCGGACAGAGCGGAACCCTGCAGAAGGCCGCCGTCAGCCACGCCATCCGGGAGGTGAGTCATCACTGCGCACGGCACGGGCTCGAATCCCGACACGGAACTATTGTATAAATATAGCTAACATTCCTCAATGCGTCTACTCAATGTCAAACGATTAGCACCGTGGGCTGACAGGTTTCTTATCTTGTCTCTGGAATTTTAATACGGATGACCTGTGTAATAGCATGCGATAGTCCCCTGATTCCAGAAATAAAACTGTTGGGTGTCGTGGTATTTTATGACGGCGGATGGCCCCCGTCCTGCAGAGATTATCGCCGTTGTAACTCATGTCACAAATGTGGCGGCGCGGCAGGTGACCAGATCGGATCCGCCTACCGTTCATCCATTATCCGACACTGGATTTTTCTGGCCGCCGCACATGTTTGACAAGTAATTAGTGCTGTCCTTGGAGCTGAATTTGGCGTGAGCTGGCAGACCGGCTGTTTGGCTCACGTGCTCAGTGTGCAGTTTTATCGCTCACTTTTTTCTGGACTTGACACGGATTGTTCGCAGTTTGATAGCGTTGTTTGTGCTGCCCTCTTTCGTCGGTTGTCTCAAGTCGTTAGTTTTGCTAGCATACGGTAGAGTGCAGACGTTCTCGCCGGAGGATTTTCCGTTCACAGTGACACTGCAGTGATATGAGTAATGACTTGTTGCAGGATAAGGTTATTTTATGGTTCTGGAAGCGCACGGGTCTCCCGGTTCAATTGTTAAGGCTCAGCTTTGCATCCGCAACATATTCAGATCCATGATGGGGTAAAAGCTCCTGTTGTGATGGCATCTGATCATCTTAGCTAAATGCTCCAAATGTTCTACATTCGCCATTTCATCACATCAAGGAAACTTCGCACGCACCGTGCAGAGCGTAATCAGGTCGCCCCAACCCTTTCCATTGCTCTACCGATGACACCGCCGCGACCTTCACCGTTCGTCCCACGCGAGGTCTGCTGTGCCGACAGCCCGCAGGTGCGACCTGGTGACGTGTCCGACTCAGCACCACATCTGTGTGACCGGCGGTGCCACAGCTGTGAGCTCCGGGACGCGGCGACAGCGCCGTCCACGGCAGGCTCAGTGCGGCCCGGACCCGCCGAATGTGTACAAGATGACCACTGAGGCCGAGCCTGCCCCCGGTCCGGCGCCGGCGGCGGAGACTGCCGAGGTCAACGGTCACGTGACAGCGGAGACGGCGGTGGAGCAGGGAGAGGTGAAGAAGACGGTGGTTGAAGTGCATGACGAGCAGACGAACGGCCACATATCGGGTGTTACTACGGTGGAGACTCGAGAAGAACCCGACGGTTATCAAACGAGGCCGAGTACGAGCCGGCAGTCGGTGGAGAAGGAGGCATCTGGGAGTCAGCCAAGGGCCCAACATCATACAAAGGAAGAACTTGCAGCTCGACCGGCCTCAACAGAGACGACCCCACCACCTACAGTAGAGAAGCCCCCGCCGCCCCTAGCGGAGAACACCCCACCGACTCCAGCACAGAAGATCACAGCTCAGCCGAGCCAGTCGGCACCTCAGACAGCAGCTGTTCGACCATCAGAGAGACCTCGCTCCCAGCCCCCTCCTCAGCCAGCGGCAGACCCATCAGCCAGCCACACCGGCCAGTCTCGGCCTGCCTCGCTGACCGCCCAACAGCTGGAGTCGCTCCGCCGCCAGTCTCAGCAGTTTCAGTCTCTGCGTGGCTCATCAGCTGCCAACAGCACCACCAGCCACCGGGCGTCTTCGGCTTCCACGGCGGCAGCGGCTGCGGCCGAGGCTAGGGCGGCGCGCGAACGATCCCGTGGCGGCCACCGCTCGGCGTCTGTGGTCCCCCGGCCGGCGCCGCAGGAGGTGCGGGCTGCTACATTCCCCAGGAGGCAGCCAGAACAGGCGCGACCCCACCCGCGACCCGAGGCTGTCGTGACGCCGACACAGAAATCTCCGCCGCAGAGGTCCCAGTCTGTTGCTGACGCACAGATGGGCTCGGGAAGGCCGTGGTTCCGGCGCGGCGGCCGCGCCATGCCGCTGCGGAAGAGCGTGACGTACGGGAAGTCGGTGGAGGAGCTGGCCGTACAGCGGCGCCAGATGGCGGCCGCCGCCATGCCGCAGCCGTGGATGCAGCGACTGGTGAGAGGTGCAGCAGTGACTGGTGAAAGGGAGCCCCGCAGCGACTGGTGAGAGGGGACTTAGTTGGAGGCCGCAGCAACTCGAGAGGGGCGCTTCAATCACTGGTGAGACGGGGTGAACATGAGTGGGTCTGATTCACTACGTGAGGTTAATAGAGACTGCAATTGTTTTCCGAGTAGTATTTTTACACAGGCAGACGGTTGTTATTCTTATTATTGGGCTCCTTGCTGTAACAAGGCAAGAGCCTGCATGAGTTGTGTAGCCAGATTCACAACCCTTTTCCCCACTTTCGCTTACGCTACTTTTTGATGTATAGTTTTATGGCAAATACTTTGATTCAGCAACAAACACAGGGTTTGTTTGCTCAGCGGCTACTACACCTCTGAAAATCCAGTTTGCGCAGCAGTCAGCGATACCGGAAAACAAGCTTTCAGACTGTCGGCTACCTCAAAAGCCGGCATCAATCGCCATGAAGACGTCCGCACTTGCTGCCGTGTGGCACAATTGACCTTGTGTCGCCGCGGCGAGGGCCGGGCACAGCTGGCCCCGCACCTGTCTGCGACGGTCCGGAGAGAACCGGCTCCCTGTCGACGGCTGTGTATGCCTTCTCGCCACCCGCGGCCGCCAAACGCGCTGCGCCGCCTTCGGGCGTGCCGTGTCGCGCCTTGGGGCGTTCTGCCGCGCCGAGCAGTGTCGTGTCTCGCTTTTTCGGGCATCAGTTCGTTCGGTGTCGATCCATGGAGTACACAGTGAGGGAACTCCGTCGTCTGACCCGCCGCCACCCCGGCTGGGCGGAGCGGGAGGCAGCGGCACGGCTCAAGTACGGAGTTCCGCCCCGCAAAACGTGGTACGATTCGGCGTGGTGGGCGGGGGCGGCGGCGGCGGCCGCCCTGCTGTCGATGGCGCCCGGCCACCCGCCCGCCCCCGCCCGGGAGTTGAAACAGGCGCCGCCGCCGCCCAGCAGGTACCGCCAGCTGGATACCTCACAGGTCAGCGGGTCAATCTGAGGTCAACCTGGGTCAGCCGGAGGTCAGCGAAAGGTCACCATGGGGTCACGGAAGGTCATGTAGTCAAAGTTGGTGCGCACTGGGTGTGCTGGTTGATGACCCCTGACGGCGGTGTTTGGTGACCTTCGCTGAAGCTTTAGGGTGGTGCCGGTAGCTTTGTGCTGAGACGATGTTCACCGTCGCATCTCCATCCGTTTAGCCGGATTAGGATTTTAGACTCTCTTTGATGTTGGATTAGTCTGAGGTCCGCTAGATGTGCATAGAAGATGGCGTTTCCGTTGAGGTTGTTGGTTTTTCGGTTGTTTTGTTTTGCTCTGTTGTTTAGCTGACATCTTTTGTTAGATGCCGCAGGATACATTTGTATAACGTTCTTGGAACATCAATGGTTCCCGGAGGCCGGTAACTAAATGGCAAGAAATTATCTCATCTAAGCTGTGCAAACTCCGTCATGTTTGTCGAAAGTTCCCGTGCTCTGCGAACCCTATGAGACGCTGAGGGTTCCTAGTGCCCTTACAGGTCCCCTGGTGACTGGTGACACCAAAGTACCCTTGTTGACCCTCCTGACGTATTGACCCCTAATGGCTCTCACTAATGACTTCCTTTCGACCAGTAATGATTCACTTGAGCCTCCCATATACCTTACTCCACCCACATCACTAACCCCAGATGATCTCTGTAACACATACGACTGTCTGCTACTCCTTATGACTGGACACTGACCTGTTCTCGCTCTCCCCTCGTCAGGTGACCCTGTGTAAGGACCGGGACGGCAAGGTGGGCCTGCGCTGCCAGGAGATCAACAAGGGCGTCTTCGTGGTGCTGGTGCAGAAGAACTCGCCGGCAGCCATGGCCGGTAAGGCCCACACAGCTGAGACAGAGCCCGCCGTATGATTATGCATATTGAAACCTGATTATTGATTTCTCATGGTGGTGTTTTCAGAAAGATGGTCGTTATGTTGTACATGATTAAGATGATTTATTCACCAACAATGGATCAAAGGGCACGCAGAATTACTGAACAATAGGTCATCAATCAGGGTTCTCAGTACGAACCTGTTGCCGATTCTGGTCAAATAGTTGACTTGTTAATTCATCAATTGATGTCATGATACATTCTGCGGGACATTCTTGCGCTGTTCTTCATAACTCCGCAGTCTGAACAGCCCGATGTCTCGTGCCGTGCGGCGCTTGGTGTTCCCCGTTCTTACGCGTTTTGTTGGTCTGCGTTCCTCAGGCCTGCGCTTCGGAGATCAGATTCTGCAGATCAACGACGAATCCGTGGCTGGATATGACATGGACAAGGTGCACAGCATCTTCCGGAAGGCGCGCTCTGATGCAATTAAGGTGAGAAACTTGCTGAAGGGCCTGCTGAAGGGATTGTGTGTTATTGTATTGTATTGTATTGTATTTACGTCATAGACTCATCCCTTCATGAGATCGGAATCACAGGGCTATTCTCGAGTCAGAGTCAACACACGCTAAGAAATGCAATGATGAGGATAAAAAGTGAACACACATAAACCACACTACACTCACGATGCATAAGCTAAAAGCGGTTACAGCGACGTGTCAGCTCATGTCACCGAAGATAAGAGTTCTAAGACCTTGCTGGTAAACATCGAGGTGGACATGTCCCAGAACTCGCGTGGTAGGGCGTTATAGCCTGCGGCAGCGCGGTACACGAATTGCCGCTTCCCCGCAGCCGAGCCGTGTATGCGGGGAAGACTAAGCAGGTGGTCCTGCCTGGTGCTGCGACTACGGTCTGGACGCTCGGCATTAGTGGCAAATAGTGCAGCTAGTGACTCGGGCTGACCTGTTCGTCTAGCTTTGTGCAGGATGTTTAGGGTTTGGGCTTGAACCATAGTGGAGGGGTCCGGCCACCCGAGGGAGGCACGGACAGAGGAGATGTGGTCGAATTTCTTTTTGCCGGAGATGATGCGGGCCGCAAAATTTAGAATTTTGTTGATGGTGGCGAGGTTCTTGGCAGACCCGTTGCCATAGACGGAGAGGCAGTAGCGGACGTGGGAAAGGACGAGGGCAGACACAAGGATTGGGAGAGTACCGGATGGTAGGTAGTGGCGGATGTGGGAGAGACCGATAAGGATGCCGAAGCACTTCTGTGATAGTTGCGATACGTGCGAGTCCCAAGTGAGATGGCGATCAAAAGTGACACCGAGATTTTTTGCTTCAGTGCAAGGTGATAGCACGGCTTGCCGAAATTTGACCGTGAACGGTGGGAGGTCTCGCAGATTTTGACGTGAGCCGATGGGAAGTAGCTCGAATTTTGACTCGTTAAGTTTTAAACCGTTCGAATGAAAGTAATCACCAAGCGACTGGAGAGATGCCTCGAGTTTTAAGATAAGGTCAGGTAGCTCGGACTTGTGTCCAGAGACTAAAACCTGGGTGTCATCGGCGTACTGAATGATAAAAGAGTCGCCAGCGTACAAGCTAAGATCGTTAACGACTATGCTGAACAAGAGAGGACCCAACGATGACCCCTGGAAGACGCCCTGGCTAATGTTGAGCGGAGGGGAGCTCTGTGAGGCAGAGATGGCTACGCTTTGCGTGTGACCGTCAAGATAATTTCGAAACCAGGCAGTGTCAATGCCGTGCAGCTCGAGCTTGTCAAGCAATTTAGAATGGGAAATCACGTCAAAAGCTTTAGACAGATCAAGTAAACAGAGCAGAGAGATGTGGCCTTGATCCATGCCAGCAAGTGCTCGGTCAGAGATTTGGAGAAGGGCTGATTCGGTACAGTGATGTGGACGGAAGCCGTGTTGGGTAGGGGAGAGGAGAGAGTTGGAGGATAGGTAGTGTTGAAGCTGTCGCTGTACGACCTTCTCCACTACCTTCGAGATGACAGGGAGGATGGAAATAGGACGGTAGTTTGCAGGATTGTTGGGATCACCGGACTTCAGGATGGGGTGGATTTGGGCATGTTTCCAGGATGCGGGGATGTCATTCATGGATAGGCAGGAGTTCACAACATGCAAGAGAACAGGTCCGATCACACTAAAAGACATCTTAAAAACGCGAATGCAAAGCCCGTCAGAGCCACGAGCAGATGAGTTTCGCATGCTAAAAACAACGTTCTTTAAAAATTCGAGACTGACGGGTTGCACGGTAAAACCGCACGAACCGACTCGCTGTAGCCGCACAGGCACTTGCCGAGACGATTCGTGCACACCGGAGTTCAAATCGGAAACAATGTTTGCGCCTACATCGACAAAAAACTGATTCAGTGTGTCACCATTGACGCGGGGAAAAGTGACATGCGAATCTCGCTTGCCACTCACGACACGCCGCAAGTTACGCCACACCGAAGCCGGACCGTCCGCTGCGATTCGCCCCTCAATATCGCTCCGACTGTCCGCCCGCACAGCTGCACGCACCGCTCGGTTAGCGGCCCGGTACTCGTCAGAGCCGTGCCCGCGGCTAGAGAGCGCGGCGGCTCTGCGAGCCATCAGGTCGCGCGTGGCGGCAGACAGGGGAGGGGCAGAGGGGTTGCGGATTTTAACCGAGCGAACGGGGGCATGACGGTCGAGCACACCGCGCACGGCGTCAACAAGATAATCCCACTTGTCGGATACGGTGTCTGATAAGTAGACCTGGCTCCAGTCACAACACGACAGGTCAAGGTGATAATCAGCGATGTCAATGTTACGGAACATACGAGCCTTGGTGACAGTAGGCTTACGTCTAAATCGTGGGATGTCACAGATCATGCGAATGAAACGATGAGGACTAAAATGACAAAACCTAGTGCCTGATTTAAGAACGAAACTACGGTTGACAATAAAAACATCCAGAAGGGAGCCGGTGGAGTAAGTGGGAGTCGAGATGGTCTGCGTGAGCGAGTATCTGTTCAGAAAGGCGGTTAACCTCTCGCAGCCAGCATGTGAACTGGGATCAGCTAGCATACAACAGTTTAGATCACCGCCAATGATGACTGGCCGGCCGGGGTAACGGAGCGTGACGTGCTGGTACTGTGCGTCCAGTTCGGAGAAGTCGGCGTCAAGCGCGGCCGCGGTACGTCGCGGTGCTCGGTACACGGCGCCAACCACGACCTCTTGACGGCCCCACCGGTGCAGCTGCCACAGTGACTCAAGCTTAGAGTCGTCACTGCGCGGGGCTGGAACGTCAATCTTCTTGGTCTCCATACCGGCTCGGCTCAGCACCGCCACACCGCCGTAACCCTTGGGAGTAAACTTGCGTTAGAGCCAGGTAAAAGCTGCATATACTCGGATACTCTGTTTTCTCTGCCAACCGCCAGAGACCGTGCTTAGTTCCCGGCGACCCGCCGATTGACCACGCCCGGTCGCGGTCACGCGCTTATATCGGCACAGAGCGCATGCGCGGTGACCGCGCGGCGGCCAGGCCGCCGGCCCGGCCCGCGCCTCGGCCCCGCACGACCGGCCCGCTCACGATATTCCAGCATCGCAACACTCCTCCCCCCACAAAACTAAACGTGCCCACTTGGTCGTATAACAAAGAAAACACTCCAGTATGCGAGTCACACTTCACACGGTCGCGACAGCTTCCGACATCTAGGCACAGCGTAGCCACCACGGCAGCTTATCGGATATCCGGCGGTACGCTGCGGCCGTCAGGTGGACGCCGTCTTCACGGAACCACCTGGGTTCCATACGGTACACGTCCTGCTGGCGCCCGTTCCGCCCCGCCTCCCCTCTCGTACGCGAGCACAGCCGGCGCCCCACGGCGATGAGGTGCCCGCCGTTCACCTCCCGTTCATCGCCGCGCAGAATGTCGGCTAGGCGCCGCTCCAGACGGAAGGCCGGCGTTGTCTCCCACACGGCTGATCCGTCGATCCGCGGCCGCGGCGTCGGGCCCATCACGAAGACGTCGTAATGGACTCGGAGGTCTGCGATGGCGGCCCCCATCCGTTCTGTGAACTGGTCCGGCAGGTGCTGCCGTACCGGCGGTCGCCGGGGGTAGCTGTCGTTTCCACCCAACCAGATCACAATAGCCGAGGGAAGCTTGCCGTCCCTGATGGCTTCCCGGGCTCACTCCCGCACTCTTCCCGGTACGGCACTCCCCAGTTCGGCCCACGTAGCGGGCCCAATCTCACCAAGTGCGGTAAACTGAATTTGGGGTAAAATACCAAACTACCCCACTTCATAACTACAAAAATACTACCCCGAAATTAGTTAAACTAGCTTGGTGAGGTTGGGCACTTGGCCCAATCTCACCAAGTGATGTAAACTTAATTTTGGGACAGTATTTTTGTAGTTACGGAGTGGGGTAGTTTGGTATTTTACCCCAAATTGAGTTTACCGCACTTGGTGAGATTGGGCGTTTAGCCCACACATCGATAGCCCACGCCGAGTCCCGGGTGTGGAACTGGGCGTGGTGTACCAACGAGTCCCCGATGATAAGAGCACTCCTTACTAATACCCTATCAGGGGGCACACCGCCCAGCGGCCCAAAACGGACCGCCGCCGCAGCCACCTGGGGCATCCCGCCCATGGGCTCCACGAGGCCGGCCGCCCCGGGCCCACCACCAGGGACCAACGCCGCAGAGGCTTGGGGCGTCCCGCCCTTGACCTCCGCAACGCCGGCCACCCCGGGACTCTCGTCGCCCGTGCCGACTGGAGCCTCGGGGGTACCCGGCGGGGAAGTCCGAGACACACCGCCCAAGCCACCGCCTCTCCTGTCGGGCTGGAGCACTCCCTCGCTCGCACCCGTCTCCATGGCGACGTAGCCCACGTCGGGCGGGTCGATATCCCCCGCCAGGATCTGCCGTATGATATCGCCTGTGGGCGAGTCCTCCCCGGACTGGGCACCCGGGAACAGATCCGACTCGGGCTCGGATCCAGCCGTCTCGACGGTGGGTGGGAAGGCGACTGTGTGGCCCATCGCCAGCCTTTTCATGGCGCGCCACAGTGCGGCCACCTCCTTCTTCCTTTCCTCCTGCTCCACCGCCAGGCATGTCCTCAGTCGCTTCAGCTCCTCCTCCATTCCTGAAACAAATATCAGTCAGTGCACACACCCTAGAAGTCAATTTTATGGTTAAAAGCGATCTGGCGGGAGAGACACTCTGCCAGACCTGGTCACATAGGCGCCCCGCCCCGCTGGACCCCCATCCCCTACCGTCTGATTTCGGTTCTGCCGGCAAAGGTAATACAGTGTAAGGGGATCTGGTCCAGCCTCCTCGGACCCCGTCTGCTTCCTGGGACGCGGTTCTGTGGCTGTGTCCGATGCGTCATCCCTCCGGTTACTTCCAGACGTTTCTTTTTTTTGTGGGACTCCCGTTCCACAGCTGGCTTTAGCTGGTTGAAGTGCAGAGCCTGTTCCTTGCCCTTGTCGTCACGGACGAGGTACGT